AAATCTTGCAACTGAATTTAAGACCAGTTTTTCTCAACAGATTGAGCTGTTTGGTATATACTTATGTAAATACAATGACAATGCAATGTTATGGTACCATTGAGCTAGTCTGATGGTGGAGTCAGGAGGTGGCCATAGGAACTCCTAAATGAAATGGCGGAATCGCATCAAATTTGGGTTCATTGGATTTGGATTTGTCTTTTCGAGCACTTTAGTACTAGATGATGTCCAGGGTTCTGATGATGGAGTCAGGAAGTGGCTATAGGAATTCCTAAACGAAACGGTGAAAACTTATCGAGTTTGGGTTTGTTGGATTTGTCTTTTCGAGCACTTTGGTGCTAAATTGTCCAAGTGCGTGTCGTGCCACGCGCAGTGTAGGGTTCCGTAGTTGTCCGTCGTTACCACAATATATTTCAGAAGCAATCAATTACTTCATCTAACTAAAGTCACTTTCATATTTTCTTCTAAGGAATTTTTACTGATTAAGAAATTTTATAATACATGAGTCAATAATGACTATTACTTTTAAACGAACTGATGTCTCTTAACCGTTATAGTTTTCCTTGAAAGTTCATAAAAAGCAGTTATATTACAAATTTTTCCAGATTTTTCAAGCCAACAGTTTAGTTTTTAGAGGGGGGGGTGGACGCCCTACTCGAACAAAAATTGGCACTTTAAACTTTAATAATTTGCAAACAGATCCCTAAATCGAAAAACAGTCTTAGGAACCCCTAATCCATTTCAAAAGACCTATCCAACGATACCCCACACGATGTGGTAGAAGATGAAAATAAAAATCATCCCCACTTTACATGTTTTGTCGGCGTGATTAATATACATACCTCCACAAAATTACAGCTCTCTAGTGCCAATAGTTTCCAAGCAAAACCTCGGACAGAGAAACAGACAGACATATCGAAACTATAAGGGTTCCTTACTTCCTTGTCAGGACTACGGAACCCTAAAAAGTGTAAAATAAAATTATAATAAAATAGAACTTTTTTTAAAACAAGCTTTTATTTTGAAATGCAGTTGTACTAAAACGAAAAATATAATTGTAACTACTTAAGCAAGGTTCAAATAATTTCGAAAGCTTGTAGCGCAAACATAAAAGAGGAATAAATTCCATGCGCGATACAAGCTTACGAAATTATTTGAACCTTGCATACTTACAATTATTTTTTTCGTTTTATTATCATGTGTTAACGGATTAACGATTAACGTTAACTTGCGTTAAGTCTTGCGAAAAATAACGTTTTAACGTTTAACGAAGTTAATTTTTTTATTAACGGTTTAACGATTAACGAAGTTAACTATTTGATTAACGGTGCCCAGCTATGGTAATTTAGCAACACATTTTCTGCATCCGACGCCATTGTTGTTGTTATGTCAGGCAACGCCACGGTATTGAAAATTTGAACTAAAAACTGTCAAAGCGGCGGGTAATGACGCGCTGTTTTACATAACGGCTAGCCGTATTGAAGAACGTTTGGCGCCGAATACATTCCGGCGGATTTTCATTCAGCCGTATTCAATCCGCCTAAACGTTGAACCGGCGTATTACAAAACAGAGCTGTAATGTAAAATGCCTAGTGGTAATGTAAAACGGCGGATTATACAATCCGACTGCGACATATATATTACTAGCATTTGCTTGTGACTTTACCTGTATTCATGGGCTGATTGCATATAATTCACATCTTTTCGTTCATAGCTTCTTTACTACTTATTAGTTCATCAATTTAACTTTTGTTAATATTTTGCGTCACAAATACCTACATGTAGTTTACTACATTTCCTAAACAGCAATCGGAAATGTAATAAGATTTCAATGAATACGCGTGGACATGCGGTGCGAGGGGAGGGTATTGCATCATTCAATTACGCGGGGTCTCTTCTCTATCGAATCGCCAAATTTTTTGTACGCCTAATTGTCGATGGCACACAAATTTTAAGCCTAAAATTTTTTTTACACTAAATTATTTTTATTGCGCCTCTTTTTTTTCTCCGAAACTTAAATAGCGCTCGGCGGCTGTGTATGTGTAAGGTCGCAAGTCTAACCTAACCTAACCGAGACTTTGTTATCCAGCTACAAGAGTACTAAAACTTTCATGCCAATAACAGTTTAATAAAAGAGATGTTAAAATTAGGGATTTCCAATACTTCAGCGTAATATGCGTGATGCCGAAAGAAAGGTATGCCAGCCAATAAATTTTAGGCAAATATTTTTTTCGGCTAAAGTATAGTAATAGTGCGAAAATAACTGTCAGGCTAAACAATAATAATTGCGAGTTAAAAGTACCTATCGGCCAATCTGGTTTGGCTAAATGAAATTTTAGGCGTACCGAGGGGCACCAGATCACGACCGCGCTAGTGCCGCTTAGTTTTTACATTTCCTAATACAATATTGGAATTCTGTAAAATTCCTAGGAAAAGTATACGTATCCTAGGATATGTGCGTATTAAAAAATCTCTGAAGCAATATTATACATTTTCTAAATAGCTTTGGAATTGTATATTACCTAGCAATAGTATACAATTCCTAGAATTCATACATTTCCTGTAACATATATTATGTGCCATGTTAGGGGACCGTACAATGATATTATACAGGGTGTTTCTTGTAAGGTGTCAAGCCGAAGGCAGGTGATAGGTGAGGACTAGACCTATCGATTTCACCCCCATGTATGTTTTACGATTTTTCATAGTTTAGAAGTTATCGTTAATTTTGTGATTTTTTCAAATTGTATGACCTAGTAGGCTTTATATAAAAACCTTTCTCATAAATCCCTCTAACTATTGTTGAAAACCACATCAAAATCCGTTGCAACTAAACAGGAACATGCAGGAACTATTTAGGGTTAGGAACACTTGGAACACGTTGCCTGGGTTTGAAAGTAGGTAAATAATGTATAAGGGATAGATAAGAACTACTTAGCATTAATTCTGTTTGTAAAAGTAAAAATAAATAAACAAACCTTTAATCTTCAGCACGTCACGTAAGTAATAAGCGTCCAATTCGCACAATAGAAGCGTTTATTATATAAAACACCATTCAAAACAAAAAAAACTTGTACCACTAATTTCACAGTTTTATTTTATTCAGATTGTTTTTTCTATTAAAAAGAATATTTTTAATTAACACTGATTTTGTGCACTAGTAATTATCTATTTGCCAAATGCGTATTAGTCCAGTCAATGAATGCCTTAACGACGGTGTAGAGAGAAATCCGTGGAACACAATTTCTGACCTCGGGACTTTATTTAGCCTAGTTAGGAGGTGAACATAGCAAAAGTCCCCGCCCTTAGCCCTTGAGCCGGCGGGGAGAGGGGGGTTTAAAGGTACCACTTTTCGGTTTTTCGCTTAATCCTCGGAAACTAGTGACATGACTACTATGAACCAAAAAAAGCTTATTCAGTTTGCTACAGGTGAGACCGTCAAGTTTTTCTATATCTTGTATAGTTTTTGCGGCATCTGCTCTAGAAGGTCTGTAAAATTGGAAATTTTATTGTTGTCTTACATGTTCCTTTCAGGAGAAAATCGACTAAATCAACATTGAGCAAACACTATAGACATGCGGGAGCATGTTAAGCCTAGTTCCATGGAGGGGACTGCACCGTGCGTATATTTAGACGAACCAATTAGACCCACTTTTGACTCCTCATCATTCAAAAACTACTGTGCATTAACACTTCAAATTTGGCTCATGTATTGAGACTTGCAAGATGTATATCAGCTTCAAATTTCATAAATATACCTCAAACGGTTATTTAGGTATTGACGTTCAAAAATCGATATTTAGAGCACTACTATCTATCTATCACATGTGAAATGTTAAAATTTACTGGTTTTTTATTTGTTCCTTTGTATTTACANTATCATTGTACGGTCCCCTAACATGGCACATAATATAATATGTTACAGGAAATGTATGAATTCTAGGAATTGTATACTATTGCTAGGTAATATACAATTCCAAAGCTATTTAGGAAATGTATAATATTGCTTCAGAGATTTTTTAATACGCACATAATATCCTAGGATACGTATACTTTTCCTAGGAATTTTACAGAATTCCAATATTGTATTAGGAAATGTAAAAACTAAGCGGCACTAGCGCGGTCGTGATCTGGTGCCCCTCGGTACGCCTAAAATTTCATTTAGCCAAACCAGATTGGCCGATAGGTACTTTTAACTCGCAATTATTATTGTTTAGCCTGACAGTTATTTTCGCACTATTACTATACTTTAGCCGAAAAAAATATTTGCCTAAAATTTATTGGCATACCTTTCTTTCGGCATCACGCATATTACGCTGAAGTATTGGAAATCCCTAATTTTAACATCTCTTTTATGAAACTGTTATTGGCATGAAAGTTTTAGTACTCCTGTAGCTGGATAACAAAGTCTCGGTTAGGTTAGGTTAGACTTGCGACCTTACACATACACAGCCGCCGAGCGCTATTTAAGTTTCGGAGAAAAAAAAGAGGCGCAATAAAAATAATTTTGTGTAAAAAAAATTTTAGGCTTAAAATTTGTGTGCCATCGACAATTAGGCGTACAAAAAATTTGGCGATTCGATAGAGAAGAGACCCCGCGTAATTGAATGATGCAATACCCTCCCCTCGCACCGCATGTCCACGCGTATTCATTGAAATCTTATATTATTATTACATTTCCGATTGCTGTTTAAGAAATGTAGTAAACTACATGTATTTGTGACGCAAAATATTAACAAAAGTTAAATTGATGAACTAATAAGTAGTAAACTCAGGTAGTAAAGAAGCTATGAACGAAAAGATGTGAATTATATGCAATCAGCCCATGACAGCAATATTGCCATAAACTTGATTTGTCATATTTGACGTGACAAAATAAAAGCTTGTAATAAAAATCAAGTTTGCAGCAAGTTCGCTTGCTATCTGGGAAAGAACTTAGCTAATAAAGTAGGTATAAAAATAAAAAAAAATGCCCAATAAATTGTAGGCAGGAGGTACTAACCCAGTTCCAGCTCTGTCAACAATCTTTGAATTTTCTCCTTCGACCGCCCTGAAATCCCCCATCTGAAGTTGTAATTGTTCACTTTTAATATTTTCACCAAATTCTTAACTGCATGTTTTCCTGTAAATCCTGTAGCACCAAGTACTACTAGGTCCAGCCTTTCCGTATCTTCAGAACTCATCGCGGTAAACTACACTTAACGAGCAAGTATCGACGACTATTGGGGCCGGCCTTACAAAGTAGGTATACTATGACGCAACAAAAAAACTGGTAAGGCCACGGCCGCAAACATGAACTGTTGTAAACGACGGGTATGCTGTATAAGGAAATATAAGATTGGTAAACCGAGCGAGCACTAATATTAGATAGAAGTTATTGTAGGTAGGTAGGTACATTTTAAACATATTTTAGGTACATAAATCACAGAGCTGTCCCACTAACCTTTTATCAAATCTACCATAACAAACTCGAATTGCATTTTTATCTAGAGTAAACATAAATAACTTGTATGATTTTTGCAACATTGACTGTGATCCAGTTTATTATTTTTGTTTACGCAGACACTGTATATTGGACAAGCAATTTATGTAGCACATTGTATTGATTTTAAATCTTAAATGTAACTTCTGTACATTTTAATTTTTGATTTAAATATTGTTATGTATAAATATTACATTATATATTTTGCTAGAAACAGTTCTATTAATAACGACCTTATCTTACCTTTTTTTTGCCTGAGATACAGGAATTATAATTCTTAGTTCAGGCACGTATGTACTTTTACCTATTATACGAGGGGCGGCTGAAAAGTTTTGAGCCTAAGTACCTTCAAGTGCTATTATTGACTCGCTTTAAATTTATTTAATTTGCCAATAACCTCCTTAGTATATGTACAAAGTTTCATTTCATTAGCGTCATCACGCTTTTAGTAATTAATCAGTAAACATCATCATGTCTCAGTCATCCGCGCAATGTACGAAATCGAAGTACACAGTTGTCATAAAACTCCTCAAAAAGAGGAACAAAACGCTGACGGTAACATTTGAAGAGATGTCTACAGTTTATGGGGAGTCTGGGCCTTCATTTGCCATCATGAAATATTGGATCCGATAGTTCAAGCATGGCAGGGAGTCTCTAAAAGATGACCGCAAGTCAGGGCGGCCAGATTTCGCCATTAACGAATAAAATAATGAAAACTTAAAAAATCTTGCTTTAGAGATCAGCGAATTAAGTTGTGACAGATAGCTGAAGCCATAGGCATTAACAAAGAACGTAACGGCGATATTTTTCATACTCATTTGCACATGAAATAGGGGTGCGCGCGATGGGTGCCAAAAATGCTCTCGCCGCTCGACAACCAGCGTCGAGTCACAACTTCGCAGGAGTTTTAGGACATCTTTGACCATAATCCTAACAANAGCCACGTAGCAAGAGTAGCATAATATGCTACGGGCCCCGCGAATTTGGGGGCCCCGCGCTCCAACGCCTGTCTGACCGAAATAAAAAAAGATTAATTTACATAGGAGCGTAAAATATCTTGCAGAACGAGGGCTTGCGTTTCGGGGTAGTGACGAAATTGTTGGTTCACCTCACAATGGAAATTATTTAGGCTTGCTAGAATTAATAGCCCAATTTGACGCTTTTATGGCTCAACATAATACAAAATTATGCTAATAAAGAAAAGGGACGTACGTCATATTTATCAAAAACAACTTGTAAGGAATTTATTCATCTAATTGCATCAAGCATACTGGATCAAATTATTTGCGAAATTAAGAGATGCAAATACTACTCAGTTTCATTGGATTCTACTCCAGATATATCGCATGTAGACCAGTTGACTTTGATAGAGCGCTATGTTTTGCCATCTGGACCAGTAGAATTTGTTAAGTTCTTGGACATGGAAGGTCATACTGCTGAACAACTCGCTCAAAGTTTACTAGATTTCTTAAGTGAGACTGGCTATATCAATATATCAAAGATTGTCGTGGGCAAAGCTACGATAATGCCAGTAACATGAGTGGGAAATACATTGGCTTACAAGCCCGAATTAAGGAAATAAATAAGTAAGTACGCCGAATATATTCCCTATCTTGCACACTCATTTTTAGTTGCTAAGTGCGCTGCAGACTGCTGTACAGAAGCATTACTTTTCTTCGATTTCATTGAAAACCTCTATACATTTTTTTCCGCTTCTACCTATCGATGGGGTCGTCTTACGAACGCACTTTTAAAGATTCTACCTCAAAAATTCCGATTTTAAAATGGTTATGGGACACTAGGTGGTCAGCCCGAGCTGATGCTACGAAGGTACTTTTATGTGGTTTTGTCACTATTAAGCAAGTTTTGGAAGACATTTTCAGTAACGTGGATCAAAAACCGGAATGCCGTTTTATTTAATACCCTAAATAAACTTGAGAACCTAAAGCAAACCAAGGGCCCCTTGATAGAAATTTGCTACAGGCCCCGCGCTGGCTTAATCCGGCACTGAATATTAGCCTATTGTTAAAAACTGTCAATAAGTTATTCAATAAAGAATTTATAAATTATTTATTTATAAATCGTCCTACAGCAAAATGGGGCTATCTACAGGAGTAGAGTTCAACTTTGATTACGGAGACACTAGGGCTCGTGAGTCGTGCTTCAAAAGTTATTTACCAATCTATAAACAGTAAACCTACATATTAATATGTAAGTAATATCTTTTAAGATACACTGATTTGAAAAGCTGTGCCTGTTTATTTTAAGGTAGAATACATTGTCATAATGGCATTACATTCTGTACCTAATGGCTGTCTAAGAACAATAGCCACTTAAATGATAATTGGGATTATTAAAATAATTAGGTAGGCACCTGTGATCATCATGGTTAATCTCGTTGAAAGTAATGATGTTTACATCAGTATTTTCCTCGGGTATTTTCTCATGTAAACATTAGGACTAAACATTTGGTATAAATAATATTTTTTAAAGACTTTATGTACCTACTATGGTCTTGGGCTTAACTATTTTCAGATTTTACAGGATATGAACGTAAAGCTCTGATTAAAAACCATCTAATGCTTAACTCTGTTATATCAATCATTCATTTATTACTGAATTTTGGTCTGTCAAAAAGCATGCTGAAGTCATTGAAGTAATATTGTACGTAGTACATTATAACTCAATGGCTGAAGTCAAATATTTTTATTTACTTAACTAATAATTACATACTTACGATCGCATAAACTCGTCAAACCGGTTAAAGGTCTTGACCTGAAGTTACTTGACATAATAATTTAGTGAATAAGTACCTAATCAACACAGAAAACAGCTGTATTTATTATCATTAGGTTACTATATCTAATTCTGAATAAATACATTGACATTTGCTAAGATATAAGAGTTCAGCCAATAAAGTACGAAGTACTAAAGAGAGAAATGTGTGGAACACAATTTCTGAGCCGCGGGGAGAGTGGGGTTTGAAGGTCCGGTTGCGACCTAGAGACATGACTTTATAAATAAATTTTACTTTGCCCAATGTAAAGCAGGTCAGCACTTTTATTTGTATGGTAGATGATTGGATGCAGTAAACTCAATAACATTCTTAAGAGTTACCTACATTAGATTCTAAACTGCAATGAGATCCTCCTTGTCAGGAAGGCTCAGTTCTGCAGCATTCATTGACTGGACTGAGATAGGTAAGTACATACTTTTCAGCAATAAAATAAAGAAAGTAAAAATATTTATTTGGTACCAAAATTACAACGATACAAATCCACATAAAGAGCAAGAAAAAGTAAATCACAATAGATCGATAACGGTCGCAGTGATACTAGGACTTTATTGAACTAAAAAAGAAAGAAAAAGTATATCAGTTGTATCAAATTGGACTCTGCTAAGTAAGTAAGCTACCACCACGCCAGAGGGGATACTATCATACTACCACCACAATAACGCTTAACCAGTCTGGTATCCACAAAACCCCTTATCAATTTGAACTTTATCCTGTCTGTGAAGATACGGTTGAAAACCAAAAGGTAGGTACCTAAACTTTTTTAGGCCTGGTTAAGGGTTAAACTAAAATTAAATTAAATAATTAACCAAATAGATACAAACTTACATAATTTTGTTTCTAGACCAAAATAATCGCTAGCAATGAATTGTATTACTAAGCTGCATCAATAAAAAAAAATACTACCGGTAAATATTATGCGTTATCACAGGCGTTATCCTTGCTCCCACAACTTAGAACTACAGTAGTTAGCATTTACTTTAATTTTAAAGACATCCACTGAAGTACACTAAAAATATTTGTCGGTCCACCGAGTGAGATGCTTGCCTCAGTACCTAATGTGTTCTAGTGCGAGGTCACCACTTTAGAATATTTCTTTCTATCCCAGCGGCTATCCGTTCTTTGAGAATGCATCCTTTTACTTTGGTTAACTCATTCCTTATTTACTAATTAATCACATTAATAATCACGTACTTAGCGAACCTTTGAACCCATGGATGAAGACGACCTTCTATGAGGCCAAATATAGAGACCGGCTGCTACCTTATCTATGGCAATTTTATTCGGCGTCTCTGCTGCTTTGGGATTTTATGGTAAAGAAATAACTTAGTAGTTCTAAGCCACTTCTTAAAACCTATATAAATTCTCATTAATACACTTTTCGGGAAAATACAGTTTTTTTTTCTGAATATTGATACTACATTTAGAAGTGACTAGAATTACTTCACAGTTCAAACTACAAGTATGCAGCAGGTTTCTGAGACACTAAACACTCAAGGTGCCCTATATATACCTATATATATAAATACTTTACGTTTCTGGTTGTATACTGTAAATGAACTGTACCTCTAGTAGGAAAAACTTTCGAGTTCGTTTCGTTGCGTATTCAAAGTGTCATCGAAAAATTTTGTATGAAAAATTAAACAGCGCCCCCTATATTATAGCCGCCCTAGGGGGCGCTGTTTAATTTTTCATACAAAATTTTTCGATGACACTTTGAATACGCAACGAAACGAACTCGAAAGTTTTTCCTACTAGAGGTACAGTTAGAATACNAACTTTCGAGTTCGTTTCGTTGCGTATTCAAAGTGTCATCGAAAAATTTTGTATGAAAAATTAAACAGCGCCCCCTATATTATAGCCGCCCTAGGGGGCGCTGTTTAATTTTTCATACAAAATTTTTCGATGACACTTTGAATACGCAACGAAACGAACTCGAAAGTTTTTCGTACTAGAGGTACTGAACTTCTAACTGTAGGTAAATCGAAAATTTATTCGATAGGTAAACAAGTAATTTCTTTGATTTTATTGTCTATGATTTCATAAGTGAGCCCTTTATTTTTCATAATATTGTCGACAATTTGTGTGTCTTGAAAAGCTGCACCAACTGGTAGAACTCCCCCTCTGTAAATGAAAACAATAAACTATTGAATCAAATTATTAAATAATAATAAACGACAACTTAAACATTGTATGTATGCTTCATCCACAGAAATATCTTTCTATATTTTGTGCTTCATACTTACTTTGGCATCTTCGAGCCCTCTGTTAAGATCGTTAGTGCTGCTATAACTACTGTTATGGATGTAGTTTCATATGCTGGGTCACTTCCAGTTACCTTAAACAAAAAGGTAAGTTTAAACAACTACCTAGTAGGATTATGGGACATTGGCTTGAAGGGATAGCCTTAAATCCCTTTTTAATCCACGTGATTTTGAATACAGCTACTTATTTCGACCTTTTGATATCAAATACGAGGAAAATTAATGAATGATTATTTAGTAAATAAATATCTAAATACACATTTGATTCATAACACAAATAAAGTAAACTTACTTTGTCCGTCAAAGATTTTTTTGACCATTTTCGTCCATCCCATTCCCTTTGCACGTGTATGCGAATTTTATATCTTTAGCCATTTTTTCAGTTGGGCCTTTATGGGACACATAGCCTAGCGTGAAGAAGCGAGGGTACTTCCACAGTAGGTGCCTGAAGCACTCCAGGTAGCAGAGGTAGTAGTAAATAAACATGGTTGGGATAACCATGATGTAATGAAACCATGCCGGCAAAGCTGTGTAGATTTTGCAACGATACGCTCTCTTGCCCTTTTTCTCGTGAAGGTATCTTTGGGACATTTCTACCACATCCTCATCAGACCCAGGGTATGGAAACCATAACCTACCCTGGTCTTTGTGGAAAAACGACCTGGAAGATAGGAATAAAATTTTATTAGTCACTGTGCCGAAATAATAACAATAGCGTAGAATTTTATTCTAGTTATACTGAAATATTTATTTAAAAATCAATACAATGGACTAAAGGGCAATTTTGATGGTACTTTATATGCACAATGAGTGCTAGTATTGCGTAAATTCCCTGCACGCCTTGCCAAGGGCACCCAAGGGCCTCACAAGCTGTCGTACTACATACTTTAAATATGCAGAAATGTTGCGCAACAATAATAACCAATGGAGGTGGTATCTTACGAATGTTAATGTATTATAAAAGGTAACTCACCTTTTTATCTCCGGTAGATCTGAATCATAGATGTTCTGTGGAAATGTATCGGCCTTCAGTATTCGGTATGCCTTCAAATTTTGTAACTCATGCACTAGGGACTCCCAAGTACCATAGTGGAGTAGGTATACATTTGTTTAGGCCAGGGAAATAGACCCTCTTTGGTATGATTACTTCCGCATAACATTCCACTGTATTTAATGTTCCTGAAAATAATTTGGACAAAATTTCATGGACCATTCTACCAAAAAAACCTAGCTGCATTTCTATAAATTCATGGCGAATGCGCCAAAATCCTGTTATTACATAAATTCACATAGAATATGTAAATAGTAACTGAGAATCATCATGCTTCTATGGTTAATATAATAATGAAAGTTGCTCAAATTGTTTACAAAAGATAATCCTTTTATTTGAAACTTAAGCAAAGACGTTACAAAAATATTGAAACATTCAACATTTCTGTTATGTTAATTAACCTATACATTATGCTAATTAACATTGTAATTAAAATTTTGAAAGGAGCATGGTAAACGAAAATATTATCTATTAGAGGTAACCTTGTGTACTTAACAATGTTATTACTACTAGCAAATCTATCACGTAAATCTAATTTGTAACTAAGGTGGAAGAGCGAGGTACTCCCAACACAAGTATCTTACGATTACTTTCTGGGAGACCCCGGTAACTTTATTGTAAACTAGCTTTCCGCCCGCGGCTTCGCGCGCGTGGACTACATTATCTACATATTTTACGGAACCCTATTTTTTTCCAAAGTAAAATTTAGCCTATGTTACTCGTGGATAATGTAGCTTTCAAATGGTAAAAGAATTTTTAAAAACGGTCCAGTAGTTTTTGAGCCTATTCATTACAACCAAACAAACAAACAAAGTTCTCCTCTTTATAATATTAGTGTAGATGATTTACAGAAATAAACAATTTTTATTTTTTTTAGAGGTAAGTTTAGGTACATGTAAATTATCATTTTCATACTATGTATTACAATCTAGAAGCCTTCTCTACATAATGTAGAGATGAGTGAGACATGTTGAGAATCACGGGCACAAATTATGTAGATACTTTACACGTTTGTTTAATAGTTATTTACCTTTAAAATGTTGTTCCAAATACATCAAGCCCGTCAGGGCAGGAATGACTGCAAACCCGCAAGCTGGAATCACCACGATGTTAGCTTCTTCTGCGCTCTCATTGAACGTTCTGTGTAAGTTGAGCATGTGCTGGAAAATTGGTTTTGTATTGAATCATACAAGCTAAATGAAAAAAGCAGATGCTGTAGGTAAATCAATTCATTCCATCCCAACTATCCCAACTATCCCAACTAATATTATAAATGCGAAAGTAACTCTGTCTGTCTGTCTGTCTGTTACGCTTTCCCGCTTAAACCTCGCAACCGATTTTGATGAAATTTGGCATAGAGATAGTTTGAGTCCCGGGAAAGAACATAGGATAGTTTTTATCCCGGTTTTTGAAACAGGGACGCGCGCGATAAAGTTTTTCTGTGACAGACAAAATTCCACGCGGGCGAAGCCGCGGGCGGAAAGCTAGTAATAAATAAAAGTATACCATTAAATCTGATTTTTATGTATAATATTTGGACAATAATTAGAAGTATTTTCCCCAACAGCCAGACAGTTTTGACAGTTCCAACTCTTTGCCAGACAGTTTTTTTAGGGTAGCTCCCAAAGCCACGATGACCCAAATTTCATAATTCACCAACATTATATCCTATATTGGGAGCATACGCTGACAAACTTTCAGCTTTTATAAAATGACGTACTTAGGTCTGGCGTTCACTAGCTCTTGCCTCTTACTCTAATTAAATATGTAGTATGATGTGAGATCGAGACATAATTACTAGTATAGTATGTACACGCACTTCAATCCATTTTATTTTTTATTTATATTTTTTAAACACATACATGTATAGGTATCTAATATCTACCCGACACACTTTTCCAAAGTTATAGCCGTCGAAAAGATGAGCACACATTAAATGCAGAACAATTTTGTCTAGAGCCTGAATATTCATAATTAAATTAACTTAACCAGTCAAAACTCAACTTTGACCTCGCATTTTACATGAGACTATGCAGAATAGAGGTCGCATAATTGCATCTCAAGAGTTCTAGTCACATATTATATCCAAGTTTTCCAAGGACTATTCTAATACATAGGTACAATCCGTACAATAATAATAATAATAGCCTTTATTCAGAAAGTGTTAGGTACATTTTACAATAACACTTTACACAGAACCAGAAAGAACACTTGCTTGACTACGTCTGTATGTCACTCTTAACCTCAGATCATAGAATATGATCTGAGCTCTTAACAAATGCCTCCTCCAACTGCCGCCATTTCTCTCTATCATTGGCTATTCTTCATCATGTGCCACTTGCTATGGCTTTGATGTCAATCCACAGTCTAAATGGTCTACCTCGTTTCCTATTCTTGTCCCCTGTGTACCTACCAGTTGATGACTAGTTTTGACCATTTTTCGCTTCCTCTAATGGTGTGGCCTGACCACCTCCACTTAAACTTTTTTATTGTTTCTATGACATCTTTTGTTTTTGTGTAGGTAAGTATTTCATAATTGTTTCGATTCTTATTCTTTCTGACAGTTTTTTCCCTACCATACGTAGCTAATACTTAGCTACTTCTTCAAAAACTCCAAATCCAAACATGCCAGAACTTTATGGGATACATACATTTAATTAAAAAAAACTCACATATAATTCCGCGGAAATATCAACATAGTGCGTTTTGGTGTCCACGCACGCCTTCACTATAGGTTCGCTGAGAATCGTGTTGGGTCCAGTACAGTTGATGAGAACCTTAGCCTTTCGTGTAACGTTCCTGATGTCATCCCTCTTAATATCGCATTCTATTACGGTTATTTTTGTTTTTTCCTCGCCTGTAAAGAAATTAGGTATTATGTACAGAACAGAAGCTCAAAGTTGCACAGCGTGCTATGGACAGGGCTATTCTCGATGTTTCTTTACGAGATCGAATCAGAAATGAGGAGATCCGTAAAAGAACTAAAGTCGCAATTGTTTCTGCCGCGGTTTCACTCGCGTGAAATTTAGTTTGTCACAGATCGTCATGAATATAGCCTAATGATATTCTGGGCTATAAACAATAATACCGTAAAGTTTCATCAAAATCCGTTCAGTAGTTTTTGCGTGAAAGAGTAACAAACATACATTCATCCAGACATCCAAACTTTCGCATTTTTATTATTAGTAGGATTGACTAAAAAAACTCAATTACGTATTTTATATTTAAACATTTCCATTTAAGTAGACCATCATAACAAGTTCACTGCACTTTCTACGGTTTCGTAAGAGTCTGTTTATAAGAACTTGATTGAATTTTTAGCTGTTTTTGTCCTTTCTATTCTAAAAACAAGATCAACTCTATTTAATTAAACTCTAGAAGTATCAATAAATTGTTATAAATTTCACTCTCAAAACAAGGCAGATTATGGCCTTCCTAACTTTAACTAAAATAGTAACTAATTTTAAAACTGCAAAACAAATGGTTATCTACAGAAATATTTGTTATGTTGTTCTACGTTAAGTAAAAGCGTTAAGTAAATCCATGACGATAATAATAATCAAGCCGAAGGTTCGAATTCTCCAAAATCTTGGAATTCCACCTGGAGGGAAATTACTCAAAGAGAACTATTTGGGCCATTCTTAAATTTGTGCCAATTTTTTAAAAAAATTAAAGATTTTTTTTTTTAACTTTTTGCGATGTGTATCGAAAGTATAAACCAAAAGCATACTTTTGATGTATATGGACAACCTTAAAGCCCTCGGAAAGGAAACAAAATAGCCTACGTAAACACGGCTGTGACACTGCATGACACGGATGTGACAGTTTTACATTTTTACTGTAAATAATAATATTTATGTTGTTAAATTTATATCATAATAGTTTAAATTGATTAACAATAAAATACACTAAATTCGTTTCATCAACAAAGGTGTTATTTGGTAATATCGACGGTCCCTACGTATATTAACGTATCTGAAAACGGCCAATTTTACAGGAGAGCGGTTTGAAGGTTTAAACATGTGTAGCTCGCGTTCTATTTATCGTACATTGATGAAATTTGGTATTTATTTATATGAGGTATATTTTATAAAACATGAAGAATTATCAAAAAATAATCACAATAAGTGTATTATTTGTCATTTACTCACTTATACAACGGAAAGTTTCTAATTGCAAATGACGTAAGCTGTACTTGCTGACTTTTACGTTGGAGTAATATGTTTGTTTAAATTATTAACTGCCACATAAGTAATTGTACACGGGAACAAAGTTCAGCTACTACTAAACGTAACTCTCACTCTAGGCCCATAGTCCTGCTCGACGAGACATAACAGCATCCCGCCTCGTTTCCCAGATAGTTGCATATTGGAGGCACTTCAATACCTTAAGATTCCTCCTTATCTAAGGGGTCTTTTGACTGAAGAGTACCTGTAGAACCGCTTAATTCTCTTTGTCAATAGTGCCGGCTAGGTTTGACAGCATGGCATCGAGTCCGAAGATCCACATGGGTCTTTTTTGAGTTCGATCTTGTGGAACATTAAACTTTCGAAACCCAGGACTGGCTTATGTGGAGCTGACGTGCGACAGCCCGCTGGCTGAGCCCTTCTTGCAATAGTGCAACGATTTGTGCTGCTTCTGAAGGTGTAGAATCCCAGGTAAAGTGTCAAAAGAAGCGGAGATGTGTATGGATCAACGTGTGAAAGCAAAAATCCGAAAACACTTGCTTTTATGGGGGGTAAATAGGCCACAACTCGCGACGTATCAAACAGTTGATAAATGTCTTTTTCGTTACTTCTTCACATCAGCCGGGATATCTTTTTAAATACTGGTGTGATTTAAATGAGTTTGGTATCAATTTAAAGTTAAAAGTGTAATCTTTAAAATGGTGCTACTTTTTTTGTTACTAACAAATTGGTTAGTACACAAGATCGCGTGGAAACAACTTCATGTAAGTGATTCCATATTTTTGCTCGCAAGTGTATTTCAAAAATAAAGGAATGTTTTCTTTGAGTAAAATTTTCAATCTAAAGTAATAAGAGCCTACTTTCCCTCCCGGTGGCATTATAAAATTTAGTCCTGTATATCGATAGCTATAGCTATCTTACTTCTATCTGCCGGACCGGAGCCTTGGTAGGTGCCGGAACACAAAAACAACGAAACCGAGTAGAAAATAAGGGATAGATACTAACCTATTTTCTCCAGATCAGTCAGCAAATTTTGAATTTTCTCCTTCGACCGCCCCGAGATTCCCCAACTGAAGTTGTAATTGTTTGCTTTTATTATTTTCACCAAATTCTTCACCGTATGTTTTCCCGTGAATCCTGTTGCACCAAGCACTACCAAGTCCAGTCTTTCCGTAGCTATGGTACCCATCGTGGATAACTTTGATTGCACCGTCAGTTAACGCGTAATCGGACCGAACTTTCAAAATATTGTGAGCAAACAAAAATAAGAAAAAGAAAAGGAATGAATTTTAAAATGCTACGCATGTAGTGGGGGGCGTCACGATTATGAACACAGTAGTGAATTTGTTTATTTGTATAACTGGTCGGACATTGTTGCAATATTTAAGAACGATAAACCGAGGTCGCATAGACAGTTTATGTATTCGGACCATGCAGTCCAGTAAAAATTGGAGTTGTACGAGTATACCTGCCACGACTCCATGCGTAGAATTTTAATAAGTAAGTATTAATTTTTGAGATACACGGGCAATGAATCGTTTCTCAACTCCAACAAATATTTTGGCGCTAACTGTAGAATTAACTCTACATTATTTATTACACTTAAGGCATTAAATACTCTAGTATACACTTACGAGCAAAAATATGGATGGAATCACCCCCTTCTCTTTTGTTCGGAGCAATCTTAAGAACTGAAGACTATTTAAGTATCTAAGTATGGGTATCAATTAAAAGTTTATAATATTGCCTTTAAAATGGTACCATTTTTATTTATATCTATTAACTAGTTATTTAGTTGTTATGATCGCTCGAAACAACCTATTTGTTTCGAGCGAGATTCCATGTTTTTGCTCGCGAGTGTTTATTTTCCACCATTGCATCACTATCCTCAGATGTCTTGAAGTATGAATATTTTTTTAAATATTAGACTTGAACTTTAGACTTGAAATTATAGCAAATACATTTTTTTTTATTCACAATTATACATTATAACATTTAGGTAGATAGCTACAACTAAAATAACAAAAATAAAACAAATAACTAGGTACTAAGTATAAAATAATAACACTCTGAAGGTTAGCTGTCTTCTGAGGTGAATGAACTTTTAAGGCTGTCTGTCTATTTTAATAAAATTATTTCATTATGCATACCTATCGGATATTAAAACATTGCCAAACTTTATGTATAAGATTGATCATCATGTCTAATAACAGTGACCTTCCGTAAAAGTCGAATTGAGTAAGAAATCGTTTTCTATTTGCGTAACAAACTATGTTACAGTATGGAATTGAACTCGTTAGGTAAACCTGTTTTGAGCTAGCGAAAGAAGGTCTAGGCAAAGTAAGTTACCTAGTTAATTCATAATTACAAAGCGATACCAACTTAAGTTAACTAGTGAAATCTAAAATTTAGATTGCGTGATTAATTCCTTGTTTGTCATGATTCGTTACGAAGAATTCTTAAGGACTCACTGTTAAATATAAAAGTTATTATGTAAGTGACGATAAATACCAATTAAGTTCAAAAACCGGACCACAGTTTCTCCAGAAGAGGTCGCGAGTTGCTAAGAAAGTTCATTCCACTGTATCAGAAATCGAACCTGCAACCGAATGCGTTTAAAGGCTTCGCAAATAGTAGGTACACTTTAGACGTAATACATACGTACCCTACATACCATTCAGCCACATTTCATAGATTAACAGAAACCAGTATAGTGTCGCGACGACACGCCGTCTGTTGCCGAACTACGAAATAACGACCTACTTTGTGCCAACAGTCAGTGCCGGATTAGCCACGTAGCAAGAGTAGCAAATGCTACGGGCCCCGCGAATTTGGGGGCCCCGCGCTCCAAAGCCTGTCTGACCGAAATAAAAAAAGATTAATTTAGATAGGAGCGTAAAATATCTTGCATTTGGCTATGTTTTACTTTCACTTGAAAATCTAAAACTCGATTTCATCACGTTAAATCATAAAAATAAGTAGGTAGGTATTTTACGAACTTTTTAACGTGAATGTTCTTTAATAGGCCAGTAGAATTAAACACAAAAATGAATTAAATCTGAAACAATTCCTACTAAAAAAAGATTTTAGTGCTTTAATGGCTTCATTAGTTGCCCATAAAGACTCTCCTAGGTTTTCGACTTCGACGGAGTTGTGCTTAAGTGGTGGGGCCCCCGAAAGGGGCGCTTTTTCGGTTTTCCGGTTATACCGCGTAAAGGACTTACCCTATCGAAAAGTGGTCTTCCTGACGGTTGAAGGGCATTTAATCCTGCATTAAATAAGACCAAATATATATATTTTGAACAAACCCTTCTCGTGCAAATGTTCGGCAAAGTAGAAAATATGTGTATAACCCTCTCCACGTCCAACGGCTCGCTACCCGCAGGCTTCCAAGTCTTGAAAAGGAGCGCCTCAACCAGTGTCACCATATCAAGGCTTACGAGTTACGATTTTTCCTACTTTGCCGAACATTTGCACGAGAACGGTTTGTCCAAAACGTATGAATTTGGTCTTGTTTAATGCAGGATTAAATGCCCTTCAACCGTCAGGAAGACCACTTTTTGATAGGGTAAGTCCTTTACGCGATATAACCGGAAAACATAAAAAGCGCCCCTTTCGGGGGCCCCCCACCACTTAAGCACAACTCCGTCGAAGTCGAAAACCTAGGAGAGTCTTAATGGGCAACCAATGAAGCCATTAAATCGATAAAATCTTTTGTAGGAATTATTTCCGATTTAAAATGTAATTCTACTGGCCTATAATGTTTAATTATAATCGATACAATATTTAGACTAGTATCTATAGATACCACATTTCCACCCTTCAAGCGGCCAGATTTTTTTTTCTATAGGTTTATTTTACGAGTTTACGTAGGTAGCCGAGATTATACTTATTTAATCGATTTTAATATAATATCGATTATCAATATTTCGAGAAAACAGGCGAACTATTTTAATTTTATTAATTCAGTCACGATCCAATCTACTATAGTTGGTTGATTTATTACAAGCTTTTTATTACTTTCACATGTCTGGTGTCTGTCGTCAAATCTTGCAACTTAAAATTGACCCACTTCCCGGTTTCCTATTGAGCTGAAATTTTGCATACATGTGTAAGTCCGATGACAATGCAATATTATGGTACCATTGAGCTGGTCTGATGATGGAGTCGGGAGGTGGCCATAGGAACTCCTAAACAAAACGGCGGAAACTCATCGAGTTTGGGTTCGTTGGATTTGTCTTTTCGAGCACTTTAGTGTTAGATAACGTCCAGGGTCCTGAGATTAAGATATAACTAAAAAGTGTAAAATAAAATTATAATAAAAATAAACTTTTTTAAAAACAAGCTTTTATTCTGAATTTCGAAAGCTTGTAGCGCAAACAGAGAAAAAGAGGAATAAATTCCATGCGCGATACAAACTTTCGAAATTCAGAATAAAATCTTGTTTTTTTTATAAAATATAGATTCATTTTATGAGTGAATATAGCTAACCTTTTTAATCGATTATCATATCGATCATGTTTCGAGATTATTGAAAGCTAGTGACGGTAGATTAAGAGCAAGGTGTTTTAGAGTCTCAAGTAAAAAAGCGGATAGTTAAAAAATGAGGTTTACTATTATTTATTAACAAAAAGCGTATGACAAAAGATCATTTTACAAACAACGTTTGAAAAACTAATCATTTTAAAAAACTTTTAATAATTCTTTAGAATCGTGTTTTCCAAACTTAGAAATTGCCTTGCGCATTTACATGTCTCTCATGATCACTAACTGCAGAACGTTCTTTTTCAACATTAAAACGTATTAAAAATGAATTAAGGAACACGATGGGACAAGAACGTCTTAATCATCTTACTTTGTTGAATATAGAGCATGATTTGCTTAAAGAAGTTGATATTGAAAGTGTTATCTCTAAATTTTCCCACATTAAATCAAGAAAAGTTCATTTGTAACAGTTTTGATTTATTTAATACCCTAAACTTGAGAACCTAAAGCAAACCAAGGGCCCCTTGATAGAAATTTGCTACAGGCCCCGCGCTGGCTTAATCCGGCACTGCCAACAGTGAGTGCGCGATAGGTTGGTCAAAGCCATAATCGTCGCGCATTCGGTTCCAGGTTCGATTTCTAACAGCGCGCGCGCACTAGCGACTTTTGTCTTCGTGACAGGTGTCTCTCTTTTTCTCTTTAAAAAGGTGTAAAAGAAACAGATTTATATTAGCTCGGATAATCTGCCACGGCGACAAAAAAATCACCCGTGCGCGCGCCTTTATACTGTGGATTACTTATAAAATCTTTCATACTGTTTTTTCGGTTAAAAGAGAATCTGTCTGCTTGCAATCCGTACCTGAGCGTGCACACCGAAATTGGTGCTTGTTCATCTCTCAGAGTTTAAAATTGGCTTGATTTGATTGGCCTGATTGAGGATTAATTAATTTACAAAAGGCGAACAACGTAATGCCGTGTGGCATTCTCTACCAGTTAAACTTTAGGCCAAACAGAAGATGAAAAAACAAGGGACTGGATAAACAGGAGCTAATCTAATTGAAAAGAAACATGTGAACATAATAATTTACTATCCTTTAATGCTTTCCATTGTAGCTTTGTACAATTTAAATTTCCCTACATATTTTTTTAGCTCTTCCTTAGGATAGGGTTTGATTGCTAAGCATGTAGGAATATTCTCAGGCTGCTCAATCCACAGTTTATGTGCAATAGAGTTTTCTTCTAACTTAGCTGCTACTTTCTTCAGTGATTCCTCATTAGGGACCTGAAAATAAAAGTAAACAGTTGTTATCTTTTTATAGTCTTATTGAACATCTGTTAGTACAAAAAAGCATCTAAAGGAAGAGCTTAGGGTCTGTAGATAATAACTTACTTCCAAGACCACTTTATGCATATTATCTAAATCGTTCAAATACTGAATTGTACATTCATCGTCCCTGTGTAAATGCAGCACAGCTGTTGATGCATGGCAGGCCTGTGCCACCAAGGCTCCAATGGACCAACCCAGTTCCTTCAGGAGATCACTTCGAAGTAAAACATACTGAACTATGTTAGACATTTTTAATATCTTATTACAAATGTACTAAAAGTAACACCTATACAGTAGTTTACATTCTAAAATATTTACAAATTACAATTCAATTTGAATTTTTAGGTTAGATTTTTATTTATTTTCTGATTGTGACAGTGACAAGTTTGCCTGACGTTTTTGACACATATATTTTTTTTTAAATCGTAATTCGCAGACCGGACCCAACTCAAAAGCGCCAATGCTTTCCAGTGAGTGTAAACCGACTGTAAATGAAGGCAGAAGAAGGCATTTTTCAAGATCATTGGCCGACACCATGAAACTAAAGATAAAAATGGAGGGCAAACTTGGAACAAAAACTTGAGTCAAATACCTACTTATATCTATCTCGCTCTCTGTGGCCCTACCTCTCTTTTTAGTGTGAACTGTAGTATTGCTATCTTATCTTCTTATTTAAATCTCCTTGTAAATTCTTCGAAATAGCCAATTCACTAACCAAATCAGAAGTTAAACAAATAAATAATTAATATTTGAAACTAAGATTACCTAGTTAAATAAAAAATCACAAAATTGTCGGCCATTTTAAGCTTAATGTGTTGGCGAATCAGGGAATTACAATCCCAATTCCTGGGGAATCGGTACCATGTGGCAACATCGGCCCAATCCGGCCCATCATGGCGGTTGTTTACTATTTTGTTTATTATGCAGTTAATTTCGTTTGAGATTGTTTACAGGAAATATTCATTGTTTTATCACAAGAAATGGTGCAAAATTTTGTAGTGCGTGGTTGCGGTAGTACGTGGTGTCCTGGAAGTGACATAAGATTCCACGCGTAAGTGTTTATTTCGTGATTTCCGACATTGGATCATTGTAAACATTTTTCACATTTTTTACAGTAATTTCTTCCTAAAACGTTTTACCAGTATTTACACTTATCATTTTTAATGATACCTATGTCAAGAAATAAAGATTTTACATTGAGTTTCATTGAATTTGAGCAAATTTATATTTTTTGTTTATTTAGAAAGAGAGAGTCTGCCCACAGAGAGCGAGATAGTGATACGTAGTTTGTGCTTCAAGTAGGTATTCGGAGTGTGGCCTCCATTTTTGTTTAAAAGTAAACGACGTTTATTTAAAAAAATACTTTTTGGTTTTTGTGATTTTTTCTCAATATTTCTATTTTTTTGTATGAAAAGGCAAAAAGTTTGTTCTAGAAACGAATTCGCTATCCTTTAATTATCCGAAAATGACACCACACTTGCCCTAATACCTATAGGTTTGAAGATATGGGCCTTAAAGTGAAGCGCGGCAGAAGGAAACTTGCCCCCCCTCCCCCTGCTACCACAGGGGGGGCTCCTGATGTCTACCGACGGAAATCTACTCAGGAGCACCCAAAGAACAACTGGTGCAAAAATGAGCCTTCTATACCAAAGTGGAGGGGTCTCCATACAAATCATTGCACTAAATTCCCTACTATATCGGAATTAATTAATTTTTGAATCGAGTCACACGATATCATTCGATGACTTTGCGAATGCAGTACGATGATACGATTACTTTTACGTTGCGGCAATCACTAAAATTCGCTAAAATGACACTAATGACGTTTAAAAAGTGGCACGCTCGGCTTCATACAAATTTTGACACATGCTGCATCTATCCTTATCTGTGAGGCAGAAGAAGGCATTTTTCAGGATCATTGGCCGACACGTCTAGTATGATTTTGTAACAACTACTCTAAAATGAAATTACGCCACAATCCTTGTTTTGTCTGGACAAGGGACAAGATCGCTTCTAGTAGTTCTAGTCTAGTCCGCCTTAAAACCGCCTTTTTGTATGGTTACAGTTGTTGTGAAACAAAGAGTGTTTATCTTTTTATAACATCTTCGAGACCGTCACAGTCTGTCAGTGTCACATGTCTGTCAAGTCTGTCAATGTCAACCAACACCACATCACAATCTGTCATACTTGTCAGTCTGCTGTCAGTCTCGTCTCATCTTGTTTCTTTGATTTTTTTGTTGTGTATTTATTTTTGATTTATAATCATAATTAAATTATACATTGGTTACACAGCTATTTATCGTGTCACCGATATTCCTATAAGTGCTAAACTTCAGTGCTACACATATCTACAAATCCACAGTGATCACGGTAAGTCCTAAGCCCGATTACTCATAAACTTCCATGGTGAACTCGTTCTATTTTGGTTAGCATTACATCATTGGGCGCTCCATAAGATCTTGGATTCCTTCATTGACTCAGAATATTCTTCTTTTTGACAGAAAAGCTATTGGTGTTCGAGTTATTGTAAAATAGTTTTTATAAGACAGTGAAAATGCCAGGGTAAGAAACATCTGGTAGTGAGGGAGTGGCTAACCTAAATACTTACAAAGATCGCCCATTAGCACCTACACATTTCCATTGCCCACAATGCCAACTGACAATATTTATCTGGCTTTAAATATTTACTACTGACCTTTATTTACTTTACTGTTTTGATTCTATCAATCTTGTGATAATGTTGATGTATTTGCTTTTTGATTAGGTATATTACTTGTGTCCTTGTATTTATCTTTGATATACTACATTATGTTATGTACTCTATTAAAATGCAGAAACTGTGAAATAACTAATAGTTAAAGATGAGATTGATTTATAAAACTGCATAGACTCAAGGTTTAACATCATAAAATACTACTTATGTTTTCAATACCTCCTAAAAATCAATCCTTGACATTGATTTCAACATACTTAATGTTTTGAACAATACAAAACTACTTATAGACTACTATGATAGTAAATTTTATTGATATTAAAGTATTAAAATAGCAGGTTTCAGCCTTGAAAATTGTTTATAAGTCAACTTCCCACATTTACAATGCTTGTTTTTAAGCAAATTAGATCTTTTTTTGCTTATCTCTATTGTGTATTTTCAATGTTTAATGAGATTTGTTTTAATTTAATACATTCAAAGTAATAACTAACAAGCTTATTCAGATAGCAAACAGATTCAGTAGGCTTTGTAACAATAACAGGTAAAATTCATTTTCCTTAAAATTCACTCAACTACATCATCACTATTAATACTAAACTGACCTGTGATTCAAATTTTTGTGTAGAATGAAACAATAGTGTTTTTTTTTATTCCAGCATTGCAACCATGTCCCTTGACAATATGTTTTGCACCCGCTGTGGTGAAGGTTTTGAGACCAATAAAAAGATCGTCAACTCCAATGGAGAACTCTGGCATACCAACTGTTTTGTGTAAGTATATCACTCAATTTTGTATACGTAATTAAAATGATAGCGTCATGATTAAATTGTTCGTTATTCAACATTATTAATGGGTTCACTACTTGCCTATGTATTTGATGAGATGCTTTTAATACAAAATAATGTTTTTGTTTTGAATACAGATGCGCCCAATGCTTCAGAGTGTTTCCAGAGGGTATTTTTTACGAGTTCGAAGGCCGCAAGTATTGTGAACGTGATTTCCAGGTGCTATTTGCTCCATGCTGCGGAAAATGTGGTATGTAAAAAATTGATATTTGATAAACATAATCCCCCTTACTAATAAAACTTACACGTTCGTTGAACAGTGTTTTAAAGTGACGTTTAGTATGAAAATGTCATTTTAAAACAGTGTTTAACAACTGTGTAACTTTTTATTAGTAAGGGAGAAAATGTTTGGTTTTAGTGTTAGCCCAGTTTTTTTTAACATATCAGCTTATGATTAGACTCTGTTATATGTGAATTCGACTCAGTAACATGATAAGTTACTGTATCTAAGACCGACTGACTAGTAGTTGCCGATTCCATAGGTTATGACGTCGGTTCTACGAGTAATGAGTATAGTGAATCAACGATCTGGTCAGGTGAATCACCTGGATGAAAGGCAGCATAAGACTGTTTTTGTAGAAATCTTTGCGAAAGGCCTTTATCCAGCAGTTGTATTCAAGTAAACAAAAGATCTAACCAAGCATTTATCCTAGAAAGACCTTTGTCCAGCAGTTGAATTGAAGCAAACAAACAGTCTAACCAAGTACTTTTACTAGGCGAGTTCATCATCGGTCGCGTGATCAAAGCGATGAACGCTAACTGGCACCCTGCCTGCTTCCGTTGCGAGGAGTGCAATGTGGAACTAGCAGACGCCGGCTTCATCAAGCACGGCGGTCGCGCTCTGTGCCACGGCTGCAACGCGCGAATCAAGACCGACGGCCTGCAGAACTATATGTGCCATAAGTGCCAGTGAGTATCCAAAATAGCCTTTTAAATAGCGCTTCTAAGAACGTCGCAGATTTATCTACCCGGTAAGGGATCGTAACCGTATCAACTAGAGGCGGTCAGTATTCTTTGTATGAAACTCCATACTGCAAGTACTGCAACTCACACTTATCCGCACCTGCACCCACCGTAACACAGACAGCGCGTGAAAGGCGATGACAGCTCGCGAAAGGCGATACGGTGTTGATCCCTTTCTGAGATAATAAGTATGTTAAGAGCTTTGTCCACTGGCTAGGAGGGACATATAAAGCTCTTTTAAAAGCAGTCTTACCATACCACTTCTACACAACTTATACTAAGGCAACTCGTGTTATCATTAGCTAGTGTACCGAAGAATATTGCTCTAGCTGAGAGGAGTGGAGCATGGAGCTGACGCGCGTTTGTCTTACTGATCTTTAGGGATATTTTGAGGTACCTACGTCTCAATACTGCCAGTAGTGGAATTTGTGGGACTTTTTGGAATAGGACAGATAGCCGATTTTATCTTAAATAGTGATTTGTCAGATAAATAAACATTCTCTCTCTCTTTCTTTCTAACAGTGGCGTGATCGACGGCGAGCCGCTGCGCTACCGAGGCGAGGTGTATCACGGGTACCACTTCACGTGCGCCACGTGCGGCGTCGAGCTCGACAACACCGCGCGCGAGGTCAAGCACCGCCCCGGGTACGCTGCCAACGACGTGGTGAGTGCTGAGCTGGCAGGCTGACGTCACAGTGACGTCATGACGCGCGTCGCGGCAAGTGTACCACGGGTACCACTTCACGTGCGCCACGTGCGGTGTCGAGCTCGACCACACCGCCCGCGAGGTCAAGCACCGCCCCGGGTACGCTGCCAACGACGTGGTAAGTGCTGAGCTGGCAGGCTGACGTCACAGTGACGTCATGACGCGGCGAGGTGTACCACGGGTATCACTTCACGTGCGCCACGTGCGGCGTCGAGCTCGACCACACCGCGCGCGAGGTCAAGCACCGCCCCGGGTACGCTGCCAACGACGTGGTGAGTGCTGAGCTGGCAGGCTGACGTCACAGTGACGTCATGACGCGGCGCGGTGTCCCACGGGTACCACTTCACGTGCGCCACGTGCGGCGTCGAGCTCGACCACACCGCGCGCGAGGTCAAGCACCGCCCCGGGTACGCTGCCAACGACGTGGTGAGTGCTGAGCTGGCAGGCTGACGTCAGTGACGTCATGACGCGCCGCGGCAAGTGTACCACTTCACGTGCGGCGTCGAGCTCGACCTTGCGTGCGTCACGTTCGGTTTGCAACTACCCTCATCTTCATTTCCAAGGCACGAAGATTACCTTAAAAGCAAGGTCTCTTTCGTGTATGAGTTTCAATAAGAACTCGACAAGAAATTAATATTATGATAGGGTCCCATTATGAGTGGCGAAGCGTGCGACACCTTTTGTTTTGGATTTTTTTGTCGATAAAGTTTAACATGCAACACGTGGGTGGGTAAAGTATCGAAAATCCGATCCCTTACTAATAATGTTGTCCATTCCAGAACAATCTATTCTGCCTCCGCTGCCACGACAAGATGGGTATACCGATCTGCGGCGCTTGCCGCCGTCCCATCGAGGAGAGAATCGTAACTGCCCTTGGCAAGCATTGGCATGTGGAGGTAAGTGAACTAAATATTCAAATAAATTAATTAACATAACTTCAAAACTAGAAAATAATATTACATTTTATTGTTCATATCTAGTCTGTGGTGTAATCATGTTGGTGATTTTAGTTGTTGGGTTGGGTAGTCTACTCGTGCCTAGGACACGAAGCGAAAATGTTACAACCGATCGATTTTTGTCTCGATCAACGTCAACAATACGTGGTGTAAAACATGAATGTCGTAATTCAATAAAAATGTGTGTTCGTACAGTTAGAAGCCAGTCAATGTCTAAACATTGGTGATTATGACCCAACATTCATACAAGCCGTTCAGAAATTCGTCATTATAGTAATAGCTCAACTATACCAATTAGTAATTATTACTCTAACCCCCTTACTAATAAAAAGTTACACAGTTGTTGAACACTGTTTTAAAATGACATTTCCATACCAAACGTCACTTTAAAACACTGTTCAACGAGCGTATAAGTTTTATTAGTATATAAATATCTTTGGACAATTTCACACAGCGCCATCTACTAGCCAAGTCAAGTAAGCAACTAATATGCCTGTGTAATGTTTCCAGCACTTCGTTTGCGCCAAGTGCGAGAAGCCTTTCCACGGCCACCGCCACTACGAGAAGAAAGGGCTGGCCTACTGCGAGCAGCACTACCATCAGCTCTTCGGAAACCTGTGCTATGTCTGCAACCAAGTCATTGCTGGTGATGGTAAGTCTTCGCTTTTGTAAAATAATTACCGTTAGTCAAAAGAAACTCATTTTAGTTTTAATAACCTTGGGGGGCCAACACCAGCCCCCCTAGACAAATTGCACTTTTTGATCGAATCGAAAATCGAATCCGTCATAAGTCCATATAAATAAGGCCTTTCGACTGGTTTGCGATTATAATGTGCACTTTGTCTAGACCCACAGAAGTCTTCCCGATCTGAATGTGAAAAAAAAAAACGTGTAACGTTATTTATTTGTTGTGTCATCATTACTGCAAGACGGCCCTCTAATTTACCAGAGGTAAAAGGAAAGATTTGGTTGATTAGCCAGATTGATAGGAGAGGCCTTAAGTTCGCATAAAAAAAATCTCTTTTTCCCCCTCTTACGACATCCACAGAAGAGTGTGGTCCTGTTTGGTAGGACAGTTCAGTGTAAGCCATCTATATTTGTCACGTTTCATAATCTTAACTTTTTCTAGTGTTCACGGCTCTGAACAAGGCGTGGTGCGTGCACCACTTCGCGTGCGCGGTCTGCGACGCGCCTCTCAGCACGCGCAGCAAGTTCTACGAGTACGACGAGCGGCCCGCCTGCCGCCGCTGCTACGAGCGTCTGCCTTCCGAACTACGCCGCCGTCTGCGCCGTGCGCATAACTATACACTAAAACGCAATTAGACGATTGTCAATTGTTCCGCGTCAAAAAAAACTAATCTTGCATTAAAACGTCACAACCCTATAGCCGCCTAACTAGTGCCGTAGTGCTAGCGGTGCGTCGTAGCGTTGGCAAGTCCTACGAGTACGACGAGCGGCCCGCCTGCCGCCGCTGCTACGAGCGTCTGCCTTCCGAACTACGCCGCCGTCTGCGCCGCGCGCATAACTATACACTAAAACGCAACTAACTGGCTGGTTAGGTTATTTACTCCACGTCAAAAAAAACTAAACTCCGCCGCGCATTCACTGTTATTATGTAGAACGTCACAACCCTACAAGTATAGTCTCCTAAAGTGCCGTAGTGTAAGCGTTGCGTCGCAGTGCGTCAAGTTCTACGAGTACGATGAGTGGCCCGCCTGCCGCCGCTTCTACGAGCGTAACGCAAACGCAACTAACTGGCTGGTTGTGAACGATTGTATTTTCTTTTTCTCCGTGTCAAAAAAAGTTAAAAGATCCGCGCGTTAATAACCGATAACTGCCCGAAAACAAAAAAAAAACCTATAACGTCCCTGTATGCACTATATGCGTAGTGACTTATGGAGGAAAAATTATGGAACTCGGCCGCGATAAAATTAGTATAGGACATGTAATGACTAACTAAAAGTAACCAACATAGCGTGCAGAACTGCCAAATTAAATGGCAGTGGGCGCGACTCGCTCGCTGAGTAAACATACTTTAGCAACGCTGCACGATAAAAGTGCCTTAGTGCTAGCAGTGCTTTCCCGGTGCCTAGAATCCTTGCAAAGGACAACAATGTGTGCACTGCACCAATCCAAGTTGACAATATTTAGGAAAAAAGCCAACTGTCAAGTTAAATGATCTGCCTCTTTATACAAACCTATATTTATAAATCAAAGAATATGAATTATAATTCCATATACAGGGTGTTACTTTGCATTCTTGCCATATTTACAGAGGTGACTATATTACTGATACTGATCACAAATCCGTTAAAAAATAATGCCCGAAAAAAATTTTTTTTAATCTTGAGTATTTTATTTTATCGACAATCTGTTAAACACATCACTAATTATCGTAACGCATGCACATCACTTGTTGGCGATGGCGATGAAGACTTTTTTACTTTTATATCTTTTGCAATCTATTGTCTTTAAAATGTCTTTTTGACACTGAGAAATCCATCAATCACAAATCACGTTATAAATTATACAAAAATGTCTGAAGTGTATTCAAACAACGAATTTAATCAAAATGGTGCCTGGAGTGTCTGCAAGACGTCTTAGACGAAATGGTTGATGACGTACCCTTAGCGTTACACCAAATGTTCTACTAGCAGCAGGATGGTGCTCCCCCACAATAAGGACGTCAAGTGCGCGAATAATACGTTTGGTGAACAGTGGATTGGACGAGTGGTCCAGTAGCTTGACCACCACGATCCTCGGACCTGACANTGACAATATTTAGGAAAAAAGCCAACTGTCAAGTTAAATGATCTGCCTCTTTATACAAACCTATATTTATAAATCAAAGAATATGAATTATAATTCCATATATTACATTTCTAACTTTTATAATATACATTTACGTTTAATGTTAAAATGACACAAATTTAAATCTAGCTGTAAGTGTATTTCTTAAAATAATAATGCGCCTCAAGTGCCTAGATATAAAAAATGCTATTGCCGCAAGCTCGGACTTAACAATAGCGATATGTATTAAAAGTTGAAATGCCTATGCTATAAGGAAAACTAAAAAATACTATTGATATACTTTATTGTTTAGATGTGTGCCTAAACTGAATAAGATGGGCCCGTATTACGAAACGACGTTTAAAGCTTAATATTGAAACCTAAGCATTCTGTATTGTTTTAAATTATTGAGATGTAACAAAACTGGTTTGATCTGTGGTTGACAATTTTTAGCGCCCGTTTTGTAATACTTTATTTTATGAACTAATTAATTATATTTTTTGTTAATGAATACTTTAATTAGTTTATTAATGGAATAATTTAGTAACTAAAAGTATGTGTATTTAACCATTAAAATTGCCATATTGGTTTTAATAAAAATTGTATTTACTAAAACGCATTTTACTGAAAAACTACAACTAAATAAATATCCCGTCCACAAGAATAAATTTTAATGTCAAGTAATGTTTTGTAACAATTAATAAATTAAAAATATCCATTTAGCTAAATGAAATTCAAAAACCAGGTACAAAAAAAATATTAAGGTCATGATGATGATATAAATAAAGAACTAATATTACAGTGGGAATGTTTATTAGATTTATTTGCTTATCTGAATTATTTCTGAACATTAATTCCAACAGTAATTAAAACAGTACATAATACTGAAATACATTAAAAGCCGTAAGTCAATGAGTAGGGTTGCACATAAACATTGATTATTATTTTTATATCGATTTAATCCATACTAACACATCACTTGCAACACTACATAATAATATTTTACAGAAGGTCGTATTGTACTCCATTACGTAAACTATACAGTAAACTTAGTAACACTTATGTACAATAACTGCAAATAAATATAAACTGCTCATACATTTTCAACAAATCACATTACAACTAATTATTTTTACAGTGTCTATTCAAACATTGTGGCTGTGACTCTAATCTGAATAAAACAATGTTTTAAAGACAAGTTAATTACTGCTTACAGTAAAATCTCCTAGGTGTTCATTTCAGGATCATATTCACAAGTGTGATCAGAACACATAAAAGTTCTGTGTGAGCTTCACAAACTAATTAATTTAGTTGTCTTTCTTCATCCTCGTGCTCGTCATACGGTAGATAATGGAGTCCCTGCCAGGGTCCATATCCATGATAGCATAGACAATGGCGATCAGAGTGAAGGAGAACACAACTCCGAACCACAGGATGATGTTGAAAATGGCGGAGTAATCTGAAGTGTATTTGTCGCTGCTGAAGCTCTGAGTCTGCAAGAAGATTAGACATTGTGAACAGAGAAGAAAAAAATGGTAATACTATTGCACAGCTATTAGTTTTACAAAAAACTTACATCTTTCAATTTTCCTTCATTGCTAACTGATCGGGTAACACGGCGGCTGTGAATGACATCTGTAGTCACAGCAGTTACCAGTACAGATCCATCGTATGCCTTCACAAAGGCATTGCTCAAATCTTCCAGCACATCACCTGAAATAAATTTTAGATATTTTATATTTATCTATACCACAATTTCACTAAAATCTGTAGTTTATGGTAACTTTCTCATAAATATTAATTTATTAACTTAAATAGAGTAACACAGGTCTCAATGTGTCACATATTATGTTGATATGTTACATTATGTACTCAAGGCTTGATGTTTCGGCAGAAACACCTAATAAAGACCCGTATTTCTCTTTTTTAGTTGAAAGGGAATGCAAAAGTTTAAAATCTTATATTTATTAACTTTTTTGAGCTATAGCTTATTGCTAGGAATTTTAATACATACCCAAAAGCTTCTTAGCCTCCTTAGCTTGCAGAGAGTTAGGTCCATGGTAGTCAGATAAAGCATGGAGGGAACGGAATCTGAAGTTGTAGAAGTCAACAATGTTGTCGGGGCTCAATGACCGAACCTGAAATTATAATAAAAATCGTTGTTATACTCAAACTTAGTAAAGATTAAAGCCGCCCGCGACTTAATACACGTGGATTCCGTTTTACCCCCTTAGGGGTGGAGTTTCGTAAAATCGGTTCTTAGTGAGCACCTATGTTCTAAAAGGAACCTCCATGAAAAATGTGAGACTCCTAGCAATTGTAGTTTCTAAGATTTTGTGATAGTGAGTCTGTCAATCAGTACCTTTCGCTTTTATATATATCGATAATGTCAAATATTAGTACACAATCTTACCTGGTTGGCAATAGTTTTTAAAGCCTCCAATTCAGTAAGGAACTGGTAGTCTTCTTCAACAGAGTACTTCAAGTGTTGCAAAGATACTTTTGTAACCTTTGGTGGAGTGATTTCTCCAAATATGTCAGCCCTGGATGTTAACTGAAAGATAAATCATTTCAATTTTATATATTAGCTCATATTTTAATAATAATTACATACCTACACTTAAATTGTTAACAGGGTGTNTGATAATCACCTGATCAGTGTCTGAAAGATCAATCTTGACAAGTTTGTTGCCACCATTGGTAAATCTCTGGTTGATCCTGTGTTTCACGGCTTCAAATGTGTCAGGCTCATACTCGTCAACTGTAAGTGGGTATACCTTTGACTTCAACCCAGCCTGTAAGGATTTTTAAATTATTATAACTTGATATACACTTATACATAATGATCATGTTTATTGAATGAAATAAACTTACATCATTTCCAAGGCTGGAAACTCCATCAATGTAGACCTCTACTGCAGCCTCAGGGGTGTTGAATGGGTCTACAATTGAAAGCCCATCCCAGTCAGAGTTCTGCAAGTGAATTATTGGTTTTATATGATGGTAACTAACAAAGAAACATTGCAAGTATTCATATCATTAAAATTGTTTGTACCTCTTCCACGGACAGTCCAAGGGAAGCGGAGAAAACCTCTTTCAGGCCACTCTCAAGGGTCTTGCTAGATCCTGAGAACTTCAGGGATTTCGGGCTGTGCAAGACAGCCAATTCCCCCGAGGCATTGGAGCCTTAAAATATATATAAATACGTTAACAAACAACTAAACAACGTAAATACTAGTTCAAAACGTGTAAATGTACTTACCAATTACTGATAAAACAAGAGTTATCCAAAAAAGAGCCATTGTCACAGCCATTTTGTTCGAAAATAGATGATCGACTGTCATATGATCACAGTCTTGCTATACGAAATAATTAGAAGCTCATCTGTGTCTATGGAAAATGTGTGAAATCTCAATGCAACGATTGGTATTCCTCCATGTATTTCTGCTGTGTATTTCTGAACGAATAGTTTTGACATTGACATATTTACGGTATTGATTACTGAAATATCCTTATAATTTAAAAAGCTTCTGTTAAAACTGTGTCTGTTTCACTTTTCATTGGCTAGTAGTAGTAGAGAAAAAGAGACAACAACAAATTTCCTTATATTTTGAGAACTTCCAAATCCCGCATTTTAATCTAATGTTTACAAAATTTTGGTTATTTTTATGAGCATCGAATTGGCTATTTTGTAAAATTTAGGAACAATTTGGGAAAGATGTCACACAGAAGATCGAGTTTCCAAGCCAACGATTTGTTTCCCAGGGAAATAGATATTGAGATATGTTTGAAAACATTGAAAATCTATCAAAAAATGGAAGGTGATGTAAACTGTGTTGTTTGGGATGCTTCTTTGGTGTTGGCGAAGTATCTTGAAACAATGTGTCAGCATAAACCTGATTTCTTAAGTGGCATAAAAGTATTAGAACTTGGATCAGGTCTTGGAGTTGTTGGACTGACAGCTGCTACCTTAGGGTAAGTTACAATAATCCTACAAATTTGAATCACACTGATGTTATTAGGTACCACCAACCTCTTTTTCCTTTTCTAGGGCTCAGGTCACACTTACAGATTTGCCAGAAGCATTGCCACTGTTACGGCTCAACATAAATGAAAACAAGACAAAAATTGGCAGCATGGGTGGATATGCCACAGCTGAATCCCTTGTATGGGGAGATAGTACATCAGAAATACTGAAAAAAGAGTTTGACATGATTGTTATGGCTGATTGTGTTTATTATGAGGAGGTAAACTACTAATATCATAATTCAAACTGTGACTGGTAGAGAATGCCACCCAGTATTAAGTTGGCAAAAATAATAATATTATTTTAAATTCATAAATATAATTTTCTATTACAGGCTATAGATCCTCTTGTTCAAACACTACAGAGTCTCAACAACACCATGTCAAAGAAGCCTACAATATATTTGACCCAGGAAATGAGAGATTCTGTTATACAAAAAGGTTTATGGGACACATTTTATGAGAAACTGACAGATAATTTCAATGTTGAGAAGATCCCAGAAGAACAACAACATGCTAATTATAGAAGTTCTGATATTACATTGTTAAGGATAAATAAGAAATAACTACATTTTGTAACATAAGCTCAAAGCTATATTTATAAATCATTTTTAATTCCATTTTTAATCTCTTATAGTGAGAAGTTGACAAACAAAATAGCACAATAATTGCATTTAATTATAATGTAATAAATATTTTTAAGAATAAATAATAAAATCGCTTTTTCGCCACTATGTAAGTAATTTTTATTTAGTGTTTTCATGTATTAAGCTGAAACTCCTGTTACAGTTTAAAGTTTTACCATATCGCCATCTTCTATGTTTAGATTCATAGGAGTATTACCATAATTATTACTAGAAATTCCTTATTAGTCTAGTCGTTATTTATATTAATCGACCGTGGCGCATGGAGACAATATTTACGATTTTTTTTATTTCATAAAGGTATTTCTCTACCCTTGGCCAGCCGGGCTAGGATGCACGCCGTGATACAACCTTATCGATTATATTAACGATAAACGTTAATATAATCGATAAACGTATGGGCTTATCGCGTAAAATGGTGGAATGAAAGCTTAACGCGACTCGCATCCTAGGCCAAGTCGTTCGTTTTGTAACATTTATGTCGTCTCCTGTTTCTACTCGATGATTTACAATGGCTATCGCTTTTTTCTCTGTTGTTTCTTGACTTCTAATCTGTGGTCTTGTCTATGTCATACCCAAAGTCATACCACGGTAATACTATCTATACAGTATTCCAACTCGGCCATATTTTTGAAAAAAATGTCAACAGCCCCGCGGTACGTCACGGTATGACAACATGCGATAGGGCTGCCCGCCCACCTACAGTACCCATTCTAATTACCTGTCTACTTAGAATTTCTATCTAGTTTTGTGAATGTAATTTTTTTTTATTAAGACAAACAAAATACTTCGTGAATGGAATAGGATAAAAATGTGTGTTGTTTTGTGATTAGTAGATTTAATTTTAAAAATATAGGGTGTTTGGCGCATCGTGTGCCAAAATTATNGTCTGTCTGTTTTTAAATGTCAGATTTTGTTGCAAAATTTTGTGAATTGCGAGTAGTTTTATTTGATTTTAACTACAAATAGTGAGGTTCTCTAACGAAGATCTCTACGTTTGTTATAAAGCAAGTAATATCATGAATTCTTAAAGTATAGGAAGTACGTTACCGCGTCTACTTTTCAGGGAAAGTAGGTGATCCTTACATGAACTTGAGAAACTGCTTTGTCCGCATTAAAATAGTTGAAACCTTGTGGAAACACATTAGTTATTTTTATTTTATTAAACAGATGGATGGCCAGAATCAATCTACTGTTCAGCGCGACAATGTGGAAACGGTAACCGCCGTTGGTAATTCTTGGATAGTATGCCGGTCCAAGTCCCATGGTGGTCGAATTTATTACTTCAATACCCTAACTGGTGAAGCAGCATGGAACTTAAGTGATCAAGAAGTAAGGACATCTATTTACATTGATGTATTTATGAATTTGGTATACTTACTTACATAGTTATTTAAATTAGTTCAAAAGTTGGTCAGATTGCAGGTTTTTATTGTTATTGAAATGAAATCTGTTACAATAAAAATATCATCTAATAAGAAATCAATATTAAGCCTTCAGTGTTTGTTCTTCACTGTTTGAAGTATTGTTTTTCAATATTTTTAATGTAACTTGTGTTTTTTACAGATTGAAAAGGCAAAAGCAACAACAAGTATTGTAGGTTCAAAGTTTGAAAGCTGCCCTGAACCAAAGGAACCTCCTATTGACAGTGTCAAAACTTCTATAAGTCCACCAAATACAAAAATACAGTATGTTCCTTCTAGAGTGTACAACAAACAGGTTATAAATAATCAGTTTCCTAAGGAAGCAATTGCGCCAATGCAAGCCTACTATGCTCCTGATTCAGTGACTGTACGTAACAATGGCAATCCAAACGCATGGGGTCTTCCACCGGACTACCACATCCTCCAAGTTATTGCACCTAAACCTCCAGCACTCCATCCGTTACCAGAAATAGACAATGATATCGATAACAGCTTAGAGCAGCCAGTAATTGTTCAAAATACGTCATTGCCTCTAACACAACGCTACAATCAATTGCCACACACAAATACCATAAATAGAAATTTTGGTATTGGAAATGGTGCCAACAAATTTATACCACAGAATAATAGAAATGAATGTTTTGGCCAAAGGAATGGTAATCCATATAATAAATTTAATAGGTTCAGTGACCAAAGTGATTTGCGTCAACGGTTGACTGCAAAGAGATTAAATAATGCATGGAACAATGTCAATGACAATTACCAAGGTATGTTCTTGACACTTATTTAGCCTTAGGGTTTGAGTGTTTCTATGTGTAACTAGCGGCCGCCCGCGATACTTCGCACGCGTGGATCCCGATTTACCCCCTTCATCTATCTTATGCGGTTTAGATTTTTTCATACAAATGTTTTTTCCCGCTAACTCCCGTTCTCGTGGGAATTTTGCAATATCCTGTTGTAACTAAGCTTTGAGTTTACTAAGGTACCAGCATGCCAAATTTCAAGCGTCTAACTTAAGCGGTTAAGATTTTTCATAGAAAAGGATTTTCCCGCTAATTCCCGTTCCCGTGGGAATTCCTAAGTATACTATAACCTGCCCAGGAGTATGAAGAATAATTGTACAAAGTTTCGTTTAAATCCGTCGAGTAGTTTTTATTTCTATAAGGAACATACAGACAGACAGACGGACAGACAGACAGACAAAAATTTTACTGATTGCATTTTTGGCATCAGTATCGATCACTAATCACCCCCTGATAGTTATTTTGAAAATATATTTCATGTACAGAATTGATCTCTCTACAGATTTATTATAAGTATAGATAATAATTGATCTCTTTTATTTATGTTTTAGATGAAGAAGTCAGTAACAGTCAGTCACCAAGGATACAAATAATGAAGCCAAAGTTTGCCAATGTAGCATGTAGTGATGCAGATGACATTTGGTTAAAGGTGATTTATTTATTTAGAATTAGTAAATTAATGCCCGTTTTCACCATTAATCCCTAATTTTTAAGTGACCCCTATGGTAACACTCAAGAAGAATTTTGTTTTCAATAGGGTCACTTAAAAATTAAGGATTGATGGTGAAAAAGGGCATAAGAATTTCACATAAAATTTATAATGACACAAAAATGATTTCTTTTTTATTTTATTACATTAATTGTATGATAATGCATACTTAAATATTATATTTTCAGGAGCATTCAACTGTTAGAGGTACTCAATTGGTTTTAAATGTGGACCCTCTAAAGAAACTTGTAACTGGTAATGTCAACTCCAGTTTGTATGTTGTGGCCGACCCTGGTGTTTTGTTTAACCACATCAATTTGATTATTAGTGTTGTAAATTCTGGTAAGTGTACATTATCTAGTGCATAACTTTCATGGTTTCTCATTGCCCTACTAAAGTAATCTCAAATCTGCTTTGGCCTTGTGTTTTATGGAAATTTTCTATGTAACTATGTTATTCCAATATTTATATTATTGCTAAAAACATAATTATTTGGAACTATAGGCACAGTGTAAAATGTCTAAAGATATTTATTACTATTTTTATATATTCCAGATGAAAAGTGCCAGCTTATGATCCCTGTCTCTGTAATGGGGACACTTCAAAACAGAAGTAGAGCTTTTGATACACATATTTTTAGCAGAGCGCATCAATGTTTACAAATTCTCTCCCAACAAATTAGTGCTGGTAAAGCTGTCTTAGGTATGTGTTTACTGTCATAATAAGTATAGAAAAAATTAATATTATGTTATTTTTTCAATAATGTTGTATTTCTTTTTTAACGAAATTGTCAATGATTAAATGTAAAAACAACAGCACACTAGACTGCAATATTTTCATTGCAAAATCGCACTAATTGCCTCTACTAGGACACTGCTGTGTGTACCTTAAAGTGCTGCTATGTGCTAACTTAAAAAATATTAATTATGCTCATGCTGCTACAGAGTGGTATAGTGTTGTGTTGAGGCAAATATTCGTATCACAACACTGTTCTTTTAATAAGTCTGTCTAGTAATTCCATTTTGTCAGCTTATTATTATTGGTACGCTATTTCTTCGCTAATGATACTAGAATAGTGAAGATTGCAATTTGTGGCTTACACCTTAGAAGTACTATCGCGGTCGCTGCCGCCTTACTTATACATATCACCCTTACGGTTAAAATTGTCTATGCAGTGCGCAAACTGATTTGCCACTCCCTTTGTTCATTCATGTTTTGGGAATAAGTGGCGCAACAAACGAGCTAGCAAACGACTAGCTAGAGCATTTAGAAGTTAATGTTCTATGTGAATTAGGTTGAATATTGCTTTCGCATTTTCACTAATACGCGACGTTGCACATTACGAGTAGGTGTGTGTTAACTATTACCAATTGGAGGCTAATACTATTCTATTTACAAATTCCTTCCAATATGATACTATTTACATATTCCTTCTAAAATGTGCAATCTATCAAGAGACAGGTATAGTTCTTGCCCGGCACGCGCATCCGCTTTACACGAATGAATCCGGGAATCGAACCAACTAAAATCTGATAAAAATTACACCCTGTTTTTTATTGCATAGACCGTTAGGGTTAAGTATAAGGATGAAATCTCTCTAACAAACTTGATAAATCAAATGAAAGGAAAACCATGACATCTTAATTTTTTTAAATTATTCACAGAAAATTTTCGAAAAAAAAAATCGGAAATCTTTGAATGCAGTTCTATTTCTTTTCAAAAATAAAAGAATGGTTTCTTTGAGTAAATTTTTCTATCTACAGTATTAAGAGTAGGTACTTTCTCTCCAGGTGGCATTACAAAATTCTACCCTGTATAGTTCGTTTCATCCACGAAGACGCGCGGGGTCGAGGGAAGCGGGGGGTGCGGGGAGTTTGATCCGACCAATCCGAGCGTCATTGTTGGCATTGGCAGCGTTGCAATGAGGGCTATCGTTTTAGCGCTCACCAGTTAGCGCCACTGTAGAGTAAGGTCCTGTCACTTGCTAGTAGCGAAGACAGTGGCACCAACTGGTGAGCGCTAAAGTGGTAGGAGAACTATCGCAATTGCACTCATCAAGATGGCGCCACTGTAGAGTAAGGTCCTGTCAATCGCCAGGGGTGCCAACTGTTAAGTATAAAAACGATAGCCCTCATTGGATAGTTGTCCGTGAGTGCGCGCGCAAATTACATTGATGACGCTCGGATTGGTCGGACTTCCCTCGACCCCGCGCGTCTTCGTGTATTTAACGAACTATACTATGTATTTGACACCATTCCCCAATAATCCGAAATCTCAACGTTTTTTAAAAATACACTTCATTCTGGTCTTAAAAACCTAATTAATTTGAAATTACCTGTAAATTAAGATTTTTGGTTGCATTGTTTTTCAATATCTTTTATAGTTTAGAAATAATCGAGTGAGATCACTTAAAGTTTCCACCCTGTATGTAATACTATTTTTATAATATCAATTATTTTCAGGAAGAGACCTCACAAGTGACAGTAATGCATATGATTTTTGTTGCAAATTAAAAGCAGAACATAATGTGGTAAGTTATTATTTGCATACTAGCGGCTGCCCGCGACTTCGTACGCGTGGACCTCGTTTTACCCCCGTTAGATATCATGTTGATAGATGGCGTTTTACTGCTTCCCTTGCATGAATATTTACGAAGGTCAAAGACAGTTGTTTGTCCAACGCTGTAGATTTTAACCAATGACGATAGATGGCGCTTTTTAGACACGTCTTATTTATCTATTGAGATTTATTTGTCACTTAACGTCATAAATTATTGCCTATATATGTTAATCTGGGTTATAAACAATAATACTGTTAAATTTCAACAAAATCCGTTCAGTAGTTTTTGCGTGAAAGAGTAACAAACATCCAGACATCCAAACTTTCGCCTTTATAATATTAGTAGGATAGTAGGATTTTAAACAACAAGCATTGGAGCTATGTAAAACCTAAAGTGCAAATAAGTTTTATATTTACCATAATATTATGCTTGAGTTCTTTAAAGTAATTTTTGTGTTATAGGTTCTCATATCGAACAATATTCGATGGAGAAGAAATAATGATAACACCATAACTATACTCAGTGCTCAAGAACTAAAAGATACGCTATCTAATGTGCATCCACCAAAACGAATATTAGGGGACCATAATATTGAAATTACAATACCTAATCTTCAAGCAAATGCCGCAAAATATTCAAAAGCGATGTCTGTAGGGACTCAGTTTGATATGTATGAAAAAGAGTGCATTGGAACTCTAACAAGTAATACGTTTACTGCCACTAGTAACTTACTTAGTAAACCAACATCAAAGAATGCTGTTGATATTGGAATACAAACTGACCAGTTACCAGAACTTCAGAGCTCACCGAAACTGAGTTCCATGGGAGTAAACACTGAAACATGTAATTCAAGTAATGTCAGTGAAGAAAGCAAAGATCGGCAAAATAGAGATGTTGTGGATTCCAATGAAATACCTAAACGAAGAGAAATACGACTGAAAAGGAACATCTCTCATCAGCCAGCTACGGGTAATAATGGAGAAAAGAAACAATTCAAATGGCGGAGAAAAAGAATTGCATCAGCTCCACACGATAATACAACAGATGAGAAATCGACGACATTTAGCGATCATTCTTCCAATACAGAAGGTCAAACTCATACCAAACAGGCGGGCCCAGAACCTAGATTTGAGAATATATTCCCTCATGAAACTAGAAATTCTTACTTCGAACCCATTGATGGTAGTGAAACCAGTAGCTCATGTTTCATACAAAAAAGTGTTGATGAAAAAATCGTTATCGAAGAGACTTCTACGTCTGGAGTAATTTCCAATACGGCCAGTAATGTTGATTCTGAAAGCATGCACAATGAAGAGATTTATAACAAACTAAACAATGAACAAAATGATTTATACAAATGCGTGATGTTCGAAGTCGAAAGCCCTACCATGGAAGAGTATTTAAAAATGAGGAGTGATGAGTGGGTTTCTAGATTTGTTCAAATAATGGAAGAGGTTTTGAGTCAAATATTACAACAAAGACCTACATTTTTTAATCGCATGTTACCACCTCCTTGGACAATACATGAAGCAACTGAATGTATCAAAAAGAAATTTGAAAATGATCCTGATGTAAATGATGCGGCAAATATGTTAACTAAAGTTCTGTTTAGAATCAGCGATGGCAGAGGTATTTATTGTATTAAGGGGGTATTTAATTTTCTGAATTAAACTTATAGTCACTGATTTAAAAATCTGTTTTCAGGTAATATTAGCGTGAATTTGAAACCATCAGAGTTCATGGAATTGTATAGTTACGGTGTTTATTTGGTCGACGCATTGCAGGTGAGTTAATCGCTATATTAAAATTAAAAATGTATACCTTTTTCAGCCGCAATGACAACTTTTTAAATGCATAAATGTGTTTTAACCGACTTCAAAAAAAGGAGGAAGTTCTCAATTCGACTGAATGCTTTTTTTAATGTTTTTTTTTTCAGTCTGTCAGCAACATTGAAGACCTTCAAACAGCCGCAGATTCCTTAGCCAAACTGTTAAGTGATATTACCGACCCAAACCTCGATACCAGTCACACGGAAGCCTTTTTGGATACTTCCCATCATCGTTCTGCAAATAACACAGATGTCAGCATCGGTAAGCATTACACTTTCGTTTCATCGTTACCGATAAATATACTATAAACAATCTAATAACTATAGATTATAATTATGTTCCAAAATTATTATTCTTAGATAAACCACACAATGATAACACAAGTGAAACACCGAAACCTGATGAAAATAAGCTACCTGTTTTTAAAAGCCCAAAAAGTTCTGATAATAATGCTGAAATAAAGAAATACAATCTCAGATCCAATCGAAAAAGAGCAATGGAGGTGAGTTTTTAAAATAGGTAATAAAAAAAATACCTGTAATGTTTATGAACAATATATTTCATTCGAATTATTTTTAGGACGAAGAAAGGACTGAACAACCCGTCAAATTCATTAGAAAGATTGATATTGAATCTACATTTTTCACAAGTTTGAAACTTCAGAAAAATCAAGACAGTCCAAACGTCGCCATAAATTTTTTGACTCGTTCTGCTGCATGTCATAACACTTTATCGAATACTGTGCACGAAAAACCTATAAATAGTTTAAACAATGATGAGACAAATGAAGCTAAAACTGAAATAGATAAGCCAATTAACGAGCCAAAAATAATTAGGAATTTTAGCAAGTGTCTAGCCGAGTACGAAGAGAAGTTAAAAAATAAACAAAAAGAATCGTTACCTATGGATGCTATGGATGCACATTTCTCTAACAGTGATGATGGTTATGAGGATTACTATGACTATGATTATGGATACCGCGATTTTGATAATGTTGAGGATTTCGAAGACACTGAATACTATGGAGAAGGAGATGAATCTCAATTATGTGACGAAAAGAATGTCGACAAAAATGGAAATTCTTATTTTGAATGTTTTATCCATAAATTTTTCAATGAAATCCAGGAAACATTTTTAGATGTGCATTCGTTTTGGTAAGTTTCTATCTACCTACTTTAGCAGTTTTGACTGAGGTTTTTGTTCACTCGAGTAACCTCTTCTTGTCGTTTGTAGTGCAAAGTTTAAAGAAGAACTAAGTGTTTCCAAGACGTTAAGTTCTCCAAGAAAGTTTGAAGTACAAGACAAAGCTGAGAAGGCGCGGTTACATATACAAATTCTTCTTTGCTCCTTAAAAACGTATGTATATAGTTACAAACATCATAATAATATGGTTACTAATATCTTTTGCATTATTTATGCATATTTAATTCACTTTTTAGCATACTTTCTCGGGAGAAGATTGTCGGTGGAAAAAAAATTCTGAATATTTTCAAAGAGGTTGGATTTCACCTTGATGCCAATAAGTCTATTGAGTACAGGTGAGAAATCTTACAAATTTTATTATCACCTTCGTTAAGGTCAGTTTAGATGACGTCTTCATGGCAAGTTCTTTTGTTTGTCTTAAACTTATTTACTTCGAAGTACATCGAACATTTGCTGTATAAAAACAAGATGACAATCCATGGAGTAGAAAATTTTCACGACTTTGAACCGTATGCTTTGGTTTTAGGGATATCATCGCACAGTATTCGAGTCAAGCCAACACTCTCCTAGAAGCAGTCAATGTAGTTATTGAAGCCGTAAAGTAGCCAAATAGTATCTCTTTGTAAGTATTTTGTTATGCAGAGATGAACTGAAAGTGCAAAAGGAAGTGATATCTCTTTTATTATAATTTTTCATTGACTCTCTTAACTGTAAATACATGACTGTTGATTCTTTTTAAAGTTGTAAGTATTCAGTAAATGTTTTACATTTTTATTTTATTTTACTATACAAATACCTCCTGGCCTGCACAGAATTATTTCAAAGTTGAAGACAAATACAGATAAGTAAATAAAATACCAAAATTATAGGAAAGATTAAAAGCTGTCTGTGCCAAGCCCTATTTCATAATAAACATTATATTAAAACAGATGTAAATTAAAAAATATTAACAGAAAAACTGAAACATTTAAGACTTATGGCACGAAGTGATATTGGAAAATAAATTAATTGTCTAGTTCTAAGATTAATTAAAGCCTTTTCCGTCCATCATAGCCTGCGCGCAATATTTCGGGAACTGTATTACTGACAGGAGGAAGTCCGTGAGTCCCTGAAAGAGAGAAAATAATGATTAATTTATATTATCAGCTTTGATTTGATTAGATTTTAGATCATCCCCTTCGTCTTCGCATCGAACAATATTATTTTAGAAAATACTAAAATTGGGCCATATTTCAAAACTCATCAAACTTTTCTATGGACATTAATATCTAAAATTGGTCATAATAATCTCAAAACTCATAAAAGTTTTTATGGACATAATATGGCTTGTTCGAACTCCAGTGTCAGTTTGACGTCTAATTTTGGGACACCCTGTATTTAAGCCTTTTCTTTTGTTATTTTTTTTGTGTAAGATGTTCGTTCATCTTTCCAAATACATAAATATTTCATTTTGTTATAGCGCGAAGATGGCCATAATGGCATAAATAATTATCTATCAAACGGCTTACTCATATCAAACGTTACCAAAGAATTCAATTTAATAACACATTGATAACTGGATTACCCGTTATAATGAAAATTGATAATTCATAGTTAACTCCTTGATCGCGCATTTTATATTACAAATCAGTACATATTATTATAGTTAGTGGAAATTAGTGCTGTTTGGACAGCCGCAGTTGCGGGTTCGATTCTCGCAATATTAGTTTGATGGCACTTATTAGTATGTATTGGTAGTAATTCAGAGCCCCGATTACGGTAACTTTTAACGTCAACAATCCAGACACGCTTCTCGATTCTGCGATACGATTGGTCGTTCAACAGCGTACGTCAGCTGTTTTGACCAATCGTATCGTAGAATCAGAAACGCGTCTGGATTGTAGACGTTATAAAAGTTACCGTAATCGGGGCTCAGATGTGATATAATCCGTTATCTATGGTCACCATAGTAACAGCTTGGCTTACTTTGGGCTTGGCAATTTGTTGTGTACGTATGATTCAATTATTTTTGTCATTGGTCTGACCTTATTTATTTTTCTGTTACTGTATTATTTTTAGACTAGACGCAGACCATCGATTTTTAGTTGGCCGATAGTTGGGCCCGATTTTAATTTGTATGAAGAATCGGCCAAATCAAATCGGTGTAATGTGCGCACTTCCATACATGCCCATACTGATCAACTGCCCGACTAAACTATTCGCCGACGAAAAATCGATGGTCTGCGCCTAGGCTTAAAATCTATTAAAAGCGAACAATATTATGAAATTAATGAAGCTCAAAACCTTGAATTTATTATCGAGTACCATTAATTTTTGAATTCATAATATGGGCCTTGATCCCGCATGTTTTTTGCTGTAAGAATATTTGCCCTAACTTAGGTCAATAGATCTCTAACTGTTACATTTTAGTACTTACCGATAGCGGTTCTATGCAAACTGTGAATGGAATTAGAAGGATATAAAAGCCAGCTGCAATTCCAGCTATCCAAAATCCGATGAATATCAGAATGATGAGCCAAATTATTGAGAATAATACGTTGCCCATTTTCTGAAAACAATAATAAATACCGTTATAAATAGGTGTTATGAACGCTCGTTAAGAACGTGTGGCCAAAACAGAAACAGTAGTTAGTACTATCAATGATTTCATAGAGTATTTTCAAAGAGTAGGTAGGGTTAGTAATAAAATAAGACATTGAAGGAATTTAAAAAATATTTCGAAGAGAGAAATCAAGTTGTTTTGATCTTTGGCTTAATCTGTACTGAAATCACAGTTGGTGACTTTCATTTCTTTGTATTTTTTATTTAAATAAGTACTTGTAAAAGTTGTTTGGTGACACACTGATAAATACGTATTAAAGGAATTTTTCATTCGCGTAAACGTCAACAAGTACATGTTAGTTGAATCATAGATGGCTACGTAATGTATAGGCGTAGGTGGTAACTCCTACAACATTAATCTTTTTACATTTTATTGTTATCAAGTAAAGTAATCTTCCAATTATAGTCATCATCATCTGAAAAAACACACTCATGACCTGAAAAAACACGACTCCTTTCAATTTATCGGAAGAATGGAAAATATTTCGAAAAAAAAACAATTAAGCAATATAGATATTGGGCGGTGCTTCTTAACTACAGATCTACTGCACTTTCCCTTTATTTATAAGGATTGAAACAGTTGGCAGACGATTCTTCGCGGCAAGTTATATCAGCATCGTTAACCTTATTCATTATTATAATACCTTCCGGCAGTCATATAAATCCTACTCAACATCCTTTCGAAGTTTCTATTGCTAATTGCTTCATATACGCATAAACGTGCAAGCGCATAATTTGTCTGGCCGTGGAATCGAACCGTTCTGCTAACTAGACCTTACGTTATGCGTATTGCGTATCTAGCCATCTAGAACGGTATTCTATTATGTTACCTAATAAATTCAAGTATTGACTTAGTAGCTATATGTATTATAGTAGGTACCTACTAATTTCCACCATTGATTTTGTTTTTACATTTGGGTGTCATATTTTTTTAAATAACTCAATATTATTCATTTTACATATCAATTCGTAAATAACGACATCGATATGAAGCGATAAGCATTTCGTATTTACAATAAAATAGTTTACGTATTACGTCAAATACCTACTTAGTTGTAATTTATTAATACACCGGTCGTAAACACACTTATACCAAGGCGTAGTATTTTAAGAAATGCATAATTTTCTACTGTACAATGGTCACTAACTTATCTAAAGAATCATGTTTACGGTACCTCCTAAAAATAGATAAGATTAGTAAACTGATACACGGAACGCGTCCGGCGGAGAGCGTAGTGAAAGCCAGTGAACTGCCTGAATGTAAACATTGATGTCTTACCGGTTTTCGTTGCTGGACGGTTACAAAATCACAACACGAATCAAAGTCGACCTATCGCTCCACAGGTTGGATTTTAACTGCGGGTGTTGGCTGACACTACCTCTAGCCACCTTATCTGGGTGACGGAATGTTGACGCTACGGGGACTGGCTTTAGTATGCATAGTATTTTACGACCTAATTGATAATGAAGTGGGCTTCGGCTTCGATGTTCCGTCATATTACGCATCTGTATGTTGGTGAATGAGTTGAATCATCTGCTGTTTGAGTAAGTATAGGTAACTAAGTAGGTATTATTGCAAGGAAGTTTATCGCAACTTGCATTTTTATTACTCATTTTAGCAATGTAATCACACGAGCATTAATTTGTGAAGCCTACTTCTTACTTACTGTCTTTTAACTGATGTTGTATTTGGCTGGGGACAACTAACGTAGTGGCACCAATGACCGACAAGAACCAATGACCGACACTTTATTTTTTGATTCAATAAAATAAGAGTATAAAATCGATTTCTTAATATGTCNCGCTACACTGTAAAGGTTGTGGGTTTGATTCCCGCTTTAGCCCTTAGGAGATTTTTTCAAGTTATTTATAATTTTCAAACAAACAACAAAAGATTGTAATTTCTTCATAAGAGAATGAACTGAGAAAAACTTATGTTGAGTGATACCTAAACAAGAAAGGTTGTTTCTGCAAAGATCATTTAGGTAGGTACTTGCACACTGCACAGGATGACAGGAAATGCTTCTGTAAATAATTTTGGTTCCTGCATGTTTGATTAGATAAGGATTTGGTGTGGGCTCTGTTCAACGTTATAGGTAGGTACATTGAACTATGGAGTGTCAGAATTCTCATATAGTGGACTAAGTAGGTGTCCTTGAGTTTCCTAAAAAAGTAATGATGATAACCGAGACGAGCGTCGCAAGCGCAACGTAAGTATGATGCCTAAGTAATTTTGTTGGTCCCATCATGTGCCCATATTTCTGTTCCTACTTTTCATTTACCTATCGCCTTGATGACTGAAAAGTACAAAAGATGAACTTAATGCGTACAGTGGAGCATTCTCCTCCACTCAACTATGGGTCAAGCAGAAACTTATGTAGCCAATGCNCCACCCTGTATAATCCGGCTGTATCTCCAGGTCACCTAGATACATTCCTTAGCAGCTGTAATAGACATTTAGGTACACACATTTACCAATTTTGGTGATAAATAGGCATTTTGTATTAGTTTTTGTATGACGCCTGAACAAAAACGAAGGGTAATATTTTGGTGTTATACATAGATTTCGAATACAAAAAATATATAATTTAACTAATTAAGACATGACAAAAAAACTGAGGTATGTCTCGTTTCTGTCGGGTCTGGGTTTTATTTTGTATGGGGCGTGACCGTTCTTCCTTACAAATGGCATTTTTTTTGTTATTTTATCACTTTACTTTGTAACTAATCACAAAACAAAATAATACTTGTACAATCGTTCTGCTATTGACTGTCAAATTCCGGAAGAGAACTTACTTACTACTTTGTTACATACTGACCGGGGTAACTCCCGTCGTGTCGTTGTGGCTATAGTGTTCAGAGACACACACGTGCGTGACAAAATTTAAAAAAGTAGGTATTCGTATTCGTAATTATTATCATTTCACCGAATACGAATATTCGGTAAATGTCTACTATTGGGCAAATACGAATACTCGTATTCGTATTCGTTGCATCATTACAAAATAGTGACGTCACTTGCTTGTATTGCCATACAAAAATCTAAGGGAGTCTCGTTTTGACAGTTTTAAAAATGGTGGTGTCAAATAGTTTATTCGTCCTCAAAGAGTTTATTCGTCCTCAAAGAGAGAATAACCAGTACACCCTATACTCCTAGAAATTTCTTTCAAAAATGTAGCTGGTTCATACCTAAATATACAGGTTGGAAACGATAAGTGATCTCACTCGATTATTTCTAAACTATACAAGATATCAATAAACTAGTTACTGATCCTGAAAGTGCTTCATGAGCTCTATCAATCGGTATTAATGATAGGTTACAGAATAAACTGGATCTATCCGAAAATTCAATGTTTCCTATTTTGGTACCGTTTGAAAGAGCTCATGCAGCACTTTCAGGATCAGTTACCAGTTTTTCAATATCTTTTATAGTTTAGAAATAATCGAGTGAGATCACTTAACGTTTCCACCCTGTATGTAATACTATTTTTATAATATCAATTATTTTCAGGAAGAGACCTCACAAGTGACAGTAATGCATATGATTTTTGTTGCAAATTAAAAGCAGAACATAATGTGGTAAGTTATTATTTGCATACTAGCGGCTGCCCGCGACTTCGTACGCGTGGACCTCGTTTTACCCCCGTTAGATATCATGTTGATAGATGGCGTTTTACTGCTTCCCCTGCATGAATATTTACGAAGGTCAAAGACAGTTGTTTGTCCAGCGCTGTAGATTTTAACCAATGACGATAGATGGCGCTTTTTAGACACTTCTTATTTATCTATTGAGATTTATTTGTCACTTAACGTCATAAATTATTGCCTATATATGTTAATCTGGGTTATAAACATTAATAATACTGTTAAATTTCAACAAAATCCGTTCAGTAGTTTTTGCGTGAAAGAGTAACAAACATCCAGACATCCAAACTTTCGCCTTTATAATATTAGTAGGATAGTAGGATTTTAAACAACAAGCATTAGAGCTATGTAAAACCTAAAGTGCAAATAAGTTTTATATTTACCATAATATTATGCTTGAGTTCTTTAATGTAATTTTTGTGTTATAGGTTCTCATATCGAACAATATTCGATGGAGAAGAAATAATGATAACACCATAACTATACTCAGTGCTCAAGAACTAAAAGANTGATGACTGAAAAGTACAAAAGATGAACTTAATGCGTACCTACAGTGGAGCATTCACCTCCACTCAACTATGGGTCAAGCAGAAACTTATGTAGCCAATGCCGAATCAATGACTGCTCATTTGTCTTGTCTCAGTACCAAATAAATAACTAAGTGAGTGCCTGCGCTGCGTTGTTTTTAGTCGATCAAACAGAAATAGTAGGTTCTACATTTTCCTAAATAACAGTACATTCATCAGGACCAATTTTATTGCAAGGCAGATCCTGAAATTCAGTTCTGTGGGGAAAATTGTTGCATTTGAGCAGTAGAAAAAACCTTTTTATGGGGAAAATTGTTGCATTTGAGCAGTAGAAAACAACATTGTGTTTATTTCACGCTTTTTTTTTTGTTGTACAACACTGACATTAGGGCCAAATGAGTTATACCCAGAGCTGTAAAATGCTTTTAAAAAAGCGTTTGCATTTGATGTCTAGGGATGTGACAAAAAATATTTCAGAAAATAGACTAACGATTTGAGAAAAAAAAACTATTTATTTTTATGGAGTTACACTAGAACACACTAGAAGATGACTAAGTAAATTGTTAGACAGTGTAACAAAAATCAAGTTTCTACAGAATGGTATTTNCGGTATTTTTATTTTAACAGAATATTATTATAATTTTGTGCATTTTATTATTATTTGGAAGAATGTGTAGAAAATATTGATACACAAGGTGATATGAGTAAAATATTTTATTTTGTACATCCCTACATACAGCTGTCTCATGTCAATGTCACCATGTTGTATTGTCAAAGTTGTCAAACTTGTGAGAAATGTCAGAATTTGTTGTGATGATGAGTGGTGGTTTTTTGATGATGAAATTTTAATTAATTACGATTAAAATAACAAATAACTTTTTGCTGCATCTTCAATACCTCTTATCAGCATCTAATAATCGTTTTAAATGTATCAGGATAATCTGCAAATAATCTATATCTTGAATTTTTATTAAAAACTGGGTAAGTTAAAACTAAGTTTTTACTAGGTAGGAATTAACTTTTTTGATTTACTACTTACCTAGTTTCAAACACATTCTTGAGCTCTCAGTGATTTTTTTTAAAGTTCTAAACTAACTAATTAATTTCAGGTTTCAACAAACATAGTGCACTAGATTGCATTAAAAAAGTTGTTTGAGAAGCAATGGCTGGCTATTTTGAAGAAATGGGATGGCGTGAATTACAAGATGGGGAACAACCAAACCACCTCCTTCATATGGCACGGTTTATGCTTGACATTGGATTGCATGAAGATGGATTCAGTGGTCAATGGCCGAGTTAAGTTTAAATTATTTTTCTGTATTGCAGTTTGTTAAACAGATAATAATATTTAAGTCTTCATGACGGTTAATTTCGTCTTGTAATCATTAAATTGAAAAAGTATTTTAACTATGATCACAGTAAAATGTGGAGTGTCCTTCATTGTTATTTTGTGTTATTAAGGTACAAATACTTACCTAAATTGGTATGGTATTAACAGTTTTTGTCCTATAATACTCTGAGTAACAATAACAAGTATTTTATAAAAAATCAAAATCAAAAATATTTATTCAGTTTAGACCACAAGTGGCACTTATGAACATAGCAGTTTATACTGTGTCTATTTACACACATTTATAAACAGGGGTAGTTGTCGGTTAGAAGATGATTGTTAAAAGTGAGTTCAAGGGTGTAGATTAAAAGAGGTTTGTGTCCAGCAGAAGACAACCCTGAATTGTATAGTATACAGCACATGAGAGTATAATTTTTATTTGCAAAATAGCACCTATTACAAAGTTATAAGATGTGTTTTCAGTGTTTACCCTTATGTGTCGTCTTCTGTACACTGACAAAAGTTATCTTATGTAACTAATCTGTTATTTCCTCTACAGATTACCACCACCAGCTTCCAAAGAAGTAGTGAAGAACCTACCAGAAAAAACTATTGAAACTAGTGATGAGAGCTGCACAATTTGCTTGAAAACATTCTTTGTTGGTGAGAAAGCGACAACAATGCCTTGCAATCACCAGTTCCACAATAAATGTATCCTGGTGTGGTTAAACAAGGTAATATATTCAGTACATTCTTACAGTATTTGTTTATCTACCTACCCTAATATTATAAAGAGGAAAACTTTGTTTGTTTCGTTGTAATGAATAGGCTCAAAAACTACTGGACCGTTTTTAAAAATTCTTTCACCATTCGAAAGCTACATTATCCACGAGTAACATAGGCTAAATTTTATTTTAGAAAAAAATAGGGTTCCGTAAAATATGTAGATAATGTAGTCCACGCGCGCGAAGCCGCGGGCGGAAAGCTAGTATGTAGTATAGTTACAGTAATTGTAAGTCTTGCCATCATTCAAGGCTGACTAACATTAACACCTTCATAACATTTGGCAAATACAGGCTGATTCTTTGATAGATGCTCAAAGAAAAACAGAGGTGGAATTGTGTAAAGCAATCGTTATCATTTGACAGTTCATATCGTACGATTATTCTGTCAAACGCTTTGTTTAACTGACTTTATCGTACGTTATGAACTGTCAAATGATTACGATTGCTTTTCACAATTCCACCCCAGGTTCACATTCTCAAAAAATAATTGATATCCCTAAATTCAATTACTTATTGCTGATGACAATTTATAAGGATGTTTTTTTTTTATTTGTACTTGGTTTTCCTAAGAGAAGTTGTTGTATTTGATTACCTGCAAAATAATCATCCTGTATAGTTTATGTAATGATGAAAAAAATAGCAGATTTATTATGATAACTAATAGCACTATTACTAAACATAATCACTTGACTAATATTTACTTTAATAATATTTTAAGTGTATAATTAAAACAATAACAAAAATCTCAACCACCACCTTTTCAGACCAACTCTTGCCCATTCTGCCGGCATGAGTTACCCACCGATGATGAAGGTTATGAAGCATTTAAGAAGGAAAAGAAACGTGCAGTGCAGCGTGAACAAGAATTAGACATTCTTCACAATTCCATGTTCAGTTAATTCCAATTTCTTCTACTTTATTCATTACATACTAAAGTATAATTTCGTGTATTCTGGTGTACCTGCGGTATAATGGTTTTAGTATTCAATGTAAATAATTTACTTATGAGTAATATAATAGTTTTTATGTAAATACATGGGTGGTAATACATTGTAAACTTTTATTCATCTAACTGTAATGTAAGGCTGAGTTGCATCACCTTATCTTAAACTGTTACTTTAACTTTAACCGATGTTTTTGTATGGAGTTTCACAGACTTGACGTTTGTTATAGCTAAAGTAAGATGGTGCAACCCAGTTTACGCTAACTATCCTTTACATCTAGCATGATGCAATTTTTCTGAAATGCAAACTTTAACGTTTTGTTATGTAAACCTAAACACATTGATATTTTAAGTCTTTCAAAGTTGGGGAAGTTGTTAAATCGTACTACATCTCGTATGGTCATTCTGATACTAAAAGCTTGTAAAGAGCCATTGCACTGGCAGCATCACATATTTGAAAATACCTCTAGTACCTATAATGTTGTGTAAATATTCTATTTACTTTTTGATGATGATGATGAACTATTCAAGGTCAGCGCATATAGAGGCGGGAAGCGCGGGAAAGCGGTCGCGATCCGGGACGATATTTTTTTGTAATGTTCTAGATTGTATAAATAAATAAATAAATGTATCCTTAGACATTTTACACTGCGCTTCTAGTCCCAAACTAAGCAAAGCTTGTACTATGGGTACGTCTAGACAACGGATATAAACATACTTAAACACTTTTTTTTTGTAAATACATACTTATTATACATAGAAAACACCCAGTCCAATACAAACAAATATGTTCATGCACACAAATGTTTGTACTGTGCGGGAATCGAACCCGCTACCTCCGGAATAGTAGTCCGTTCCGAACCACTACACCAAACGGCCGACAAAAATATTAATTGTATAAAATCAGTCACATAGAAAGCAGACGCCTAGTAGCACCTCCCGCCGCAATATGCGTCTAGCGTTTTGCGCGGGATCGCTATAGCCTTGATCACACGTACCGAGTAAACGGGCGAGACAGTAAAATGTCTCGGTCGAGACAGTTGGGTGAGCGAGTCACATACTCGAGAGCTCGGCCGAGCACTCGGCGTAATATTCATACACACCCAGTACTCGGCCGAGAGCATTGTCTCGCCCGTTTGCTCGGTACGTGTGATCAAGGCATAATATGGGATCGCTTTCCCGCCCTTCCCGCCTTGTGTGAGAAAGTCAGCGACTTTCAACACGACCTCCTCGATTTATGACAGCTCAAATTTGGAATACAACATCAAGTGCCAAAGTTGACAAAAAATGTTGCATTATTGACATTTTACGCATACTTACCAAGTAGACAAAATTGTTTGTAAAAAATATAGAAACATGATAAATATTGCAAAATAATACATAAAAATGGATAAGAAAAAAGCGTAAGCATTGCTATACTGTAGTATTTTTCATCAGGTATTGTTATTAGATTGTTTTTAACACTAGACTTTTTAGGCCATGCCGCTGTCCACCGCGGTTGCGGAAGATGTGTAAAGTGAAAAACACCGACTGCAAGGATGTCTCAGAAATCGTAGAAGCTCTCACGTATGAGGCCGAAAGTAAGACTTAGAATTTGCCTGTAACTTGTATACTACATTATTATAAGCTAAAGAGAGGTAAGCGAAACTAACGCACGTATTTACAAACATTACTATGAGGTCTTACAGTGCGCGTGGACGCACAGAGTGACACAAGAACCAATCAGAGCTTTATTCAACGCTGTGCGTTCGATTTGCTGCTTTACTTAAGCAAGCATCGTTTGTGAATACGGGCGCATAAGTGCTAGAACTATCCGAAAAATAGTAGTTCCGTTTACCGTATACTTGGAAAAAGTAGTTTAACCAAATACCTATGGCGGCTCACGAGTTCTTTCACAGCCTGTAGAAAATTGCATTGTGTAAACTTAACATGCTCCATCTAGGTGGCAGAAAAGTTAAAAAGTCATCTAAACCGCCCAAGTTCAAAACTAAACCGTTCACACCGAGGCATTATAAGGATACGTGTGTGCCTATGGTTCCCTCTATGCACACGAGGTGAGTGAAGAAAAAATAGAATTAAATTTATGTTTGGACATACCTACCTCATTAATAACTGTTTGTAATTTCAGATTGCGCTACATTGGCCACTGTCCCGTCGAACCACATCGAGCATCAGGTCCTAGATCAAGGTAAGACTGCTGACATGATAAAAAATAATTCTTAAATGATTAATCACCATTTTGGTTACCCGGATTGTACGTCGTAGAACTAAGTAGATTTCCTTAGCTTTAAATTTTTTTTCCTGGCTAAATTACATACTTACAACCCGTTTGAGTTAACTGCGCACCTGGCGGGCGTGACGTCACATCGACGCTCTGTACGGCTAGCACGAAAAACTTTCGAGTTCGAATCGCTTGCGTATTCGAATCGCCATCAAAATATTTAGTACGAAATCTATAACTGCGCCCTTGTGAACGTGTCGTAAAGTGAACTTAATATGAGAAATGGTTGCACGAAACTTATTTTGAGAATCAAAATTGTCGCGTTATCGTTTAATTCAAAGATTGNGAAGGTTGAGTATCGAGTTTTGTCGAATACGCAAACGTTTCGAAGACGAAAGTTGTTCATGCTAGAGGTACTGGTACAGACGGGGCCAACGCGGGCGGGGAGGTGTTCGGGAGAGATCGCATGGTACTATACTATGAAATTAAAAAAAAAATAGAAACGTATGATTTGATATCCTTTTCGTTACATTGCAGTAAAGCCTACGACAAGTATGACTTTGAAACGGCTTCAGAAGATACGACGAGCGGTATCTTGAGGACGGGGAGAGCAAAGAGGGACAAGTATAAAAAGAAAGTCACGTATTTCGATCTGCTGCCTGGGGATATTATGCTACCCACACCTGTTCCTGTCATAAAGCATTCGCCATCAGACAAGTCTATTTTAAATGTAAGTCTTTCAAAATGTTATTTTAGTAAAGGTCTTTGCGATCAATATTCGCCACCATGATCTAATATACAGCTAGCGCCATATTTTGTTAGCAAAAGAAACTTAACTCCTGGGAGTTGTAGTGGCCAGATATAATTTGTTCATATTGCCGATTCAGATGTCGTGTGAAATCAATATAATTTACTAATTAATGAATAACTAAAACCGTAGGTACCTAGTCCTAAGATCAGCGGTGAAGTGATTCAAGCCCGTAGGGCCAGCGTCAAACCAGCAGACATGGTTCCACCCGTACCGCCAAAAGCTGCAGACCAGTAAGAGTTTACTTATCTTAAATCGTCAAAATAAATTAAGTATAGAATAAAACCTACCTTTGTTTTTCAGATTATTCAAGCCGCACAGCGGTATCGTTATCAACAGAGACAAAGATTTTGTCCCTGATGTAGTTCACGTGCCAGGCCCCAACAAATTGCCAGGGTATGTATGTTTTACTTATCTTTTAAAAATATGTCTTTCTCCGGCTCGAAGGACCAAATATTTGAGTTTTAGACTAAGATTTTTTACAATTATTGTCTTAATATTTCAGAGGCAAAAAGAAAAGGAAACCATGCCATAAAGGAGGGTAAGATAAGGACACCATTTAGAAGATTTTTATTTACTTTAATTTACATAAAAATAGAGATAACTGATTTTATTTACAGTGTGTGCCTCAGAAAAACATGCACAAGGAAGAAATGTCGGTGAGTACTTTTATAACTGCAAGTAATGTAGCATTAATAACAAAATCGCAAGGGTATCACAAAATTATTTTTTATTATTTTTACAGAAAATATGCAGCGATGAGGCAGCGACAGATGTCTCGAAGAATGAAAAGGTATACTAAATACGTTTGCCTATTTTTATTCTGAAAACAAAAAAGATCAATTTATGTCAGTACGTTTTAATTTTTCTTACTTTTCTTCTAACAGCTCTCACTCAGATGTACCTTTCACTACACTCGGAGTCACAGACGGAAAACCCCGAGCCAGGGGAACCCAAAAACACCTTAAAGACGACGACTCTATTTGTGGTCTGGATGAAATACCCAGGCCTGAACATGTGAGTACCAATAACTAAAGGTTTTTTACCAGCACCCAGTCTGTAAAAAAAACCAAAGGGCAAAGATAAAATCTCCTTTTCCAAGATCTAACTAAGTCTGTATTTAACTGGTGTTTACTTTTAATTTCAGGTGCAAATACCAGCTAATCTGAAGCGTGGGACACTGCAAACGCATTCCCTCACAGTGATACCCTGCACCAAAGAGAGGAGACCAGATATCCACTATGGAATCCTCACCGGCTCTTTCAACATGTACGATGCTAAATTCGGTAAGTCTTCTTTAGTCCATTATAATGAACCTATTTTTCCTCCCCACTTCTTATACTTGACTTATTTATAGGAGGAAGATCTCGAGGCAGACAAGCGTTAACCATGAGCGTTATGGCGTATTGCTTGGCTTTCCACTACCATCCAAAGCAATGGACAATGAAGCTCGTTGATAATTTGGTTGACGCTGGCGACCAATGGTTAGCACTTACCAACATTATTATGTCTGGTCAAAACTTCTTTCGTTTCCACTAAGATGTTGAAGATGTTATGTTGCCTAATACTGCGGTCTATGAAAAATTCCAGGTATTTACAATGTCTAGATAAAGTTCACGATCATTCCGCTGTACAAGGAATGTGTGAAGTTTTACCATTTGGGAAGAAGCAGACTCTAGTTTTGAACGGGAAAAAAATGCAAGTGTTATTAGGAGAACCGGATTTCGTTGGCTATACCATGTCTTTAGACCCTACCGTTTATAACTTATGTAGGGGTTTGAAGGCTTTCTTCAAGGACAATCGAGCTGGCGTCTTGTTGACCAGGTATTCTTAATCTAAACTAATTAATTCAGGTTTACAGTATTGATTTAGTTTGCCAGATTACTAATTTGATGTTACTTAGGGTACTGAAAGTTGTGATATGGAAGGACAAAGTATGCTACTACATTTTCGACCCAGCCGGAAGAGACTCGAGAGCATATTCCAATTTTACCAATGGTTGTGCTGCACTGGTTAATGTCAAAGATTTGGATTCGGTATGCGAAGTGTTACTAGCTCGTAGCGTAGTTGAAGATCAAAAATTCGTGCTAGCAACTGTAAAAGTTCTGAAAATGGTGGATGAAAAATGTGACGAAGATTTGGAATCTGATAAAGAGCTTACACAAGCAGAAAAAGCAATGATGGGCTACAGAATTCTAAACGAAAACTGTGCCATTGTCAATGCAAACATGCATTTAGGTGATCGATGTTTCGAAGATGCGAAATACAGACAAGCTTTGACCATAGCCGTTGCTGCAATGACTTATGCCAAAATATCGCCACCAAATACTTGGTTTACGAAGACACTGGACAAAATTTTACGTCTGGGCAACAAACTTTACGTAGATTGTGCACATCCCAAAGTCATGATTGATTTGACGATAGACAACATCCCCAACGAAATTTCTATCGGACCATACGCGTGTGAGATAATCATATACAGAGAGAGGGTGAAAGGTCAGTTGTTTACGACCAAAGAATGCTTGCTAAACATTAGGACAGGCTTAGAAGAATTTTTCAGCCACGAATATAACAGTGGTATACTGGATTTCAATAACTATGCTGTGGCTGTGTGGCGGCAGAAAGACATGTTTTACTTGTTCGATCCCTACCCTCGTACAAACGATGGGCTGAGATCGGTGAAGACGGGGAGAGCTTGTTGCTTGATGCTTTTAAACGCTGACACAATGGCCACCGTCTTCACCAAAAACTGGGACTACCTACCAGCTACGACGCAGTTCTACATCCATGCTTTTAAAGTGTTGAAGCTAAAGAAAAAAGAGCCGAAGGTATCTAGCGAGATATCCATTTACGATGATTTGAATTGAAGTTCTTTGTGTAACTAATGTAATAAAAATCTTACAGACGCAAATAGTGTGTACATTGAGTGACGATAATCTACCCGGCGCGAAGGGGAAAGTGAAAAGGAAAGTGTTGCCAATGAGTCAAGCTCAGGGCGATGGCGGAGAGTTATTCCATGATGTCTTGCCGATGGATGATTATGACGAAAAGCCTCTTGGGGTAGTGTATTTAGTATTTAAGCCTTGTTCAAATATGCGCGATAACTGCGCAGTTTCTAGGTGGTTCTCTTGGCGAGACATTGAGACGGTAACCGTGCCGTTACGATTTCATGAAAATGTAAGGAGAATAGCCCAGCAACCACGCGTTTATCACTGTGTCTGAACCAGTTCTTGAAGTTGTTAGATAAAATAACGTATGGTAAACTTGTGTATTATGCTAACGCTGATTTTTACGTATCTGTGTAGGCCCATGTGGATGAAGAGCAAATGGGTGACATCGTCTCCTTAGTAGACAGCATACAAGAAGATTATCTGCCTCCGATTCCTCTAAGATACAAGAATATGGCACCAGAACCATTAGAGCCGAAAGTCGGTAAGAAAATTACACGAACATAATAATACGAGAAGTACTTAAATTATTTTCTGCAAATAGACTTTTACAAAGCGCTTTTACGACAGCCAAATTAGCGGGGTTATTCCGAAAATCGTTATCCGTAGTTTTGAATGTTAACATCCCTCTCACGCAAAGAGATGTCAGCATGAGTGACGCCAGCGACCTTGACAGGTAGACTCGAAACTACACAAAATAAAAAGCGTTTCGGTCGGAGTAGCCTTGCAATTTTAAGGTATATAGCACACTTATCAACCCGGAAAAGGATCATCACCGTATAGCTTTTCGCCGCTCGGACGGATAAGTAAGTGTGCGTTGCAGTACGGAGTTTTATACAAAGAATACTGACCGTTTGCGACGGTTACGATCCGTTTCCGAGTAGACAAGTGTGTTTCGTCCTTAAAGTGTCTACGCTTCTAAGCTAATACTTGTGTGCAGTCAATTTGGACTCGCCGACGGTGTCGGTGACCCAAGTGGTGCCTCCTTGGCCGAAGCCGCGAGATAAGACCAACGAACCTCCTGAACCTGATCCAGACCCTGAACCCACTCCTCCGCCCACACCACCTCCACCTGTGGTATGAAAAGAAGTATAATATTAGTTAGATGGCTATTGGAAACTTTAAACTAACTTAGTTATTTATTAGACTGTTTATAGAAATATGTACAACCCGATCGAGGTAACTGCGCATCTCGCTGGATTGTGACTCTCCCTTACACTTACCCGCAGGGCCTGATCTACCATATGGCTTTTTGGGCTTCAGCCCAGGGCCCCATGAATTCAAGGGGCCCCAGCTAAGTCAAGTCAACGTCAAAAATAGACGATAATGCGAAAGAGTATAGTAAGAGGGCCCTTAAGTAGGTAAGTAGTATTAGCACTGGGCTCCCTATACTCACGGGCCGGACTGTTTATAAAAATATGTATGTCCCAATCTCTTATGCGACATCATTGTGTCCAGAATGCTGACTACATTTGCACGCTGTGTTTTGAATTCTAACGACCGTTGTTCTATTGTTTTTGCAGATACCAGAAGGTGGGCTACCAGAAGAGGTAATTAGTGTTTTTATTTAGAAAGTTATGTAGTTGATAAATTGTAACGTCATTGGATAGTGTCCAGCTGGGCTAGGAAGCGTGCCATGATATAATCTTATCGATGACCTTAGACGTCAAATTGTATGGGGTTATCGCGTAAAATCGATAAAATAGAGCGATAACCGCTTATCGCCGCGCGCACCCTAGGCTTACAGGTAAAGTCCCATACAGCGAAACTCAAGTTGCAAGTAATATTGATTTATTGCGTAGAAAATACAACCTTGTTTGCACACACAAGCTGGTGGGGAAAAAAGCAAGTCAAAAAGTACCATAGAGCATAGGCGTCGTCTTGGTGTTGTCATTGTTATTTAAGTCGCCCGCGACTTCGTACGCGTGGACCCCGTTTTACCCCCTTAGGGGTTGAAAATCTCGCCATAAAAACAAGATCTTCAACGAACATTAAAAAAAAAGAATTGGTAAAATCAGTGCAGGCGTTGTTGAGTTAGGTATGCGCTTACCGACACATTTTGCGATAAATTTTTATACTATAGATTTACTAGTCATTGAAATTATATTGAGATTCTTTGTAAAAACAGGAAGAAGCAGCAGAAGAAGAGGAAGACGAAGAAACAATGAAGAGGAAGAAAGAAGAAGAGGCTCAAAGAAAGGCTGAGGAGGAAGAAGCTCGTAGAAAGGCAGAGGAGCTACCGCCGCCGCTGCCGCCGCCGCCGCCGTCACCGCAGCCCGAGCCCGAAGTACCCGTGAGTTAAAAAAATGGATTGTAGATCGTTTCATCCAAGAAGATGCACCCCACCATTAGATAAGACAATGAAGAGGAAGAAAGAAGAAGATAGGCGCAAAGAAAAGCTCTTAGGAAGGTGGAGGAGCTGCTGCCGCCGCCGCCCGAGCCCGAAGTACCCGTGAGTTAAAAATAAACTGGATTTATAGATCGTTTCATCCACGAAGATGCACCCCACCATTAGATAAGACAATGAAGAGGAAGAAAGAAGAAGATAGGCGCAAAGAAAAGCTGAGGAGGAAGAGGCTCGGAGGAAAGCGGAAGAGCTGCCCTCGCCGCAGACCGAAATACCCGTGAGTTAAAAAAATATAGGTGGTGGTAGGATAGTCCACTAACTAGCATTGGTCCTCCTGATCTCTCGTCTGGTCTCTGAGAGTTCACCTGTACCAGAAACACGAAAACATATATTTCTCGTTATGGTATAGTAATCGTTTTAGCTGTATGAAAAACAAAGGTGCCGCACTGTTGTAAAAATTGGTACCTCCTGAGGCCTTGGTCACACGATCAATCGCCAAGTGTTTGATTGATAGGAGCCTTCTTATGTTCTCTTTCTCTTATCTTTTGGGATGTTATATTTTTTATGAGCCGCCATAGTGTTGTGCAAATGGGTTACCCAAGCTTTTGTAAAAATGAGTTAACCATATGTTGAAAATTATTGTAATTTACACAACTGTTTCATTCCTCAGCTCGCTGCACCTATTCAAGTAATTGAAGATGAAGTACAAACAGTACAACCAGTGAATGTAGATCGCCGGATTCTTCTCACAGAAGACGCAAGATACAGGTTCAAATTGAGACAGTTACGGAAAAAGTCGACGCCACCTCTAACAGAGGACCAAGTCGAAATGTCTCCCTCCCAAGAACTAGCTCAGCCCAGCAATTTCAAGAACTTGCCTGACAATACGCAAATTATCAGAGGCACATCAGGAATATCTGATCAAGGCGGGCTGGAAATTCTGCCCTTCGCTTCAATCATGGCCATCGTGACGTCATACAAATACTCCATAAACACGTGGACCCCAGGGATAGTCAATTTCGTGGTCGACACCGCTAATAAGTTATACAACAATAAACAAGAGAAGTTCCAGCTTGCGCCTGCGCATATTATTCCTAAGATTGCTATAGGACATCAGGTAATTTCATTTATATTATTCGGACATTGTAGCTTGTTAATTTTGATTCGATGACGTCATATCATAACTTGCTTCACAGCTTGAAAAGAGTGATAGGACTTTGTGTTATGTACAATCTCTGTATGTTATTTTTGGGTAAACGTTCTCACTTCATTTCACAGGCCTACCATGCCAATATCGACGTGGTGGGGGAAGGAGCCACTTGGCAATTGGAAGACGTACTGACTCGCAAGTACTTTGTAAAGTACGACAGAGGCATGATAACAACGACCAACTACAGCTGCGCGTTTTTCAAGAGATCCGGATTGTACTACCTATTCGATGGCAGTAACTGCAATGCTATGGGAATAAGACTTGAGGAAAAAGCGAAGACTAAGGGAAAAGCGTGCATGCTACGATTCCATAATCTACATGACCTTGTGAGCAGGTAAATTGAGTGTTATTTTCTTTTACTTACATTATTTTGTATCTTCGAAAATTCTAAAATGAGACCCATTTATGTTTGTGAATTCAATTAACTATACGTCTGCGTCACTATAAAAGAGATTAATAATTAAAATTTTACTTTACAGAGTTCTATATAACAAGGACGGAAAAACAGAAGACCAGCAATTCATATTAAGCCGAATTTTGGTTCGTCGACTCCTAACAGAAGCTCGTCAGAAGTTGCCAGAGGATTACGACTTCGCGACCGGCCGACCGAAATCCGCTAAATCGAAACCGACCTTCGTCACTCCGCCTAAAGGAGATAAAAAGAGCTCCATAGAAGCGTCAGACCCCAAAAGCCAAACTATCGTTGGATATCAGCAGGTTGCAGGTGGATACAGGATTGAAGGAACCACTTCACTTACAGATAGAAAAGCGAGCAGTGACGTCAAATCATGCCACTTCGTCAGCCTAATGGCAATGTTAATGGCCGCGATGCATCCCATCAGAACGTGGGACCATGTCATGGTAGACACCTGCATAGAGAAAGGACTCGAAATACACGAAAAAGCAACAAACCTAAACGTATGTGAAAAGAGAGTAATCAAAAACGTTATATTGGATGGCAAGTTTATCAACATAAACATTAAAAAGATAACTGTAGTGAACGAAAACCCGGAAAAGAGACTTGAACAATATTTGAAGGCTGTATTGAGACGACTTCGGTATGTGATCATAAGATTTCCACCGTGCAGTTTGGTGATTTGTCAAACTGAGGGATATTATCATCTCTTTGATCCGTATGCATCAGCCGCGCCGGAGGAACCAAAAAAAGAAGGTGAAGCTAAAAAGAAAGACGCGGAACCGAAAAGAAAAGCGAACCCAGTCGCTTCGTGGACATTGTATCGATCAATGGACGCTTTAATACAGCGAATAAAAAAAATCGTGCCGGGATGCCCCGGGACAACTGATAACCCAGAATTCTATACATTTGAGTTAACATCTGTCAAGACAGCTCCGAGACACTCTGCGATGAACTACCGACTGAGTCCACTATTCAGACCGGATGATAACCCTAACTTGCCTTATTTGAAACGAAGGAAAATCCGCCCGATTGTTGACGAAAAGATGTATTGGTTGAATATCGAAACTATTCCATGGTCGCGAATGAATCCATTCAATGATTTAGGATTTGAGCGAAAGACACCACGAGCAATGTGGAAAGACTGGGATATCGAATTTCCTGGGGATCTTTACTCATTATGGGGTTCGGTGCATCCTTTGGATTCTAAGTTCGACGCGAAACACCGCGGAAAACAATACCTTGCTACCAGTGTTGTAGCGATAGTGATGACGCAAGCTTGCGACCTGAGTGCGTGGACCGGTAGTTTCTTGGATGGAATAGTGGAATCAGGTGACAAATACCACAAAAAATGTTCCGACAAAGTCGGCTCATCCCCTAACCATGAAATAGCCATAGAAGATCTGGATACTAAATTTGACGACATGTTTCCATATTCATTTTCCGTCAAATTTGAGAAAGTTATATTTGGGTTTGTGTACAATATTTTACCGGACCGTTTTAATTTGAGTAAAGCTCTAGTTTATTTCTTTGAAAAGCACAATCTGGGTATACTGACAAGTCCGACGAAAAATGTAGCCTTTGGGAAATATAAAGGATCTTATTTCATGTTTGATTGTCAGAGTCATGGGGCTCCGGTATTTTGTCCCGGGCAAGGAGCAGCATACATGCTAAAGTGTGAGAGTTTGAACAGGCTTATCTATTGCATTACTCTAACTTTGAATATTAGGCGACACGGACAACAATTCCATTTGTTTAATGTAAATGTTACCTTAACGGAAAAAGCTAAATAAATTGTTATACTATGTATGTCTTAGTTATTTTTAGTTTCTATTTACTTTAGTTATTTTTAGGCCTGTATTGACGGTCGGCCGTCCCTCTTTCTTATACTCTCGAAAACGTAACTTTCATAAAATCAATATCGAAAATGTATCTCCAAAACCGATTGTACCTAGGTAGGTACTTTAAACTAATTCTCGAAAACTATCTATCAATAAATCTAAACTTCCAGCACCAAAGTTATTGAAAACTATCGATCTAACTATCAATCGAAAAGTAAGGTTGCAGTTTTTTATTAGTATCACAGAATAATAATAAGTACCTATTAGTATGTACTAACCTATGTACTTGGATTTTTGAGACAAAGGTTTTTCAAGAATTTCAAGAGTTACATGCTAGGTTTTCGAGAGTCAGGTCGGGTTTACAACAGAAGGCAGACAAGAAAGAAGAACGGTCATCTGTGACCCAGACCCGACAGAAACGAGACATACCTCAGTTTTTTTGTCATGTCTTAATTAGTTAAATTATATATTTTTTATATTCGAAATCTATGTATAACACCAAAACATTACCCTTTGTTTATGTTCAGGCGTTATACAAAAACTAATAAATGCCTACTTATTTATCACCAAAATTGGTAAATGTATGTACCTAAATGTCTATTACAGCTGCTATGGAATGTATCTAGGTGACCTGGAGATACAGCCGGATTATACAGGGTGGAAACGATAAGTGATCTCACTCGATTATTTCTAAACTATACAAGATATCGAAAAACCAGTTACTGATTCTGAAAGTGCTTCACGAGCTCTTACAAATGGTACCAAATAATAGGTTACAGATTATGGAAGCTGGTAACATAGAATTTTTGGATTTTGTAACTTCTCGTTTCCACCCTGTATAATCCGGCTGTATCTCCAGGTCAGCTAGATACATTCCATAGCAGCTGTAATAGTCATTTAGATACATACATACATTTACCAATTTTGGTGATAATTTTTGTATAACGCCTGAACAAAAACAAAGGGTAATATTTTGGTGTTATACATATATTTCGAATATAAAAAATATACAGGGTGTTAGATAAATGGGTATATGAGCCGACAATAGCCCATGTTAACATGGGCATATAAATGGTATGGTGAAGTCAGAAATTTGATATCATCATTATAATTTTTTAAATTTTCATACAAAATAAATTTTATTAAATCCGATTTGTATACAAATTAAAATAATTAAAATGAAGATNTTAAGCTTTCTTAAGAAATTCACTTTTGTATTACGTAATGCAACATTAAGCTATGTTATCACCAAGTGTCGCACTTCGGAAATCTTCGGAACATTGTCATTTTGGACTTTAAAATAAAAAAAATAAAAAATTTAAATAAAAAATTAACATAGCTTATATGTTGCATTACGTAATACAAAAGTCAATTTCTTAAGAAAGCTTAAGAATAACGAATAAAATAAAAATAAATGTTGAGCTCCATACAAAAAAAAAGGAAATTGTCAATAACTTATTAAATAATAACTTTATCAAGAAACGTTACATGACATAAAATATTCCTTTTTGGTAAAGGAACACATTGGCGTAGTTATTTTTTACAAAATTAGGCACTTGATTTTTGAGCGACGCTAAGTCTATGAAGCTCTAATATCAGCCCACCGTGCGGCAGTCCCTCTTTTTCCAAGTCTCGAAAAACTTTTTTTTATAAATATTACTCGCCGCTGCGGGCGACGGGTTATGTGAGTCTCTCCCCTCCAGGGGAACGAGCCTACTACCTACTCTAAAATCCACCAGTGTCCTTATAGAACTGATCATAGGGGAGTTGCCGGTGTACCTATGTAGCGCACTGGGCATAGGTTTCGCTATTTAGGTATTATTCGTTTTTTATGACTTTTCTACCAATAAATACTTAAGATGAATTACGGAATATATTACGCTACCCACCTACTCTTATCTGATGATGGCTAGCATTGATAGTGTACACTGTACCTACACGTGTTGTTTGGCGGTTATGGGATGCGTGTAGGTAATTATTATAAACAAAAACTCAGTTTAACTTTAGCAAGAGTTACCTTCATTGTTAAGGGAAATTCCCCGTCTATAAACTAACGCGCGATTTTCAAAAACATTGAATGTGATACCGTAATAATCAATAATCGTTGTAGGTATTCTTATAGCAGTGGCACTGGCAGGTCCCCTCCTAGCGTCACTCTATAGAAAGTTGGTTCGATGTGGTGCGATCGAAACAATGTCATGACACCATAATAACTCGTAAATCTAACCTAACTTAATCGATGATTCGATGGACTTTAACTGAACGCAATAAAGTCATTTTTCATGAATTGTTACTGGTTCCAAATTACCCAATGCTATTTAAATGTCTGCAAGGGTTATCACTAGCTTTTGAGTAAGTATGGTAAGTATTTATAGTTTATATAGCACAGGGTAGCACAATATTTTCGATACTACTATCGCATGCGATAGTAGAATTCCTAAATTATTATTTTTAGCGTGGCCCACTGTTGACGATGTAACTATCAAGATAATGAACTACCTAATTACCAACCAACAGTAACTCTAACTACCTACCATAATCTGTTTGTTAGTTGGTGCAGACTAATATCCATTCTTGGATTTTAGGTGATATTGATGGAAATGAAATTGATGCAAAGCAAATTAATATCTCAAAAATAATGAAATCTTAAGGTAGATTTATGACATTTTAGTAAGTACTCATATTTGAAGAATTAGTACATGAATAAAAATAAAAGTTGCCACAAGAATTTCTTAATAATGATACCAAATATGGTAAAAAATACTATGCCGGCTGCTCTTTTGGATTTACAATAATAATCAATGTAGTGCTATAAAGAGTATTATTATTTTTCAAGATAATAATTATATTGATTTAAATGCAAAACTTATTTTTTACGAACTTGTTTTCGGATAACCTATTCATTCAGTACAAATTCCTAGCCTGAGGTTCTAATAATGAAAGTTATTGAGAAAATGGGAAAACTAGGGAAGTATTAAAAGACAATTAATTTTTAGGGTGATTTTATTATAACTGTAAAAACCTTAATATACAATAATGTACTGTCAGAGTTTAAATATAAGCGTTATTACTACAAGAGGCTCATTCTAGATCTGGTAGGTTTTCATCATCTGAATCACTTTCCAAGTCGTCGAAGGAGGGTTTCTCTGCCTTATCACCGGCTGCACCACCTGGGCCGCCGCCCCCCATTGAACGCAGCATTTCTTCTATGTCATAAGTATCATTACCACCACCACTTTCTTCTTCATCATCTTCGTCTCTCCACTTGTTGAAGTCGATCTTGAGATAATGCGGCTTTTTCTTATCTTTTGTTAGTGAAGGCCAGTAAGGAGCGTCTTTCTTTTCTTTACGTAGCACCATTTCTATACACCTTCCTTTATTAATGAATCCACTATTTTCAGGTATCACAGCATCGTACAATGGTATTGTCACCTCTAAAACTTTATTGTCTTGAGAGTTGATACCTTTAAAATGAACTGAATCCTTTTCTATTTTAATATTCGGCTCTTTAGATTCGACGCTAAACGTGAGGAAGACGTCCTCCTTCCGCTGGGCCCATAAAACTGGAGGTGGGATTGGAGATTCGCCCGACATGCTAATTATGTACAAAAATGACTATAGGTTAAAACTAGCACGTTAAATAATTGATCAAACGTGAACTTATCACATAAAATCACACAAGAATCGTGACAATTGATATTCTACTCTTCGACTCGCCGATTCATTTATGGAAACTCAATGTTGCCATGGTTTGTTTTAAATTTATTCTAGAAAATTCTAAATTGTTCATGCGATGTCATAATAGGGTGACCAATCTTAATTTTTTTTTGCAGACGATGATTAATATCTTAATAAAAGACTGACATGATTTAAATAAATTATTTAGAAAAGACAACTAGGATAATTATTTTTATTGTAATATAAGTTAAAGTAATTTATTAAGAAAGGCTCATTTATTTCTTCCAATTTTGTGTTTCAATAAGCACATAGAGCACACTAGCGTTAAACGTAATAAAACCATTAATGATTAATTTATTAAATTCAGTATGCCTGTATCGAGTCTATTTCAATGTATGGTGTAAAATATAATCTAAATCTACTACTCTTTTTTAATATTTTAGTAGTGGCAACACAGATTTCAAAACCGGAAACAATGCTCTCTCGTGAACGTGCGTTCCATTTATCAAATTTTTGTAAAATGTTCGCAAAATATTTTTTTTTGTTTGATTTCAGTGCAAAAAGCCAGTTGTTTCCACAGAAATTCGATACGATATAAATATGAAGTAATAAAATTACATCATACCTATATTCTTATTGATTTGCAGGGTTGTTACTTTAGTCTAGGGGACCATAGAGTAAAGCCGCCCGTAGGTTTACTGGCAGATAATGCCATAAAGATTGAACAAATAACTTAGTGCAGGTGACAGGCATATTTTTCAGTAAAATAACAGTTAAATTATGGATTTTATTGCTATCAAAAAATCTAATTACATGGGTTAGATCAGAAAGTCTAAAGTAGTAATGGATGGATAAGAATTTAGAAGTAATTACTACACCATTACAATTATACACCTTAATCTAACTCTAACTAGCAGCTTTTATTGGACTTGTGCTGAAATAAAAAGTTCTATACATATACTCGTAAATGCTATGTAATAAATATCTCAATAAAGATGAATTGTATTCAGGAAGCCACAATAATGGAAATAACTTATTAATAATCACAAGATTACATCCTAACGAAAGTAAGATCACAGACGCACGTTTACACTTAAATGTAATGTTTAAAATCTTAATTTTTAAAAGACTGGCTGACTGATTTTACATAATAAAAACAAAGAATATAATAAGTAGTTAAATGACTAAAACTATACAGTAAGTACATGGCGACTACACCAATTTTATTTGCAATTGCATTTTGTCATTAAAAGGTATTATTATTATAATATGAATACATCGATGTCGATTAAAACACTGACCCTAAGTTTTACACTACAAGATTGTCAGGTTCAGTTGACGGAGAATTGACATCTAAGATACCTACTTTATTTAAAGTTGTTTAGTTACACCAAATGGAAAACTTCAGAAAGTCCCAAAGGGAAATGGGCAGAGCAGACTGGAGCTCTAGGGAGCTTTAGATTCTACTTACACAATAATCGCCTACATTCTTTTAGGCTGAGTTGCACCACCTAACTTTGACGTTAACCAGTGTGTTTTGTATGGAGTTTGACAGATTTTTGACGTTTGATAAAGTTAAGTAAGATGATGCAACGCAGCCTTACTATCGTTTAATTTTGTTTTGAACAGGAATTAGTGAACAAATAACAATTTAATATCAGCTATTCATTTGTTTCCTTTTAATCGAATTTAAAATTCGAACCACCTTTTTAAACACGTGGTTGCCAGCAACTGACTGAGTGGACAAGATAGTATGAGGACTGAGAGGAAGTGTAGGTAAGTTGGCACAGAGGAGCCCAGCGCTGATACAACGTACGTCACTATCGCTAGTGTTTTGTTTTCGAACAGGAATCTCTCATTCTGAAACTATTCCATCCGTTATTAATTTATTTCCTGACAAGTGGGATTTAAAATTCGAACACCAATTAAACGACTTCCGGTTGGAACACAACGGCCTCTTGCACGAGTGTATCTCGGGGTTGCCAGCAGCTGAGCGGGCATGTGAGTATTAAAACTGAGAGGAAGTGCAGGTGAGACGGCGCGGGGAATGCTCCGGCCAGACGCAGCGAATGTGCCAGAGTTGGCACCAGTTGGAGCTCGCAGACGCGCGCGCGGCCGCAGCGGGGGCAGGTGCCGCCAACCTTTAAAGAATACAACAAGAATTAAAGACGCGTAGACCCAAACAAGCAGAGCTTGATGCGCTATTCATACAATAAATATAAATAAAATATTTTAATTACATGAAAATATAATAAAGATGCAAGTAAATAAATGAAAGTCAGTGAGTAAGAAGGTAAAATTCCAAACTTAATTTATGTACTATCGGCAACAGTGTTAACTGCCCATTGCCGGCCATGTCTCGTACTATCGCACAGAATCACCTTTTGATGAGAGCGAGAGCAAAAACGGAAATGGATAGTTAACACTGTGGCCGTACCTGTGAGAAAATGTCAGTATTTCAAGATAATAATTAGTTTTTTAAAATGATTTTTTAAATCAACCTGAGCGAGTCCAGTGGCCGCCGCGGCCGCACCTCCTTCAGGCGTGTTGGCGGCACTCGGCAGAGGCGCGCCAAGCAATGGTGGCACTTCGCGGGAATACCTATGGGAAATACACCATTTATCCACTTAACTAGATAATCATTGCAGTAGTATCTAGGTGAATGTAAGAGACAGTCTGTTGAAAATATCAGCATCTTAGTTTTAGAGTATGCGCACACCGTTGATTTTTCATCGGCCGATAGTTTAGTCGGGCAGTTGATCAGTATGGGCATGTATGGGAGTGCGCACACTACGCCGATTCGATTTGGCCGATACTTCATACAAATTAAAATCGGGCACAACTATCGGCCAACTAAAAATCAACGGTGTGCGCCTACTCTTAGACTCTTAGTCATTGCAGAAAAAGAAAGTAAAAAAAAATCTAATGAGGTATATCTTACAGTCAGGTTAAATTGGGGTTCAAGTTCACCCAACAATGATTTCAGTTTTTCTCTGGAGGTGAAAATTCCTGCTTTTATTTGAGGGAAAAATGGCCATTATGCAGTTTAGCAATACAATACTAATAATTACCTCAATATTTGTCCAGGATTATCCTGCAAGCGGGTTATAAACGCGTGGAAGAGTCTATCACCATGGAGGGGCGTGGCCTCTTCGTACTGTTCGTCCTCCGACCCGCCCACTGCCCCTCCCACTCTATCGCCGGCGGCGCATGCTTCTATTTCTTCTAGAAAACAAATAATTTCTGTTTTGATTTCTACAAAAATAATCATACTGACCAACCAAGTGAAAGCAGCAGTGGGAGACGGCTTATGTGACTGCACCAGACAGTCTGCCAATAGAGAGAGATGGAGGGAGATCGTGCGGAGAGTTGTATCCGCCTCTACAACCGATGTGAACAACGCCTCAACGTGACCACGACCGCTCTGCCAAGAGTGTAACGAATAAGAAGAATCATACTGACAGAATACTAGACTTTATCTTCAAGTTCTCTAGGAAAAGTATTTTGAAGTTAAAACTTGCATGACAGTAGGCAGAAATTATTACAGCAATCAGTAACAAAGGGTTTTACCATTAAAAAGAAGAAGGAAAGAAGGGACATTAATATATGGCTGGTAAAATAAAGTTTTTATTCTGTATCCAAATACTAAGCAAAATTTTTCTTAGGGCCATACATTGACTATGTTGTATTGCTGCTGTTAGTGTTCCAAATAATGATTTCCTTACCATTTTCTCTTTGATATTTGTTAAGAAGTTCCGTCACTTTGTCTTCATAGTTGTGTGGTTTTCTCCATTCCTCTTCAACATAAATATACTTTGGCACAAATTGTAAAGGTCCTAGCATTAGTCGACTTCGTAAGTCGGGTGGCAATTCAGCTGTCTGAAACAAAAATAATATTAAAATCTTTATTGGCAACAAAAACACTTACATGCACAAACATTGTTGCGTTAGCAAGTGCATTAGTCAAGGACTGTGTCGCAGTTGCTAGCGCCCACCTCATACAGGCTGACATTGCAGACTTAAAAGTATTTTTGTTTAAATTTTATATTCTGTAATTAATATTCATATCAAAAGACAGGTTACATACAAAATTTATTTACTAATTTCAGGTAGGTTTTCACCATTTAGCTTGTATGAAGTACATAATATTATTATGATTTGTATCATACACATACTTGGTGAAGTAAGGTCTCCATATCACTAGTAGGTGCCAAAGGTGTGTCCACCGTCACCAGCCCTGGTTCATCCCCGCCTTCCAACTCTGCCGCTGCTACTGGAGCACCAATAGCCCCAATGGCTCCTAAAATAAGATTCATAATTAAATAAAGAATTACAAGGTGATCAATAAAAATAAATATTGGCAAAATCTATTTTAGAATAAGGGATTGAGATTAAATTTACCTTGCACTGGAGACATGTTAGCATTGTGAGCATCAAATACTTGCAAGTTTCCGAGTGCTTGTTCCACAGTCTCCAATTCTATGGAATTGCTTTCTTCGTCTTCATCTGAATTTCTGTAGATCAAATAGTAAAGATTAAGCAATTTATTGTTACATTTTATTAATGAGCCAGCTAAAGTTCATATAATATACTGACCTTTGCATAGCATTGTTAGGACTAGGGGCGTTGTCAACATTCATTACATTTCCGTTAGCGCTATCTCCGTTATCATTTTCATCCCACTCATCAGCACCGTTGCACCAAGTAAGGTTACTCTCAGATTTTGGCATAGCAACTATAGTACTTGGCTGACTCGTTGCACTATCTAGAATTTGACTTCGGAGGCATAGCCAGCTGTAAAAAGGTTTTAATTAATTTGCTGCAATGTTTTTAAAAATGTTAGATTATCAAATTGGTTAAGATAATATAAAATTACCTCTCAGATTGCGTCCAACAGTTTGGATTGATACACGCGAAAACATACAAAGTGCGATGATAGGTTGAATTTTCAAGAGGAGCATAGCATTGCACAACGAGCAGCCTATGTAGCCCGCAGAGGGGACACTTCGAAGAGAATTGCACATTTTCCAAGGGAGGCCAATCCTACAAAAGAAACAGATCAAAAACATGTGGTCGTCTAGCATTGTCTTATGAAAAACTTTGCAGTTTATCACTCACAGGCAATCCCCCAATTTTATTCACTGTGTAAGATAATAGCGTCTGAAACTTTTCTCCGATGGGTTCGTCTTCGTATCCCAAATACACTTTGCCTTGCTGTTTTGCCATTGTCATTCAAAATTAAAGTAAAATATTTATTTTTGGAAATTAATCGATGAACAAAAATTGAAAGATGTGCAGCAAACTTTGACATTCTTTTTTTTTTAGTTTTGGAACTTTGAATATTGGGCATAGTTACAAAAATAAAAGTAAAAAAAACACCAATTTGTACATTTTCTCAACGCAAAAAAAAATCTAATAAACAGGAAGGGAGTAATTAAGTACATACTTAACTACTAAATACAAAACATCATTTTTATACAATTAAATGCGTAGAATGGAAATGTGTCACAGATCGCCATTCCGGAAACGGAACAAATGTTGATTGTGGCGCGCAATGAATGGTGGCGGCGCGGCTAGTGGTAAATAATAAATTATCGAAAAAGGTGGTTACAAACAATCCTATTTTCAAGGCTAACTGCATGAATGTACCTATCTATATGTGCAATAAATAAAATTAAACAACATCCTAACATTTTAATAAACGTAATTTTAAACCTTAAAAGTTTTTAATGATTTTGTACTTTTAAGGTAATCTAAGTAGGCGAATAATAAATGACGGCCTCTGCTGCTATTGATTGACCTTGTCTTTTTAAATTTTACTTTAATTTGATACAACCATTGCGAAATTCTTTGTCGAATATCCAAGTTACGTCGTGTCGGCTATATGACTGATGCACTATAAAAGGATTTAGTTAACTACCTATTTAGTTTCGAAAGATGAATATACTTGGAAGTGCTATAAACTTACACAATTTTAACAGCGAAATGGGTAGCAAGAAATTAAAAATGTTCGTTTTTTTTTGTGTGACTTAATACACAGACCTCGTTATCTATTGATACGATTACGTAGTTCCGATTCTCACGGAATTATAGTATTAAATCTTAAAAACCCCGACTAACTTATTTTTTTAAACAATCTGGAGCTATTTAGTGTTATCTCTAAGTATACGTACATTTTTAATGAGGTTCATTCATTCCCACGTTTTCAGAATGTTTGGTGCAGTGAGATAGGTTTTGTAATGAATACAAGTACTTACTTAATACCTAATGTTGTTAGCGTTATCAGTAGGTACCTACACGGGGAGTTTTATAAATAGGTAGGTAGTCGTTTGTATTATGCAGGTATAGGTACGTGTGACTACCAGTACGAGAATTTAGTGCCTACTAGGTATTTAACTCCTGGGAAATGTTTTCAGTAGACAAGGTAGGAAGTTTTATTAGCAGATAGTAAGTAGGAATCAAATGCGTTTTGTTGACCTGAATAACTTCAGATAAAAAACATTTTTGTTGCTGCAACAAAAGCATTAATGGGCTTAGTCATTAACCAGTAGGTGTCCTAAAAACTTAACGATAAATAAATTAATTGCGTCTGGTCTACAGCCATAAATTCATTGTCATCCATGTTGAGACACGCAGGTCGCCGGCTTATTAAGTCGACCTCTTTCAAATGCATCTTTGGTTCGATTTCGTTAGGTTTTTGACCAAAGATCAGATTATACTTATAAAGACAGGTCGTTGCCCAAGTTATACCTCCATAATTTCACCTGTGCGTGGGAGACGCGAGTTGTGGTAACAAAAGTTTCGGGTCGCGCTATCAGACCTCGGCAGGACACCGCGTTAGTATCATCGACATTGTGTTTAGTTTTGATTGGGATTTTTTAAACATGGAACAGTTAAGAGCGAGTTTTCTAGTCAAAATTGCATTGGTAAGTTTATACCTTATTTGCATTGACGAAAATAAATTGTGGACTAAATTAATCAATTAAATAATAAATAAATTAATCAGTCAATCATAAATAAACTTTTATAAGCTACAAATAAGCTTTCCGCCCGCGGCTTCGCGCGCGTGGACTACATTATGTACATATTTTACGGAACCCTATTTTTTCCAAAATAAAATTTTGCCTATGTTATTCGTGGATAATGTAGCTTTCGAATGCTGAAAGAATTTTTAAAAACGGTCCAGTAGTTTTAGAGCCTATTCATTACAACCAAACAAACAAAGTTTTCCTCTTTATAATATTAGTGTAGATCAATAAAATTATTGGGTAGGTATGGTTTTGTTCTATTTTTTTTGGTATCTAATAAAGGCCCAATTATCTTTAATCACTCTGTAAGCTAAGTTATTATTTTAGTAATTTTACACTTACAGGTCTTCTTTTTAGCAGTACCACTAAATTCAGTCACAGTAAGCCCGGACCTGTGCCCCACGAACAAAATAGCTCCCCATCGGAGGATCGTAAGCTGGGGGCCACCGAGTGGACGGACTTTCGCCGCGTATTATGACCTCCTGGCGCCTCGCCCTCCAAACTATTCTCTTCAGGATCAAGCGTCGCTGCAAGAAGACCCTCAGCCGGACCAGCCAGATGACTGCGGAGAAATCGAGGACTACGACGAAAATGATCTTAGCTCTCGTAAGTTTATATTAACCATGCTTGCATTGGGTTCGGTGGAAATTTGCGGCAGTAATTTGAATATCACTCGACTAAAGGATTATTTATTAGGTACCTATACACCATAAAAATAAATACTTACCTCAATTTTCCACGAAGCTATGTCAGGGAAATCACATCAATTTTTGATGCGTGTTTTCTAGATCAAGAAGATCAAGATAATGTTCAACTCCCGGTTGGCTCACACTAGTCTTCAAAAACTCGTCCTATTGATAGGCACTACATGTATTGTTATGACGTGATGCCGCAACAAATGACACACTTATATAATATCAAAGCATTTGTAAAGACTGATCGTTATTGTAAACTGTACCATGAAAATAAACTGCACGTACGTACGACGTACGTGCCTAGGTGCGTTAAAACTTTTACAAACCATTGTTACCTTTAAGCCGCATTGTTAAAAATCTTTTTTCAGTAACACCTCAAAGGACCCGTGGCAGTCGTGAGGATAAGCGTTGGTTTTTCGGGTTGTTCGACAATCGGCCGCCTCAGCAGTTGCCAGCGTATCGGCCCCCCACGACTACGAATAGACCCCAAAATAACCCTCAGAATGGGGGTCGACCCCCGGGTCTTCTAAGACCTCCTTATGCGTCAGGAGGTCTGCTGAGCAATAATTACTACAAGCCGCCATATCATCAAGTGCCATCAGGTTTGTAAATCCACATTTAGTAATTTTAATCGCTTTATTACTTTATTAAAAGGTTTTGTTCCATGCACCTATAGTAGTAGCACAGATAACTTAAAACTAGGTAGTAGTAAGTGCTGGTACTGGTGTAGCACTAAATGGGCTGCATCAGAAAGTTTGTAATGGTCTCCAATTCATAACACTTTTATTAAATGTAAACACACTCATGAAAAAGGCATAACCCACATTACAGAGAAAGTTGTAAGTCTTGATTGTTACCCGTGCTAACCAAAACAACTTTCTTCTAGATCATTTGAAACCTGTGCACGAGTATTCGGATAATTCGGAAGTTCAACAGACTTATCGCCCTGACGTCGTGGGAGGTCCTCTTATGCATATAGTAGGCCTGACTAGACCTACCGTCCCCACACCTAATGACGCCATAAGACGGCGACAAGAATATCTTGACAGTTTGCGCCGACAATCTACGCCGCCGACTTTTCAAACAGTAACGCGACGCCCAAGGCCTAGGAAATTAACTAATGACAGCACTGTAATTGGATCCTTTATAGACTTGTTTTTCAAATGAAACATACACAATAAACCTATGTTTTATTTTTTTATATTATAGTACCTAAGTATTACTCATGTTCTTCGTACGCAAGGACTGACCTTTTGTTTCCATAACAATCGAGTAATCCGCACGTAACCTTCGCGATGAAGAAAATACCAAGTCGTAACCTTAAGTGCAGACTGGTATTGTCATTCAGTGAAAGTCCTTTACGCGAGTAGGTGTGTGCATGCACATTTCAAGACTATACATTTTGACAGGAATTCTGTTATTCCAGTCTCTGGATTGACGTAGGTACTTTGTGGACAGATAAGTTTATCGTGTTTCCACCTACGTACGAATCTAGTACCTACTAATAGGAAGCACGTGACAGTCGTCATTTAAGTCTCTGGATTAGGCACGTTGTCGTATTTTTGTTCATTTACCTCATTAATCCATTACTGTAAGGATGATGATATCACCGCGTGTAATTCGTTGGCGAATTTGAAATGTCGTTAAAAGTTCTGAAGAGGCTCAAAAGCGCACATGTGAAGTTCGCGAGTGGATGTTCGCTTGGACAACGTTTTATCTCTCGTTGGTTAATTTAAAAATAATGCGCTATTATCTTGTTTTTTTGGTGGCATTGGGATACGTTAAGGCTGAAGTATTTTATGAAGGTATGTATTAATATTTCCATTTCTACCGCATAAACATGTAGACCAAACATGTAGAGAAATACCACGATTGCATGAATCGTTATCGTAAATTAATAAAAAATAATTTGAGGAAAATTAGGTAAGTAGCTACTACCTAATCATTTTAATTAAGGTAAATTTAATAAAGTAACTAACGCAATTTGTTAAAACGTCCAATATCTAGAAATCAATCCGTACACTGAAGCACTAAGTTACACTCCCTGGAAAAGTGTACAAAAGTATGTGGAAGTGAGGCCTGGAGCGTTCATGTTTTATTGGCTGTACTATGCTGATGGCACGAGCTACGGTGCGGACAGAAAGCCGCTGGTAATATGGATCCAAGGAGGGCCAGGCTTGGCAGCCAGCGGAATAGCCAACTTTATGGAACTTGGCCCTTTTGATATGCACATGCAACCGCGAAACCATACCTGGGTAAGAAAATATGTACTCTTACAATACTAACCACATAAGCACTTCATACTTCACATAATGCATTGCAAAATAGCGTTAATTACAATTGTATAAGGCGCCATAGTGTTTAGGTTGATCTGCCCTCGTTCGTACAAACGTTAATACGTAGTGTTTGTTTCAAATCCATATTAGGAGCATAAATTGTGAGCACGACTAGAATATTAAGTTATCAGGAGCCTCACCTACCTCTGTTTGCCCAGACACTTATTTATTTAAAACATATTTTAGCAATACCTAGTATTGTACTTAGTTTAGTAGCTATTGGCCTAACATAAATATTTAATGATCATACTCCACTGAAATTGACTGAACGTTATTAAGTACTAGCTTTCCGCCCGCGGCTTCGCCCGCGTGGAATTTTGTCTGTCACAGAAAAACTTTATCGCACGCGTCCCTGTTTCAAAAACCGGGATAAAAACTATCCTATGTCCTTTCCCGGGACTCAAACTATCTCTATGCCAAATTTCATAAATTCGGTTCCGTGGTTTAGGCGTGAAAGCAAGCAGACAGACAGACAGACAGAATTCGTTCGTTCGTTCGTTTCAGCCAAATGATGTCCACTGCTGGACAAAGGCCTCCTCCAAGGTTTTCCACAATGCACGGTCCTGCGCTGCCCGCATCCAGGCTCTTCCCGCCACAGAGTTACTTCGCATTTATAATATTAGTGTAGACTTTCATTATGTAACAATACCTACCACAAGCAAGCAATAGCTACTTGTTTTGCGGTAGACAGACTAGGCGGGGTTTTAATTGGCAGATGTTTAAAGTCTAATGGGCGCTTATTTTTAATACTCTCGGGTTTGGTTATCCCTGGAGAGAGGAGTGTTCGTTCGTCACTTCGTACAGCAACAGCATAACTAACATTTTAACAACCTACATTTTTTTTTCAAATGGCACCTACTGTGCACTGCTAAGATGCCACTGCGTTTACTTTGATGTGCTTTCGTCTGCATAGGTAACCAAATTGCAAAATATGCAAAATCGGACAACAGTTATTACGTAGGTACAAGTAACTGTGGCTTACCACAACTTTAATTGTTTTAACCTTATTTTTCATGTTCATCAATGACATTTAACTCAATGAACTGTAGGTACGTCCCAATTTAAACCGTAAACTTACTCAGTTGAAAAACTGGTTTAGGATCTTGGCACATACAATATCCATTAAAGTTTTTTTTTTCAGGTGAAAGGGAGGAATGTATTGTTAATAGATCATCCTGTGGGCACAGGGTTTAGTTATGTTACTGACAAAAAATTACTTGTAAAGACTGATAGACAAATGGGTAAGACAATTTTTATTAAAATTTCTTAGCGATTAGAGTCGCTTCTCAAACTAAATTATAAATAAACAACTTGAAAAAATCGAACTGACTAAGGCGGGAATCGAACCCACGACTTTTCGCTTGCCGGGTGACTGCTCTTCCAAGCAAGCGAAAGGTCGTGGTCGTGGGTTCGATTCCCGCCTTAGGCAGTTCGATTTATTCAAGTTGTTTATTTATAATTATTATTATTTATATTGTATCATAATTATTATCATGTTTTCGGCAGCGGAAAAACCCGTCAACGCTGGCTGGGATTCTCAAGAGATAATTAGTCACCGTGTTTGATTGTGCCGGTTCAATAAATACAACATTTAAACAAAATAAAATACTGTCCACGATAATAATGTATATTAAATTAGTCCCTTTTAATTATTTCAGCGACAGACCTCGCCAGAGCAATAAAGACGTTTTTCCGAACGCACAAAGAATTTCGCAAAACACCGACTTATCTCTTCAGTCAGAGTTATGGAGGAAAACTTTGCCCGAGATTGGCGTATTATCTTCACACGGTACGTATTTGGAAATTATGTTTTTATTTAAATTAACTTAACACCGCATTATTGATAATAACTAAGCCAACAATCCGAGTAATAGTTATTTCTGTCATGTGTTGATTTGGTACAAATATCAGGAAACTCAAATACGAAAAGTACTTTGTTTATTTTACCTTTTTCTTATCACTAGAGTAAAATATCGAACCATATTTGTGCGGTCAACAATGATAAAATAATTTGAAACTATACCCGTCACTGATGATTTATAATGTCATCTTACTAATTGAAACTTACAGCCTCGTAATTAATTGTGTTGTTTGTTTTCAGGCAATTGAAAAGAAGCGTCTAAAGATGAATTTCAAAGGCATAGGAATTGGCAGCGGTTGGGTTGACCCAAAAGAAAGCACTTTGGCGCATCCAAGTTTTTTATACAATATGGTAGGTACCATTGGTTGCGTAGGAGCAATACACACTGAAGACGCAGATTCGCCGGCACGAATTCTTTAAAATAACGGCTCCAGTGTTGCATAGCCTCGAAAATCCTTTATAGGTGTGCGTTATCATAGAATGTTATATCCTTTTAAAATTTTGCCTGAAATTTTAAAGAGCCTTCAGCCATTACAGTAGATTCTATTTGAATACAAGAAAAAATAATTTTGCTAGGATAAGGTCCACCTAGTGTGATGTGCAAATTTTTGGGACACCCTGTTTACCTATATGTAATCATAATATTAAAGCTAGTTCTTTTTAGGGTGCCATCGATCAAAATACGTACATGAAATGCGTCGTAATATCCAAGAGGATAGCATACGCCGTAGAACAAAAGAACTACGTGGCAGCCGGTGAATACGACGCCATTTTGTACAGAACCGTCACGCAAGAGTCCGGCATGGAGATTAACTTCAACAATATTAACCAAGTGGACACAAATGGCGCACTGATTTTGCTAGAAAAGAAAATAAACAAATACGTAAAACCGACCCTAAAAATAGTNAAAATAGTCAACCAAAGCTTGGAATGGTCGTACATTTCTGAAGATGTATTCCAAAGTTTGAATCGAAGTTTTTTTGTGCCGTCAATGAAATTTTGTAAGTAAATACGGTTATATTTAAATGCATGCATGGCATTTGAGTAAATATATATTTTGTGTATTTTTATATTAATAATAATAATATTTGTGTATTTCAGTAGAAATGCTGCTAAATAAAACTCAGCTGAATATTGCAGTTTACAATGGCAACTTGGATGTAGTCACGCCTTTAGCAGGTAATATTTAATGAAGGATTCGTTGTCATTGTCTCTCTGAAAGAACTTTTGGAGGAAGTATTTCAACTTCTTAATGTTACCTATATTCGTCAGCATCAAAGATATGATTTTCAAAAAGCTATCTCGAGACGTATTTTGAGGCATTGGAATTCTAATTCATTTAACAGAATATTTACATAAGTCTAAACAATTTCAGGGGCATCAAATTGGGCACACAAGCTCAATTGGTACGGTGCCGATGAGTTTAAAAATGCAAAACGAATAAAAATCAATGGTCACCGAACTGGATTCTATAAAAAAGCGCACAGATTTAGTTTTTGGTGGGTCTTCGGCTCTGGGCATTGGGTAACTTTATTTTTTAAATTTTAATTTGTTGATATTATATTAAGTTGCATTGCATCTCAACCACTGACAGTTCAATGTTACCGTGTTAGATTGAACTTCAAAATAAATACAGGATGTTTTAAGAGATTTGAAATATTTGTAACTCTTTCACTCAAAATCTAGGTACTGAATTAATATTTGCGAATATTGATTACTTACTTCTGATATTATTTTTCTACTAAACCCAAAACCTAGGTATGGTGTTACATAAAACAAAAAAATATTGATTGCCATCTTGTCGTTTTTAAACATGCAATTATGTTTGATAAAGATTTTCTTTTTTTTTAGGTACCTGAAGATAACCCTGTCGCGATGGAACAAATCCTAGAGCACGTTATGTCGAGTGACGAATAGAAGAGTGGATTTCATATTGAAATATTTTTATATTTTATTAATTGAAAAGTGTTATTATACCGTTATTTTGTATAAATGAAAAACAATTTCTCAAATAACTTTTGTATTACTTATATCTTATTTTACACCGATATATTTACAATACACGATTCAAATAACAAATTAATAATTACCTAATATACACACAATATTTCGAGCACCACCCTCAAATACAAAATACACAATTGTAAGTATTTTAACAATGAAATTCGATTAATTTATGACTTGCTCAATACATCGCTAAATAAAATAAATGCTAAACATGTTTTATATCATTGCATTTTGTCTCTATCAACTGTTTGGGGTTGATAGAAACAGAATTATAAAGATTTAGCTTGAATTTAATTCAACAACGTTCATGCAAGTTGCTCTAAGTATTAAAATACCATAGCATTATAAACGCTAACATTAAGTAGAATTTACTTAAAGAATTACTTCGCCTAAATACTCAATGCATTTCATGCATTTAAAAATATTCCAATGCATTCCTAAATATCATACAGATCCTATGGCCAGCGTTTTATTAAATTGATGACTAAAAAACAAAAATCTTCTGGCCCTAAGATATCTGTCAGGCTGTTGTGCTCTTAATATTTTAATTAAATTCATTAAACTATATTTTGGTATATTATCTACATATAAATTGTAACAATTACATGGCAACTCACCACAAATGATTATTAATTCATTTACGGTCTGGTCCTGGCTGTAGATTAACGTTATACAGCCTTTAGTCAAATCTTGAGGACACCAATTATTAATTAGTTGACTAAGCAAAATATCCAAATCCTCATAATATACATATAAAACACATTCGCTTTGTTCATAATTGATCGTTGGTCAGCAGTATATTTTTTTATTTCATTTAAAGTAGAGTTTACGATGCAGACTTATTTGATTTGAATAATATTTAATTAGCTAAAGATTTTTGAATATAAAATTACCTAAAGAATACATACCATTGATTATTTCAGTTTAAGTAATTATAAAGTAGGTAAATGATTTTAGAAATTGTACATGGCAACATCTGCTCCGGTAATTTTTGGTTATTTTTTGTGTTAAAAAAATCATAACACTGATAATTTCTGGCTATTTTTCGTTGAAGTAACATACACTTTCTTAGTTATGTTATTACGTATAACCAAATAAATAGGTCAGCGCTTTATATCCGCTGCTGTACTGCAGTTTATCTGGTATAGCTAAAATAAGTTTTTTCACCTTTCAAACCTTACCAGTGCAAGCTGGAGCCATTCAGACTAGTAGATTAGTGACAGATATTTACTATAGTTGTATATTATACAGGGTGTAAAAATGTATCACGAAGCCTAAAACTATGGACAGCAAATCGAGTTTTATTTAGTAAAAAATTTAGTGAGTAAAGAACTTAATGGTTGTGAGTTTGAGTTATTTATACAGCAGGAAAAACACACAGCAGTGGTAAAGATCTTAAATAAATGATTTGAATTCGACCTTCAATAGGTCCATCATAACATTCCCAGCTATAGTTCTCACGGAAAAAAAAATCGTCAAGGTGTGGAGGAGAATACGTGATAGTCAGCGCCAAATTCGTCGTTCGTGACACTCAAAGCAGCCAATAAGTCCGCGTCACGTCTTTGTTCCAATTGGAATAAGGTTGTGTTATCAACTTTTTGGCCACCTTGGGTGTCACGAACTATTTGACGCTGACTGTACTAGCTTCGTGATAGGTATTTTTACACCCATATATCTAAACTACGAAATTATTACTACGAGACCCTCACTTCGGCGTAGCAGGCGTCGCAAACTCGCACCGGCTTGGTGTTACCGGCCAGTGCTACGGTCTTCTCGCTGCAGGCGCGACAGAATATGTGCCCGCATCGTCTGCAATGGTGCTGAAATAAAGGCGAAAGTTAAATAACGGTAAGAAGTTAAGCTATATCATTGCTTATTAACTTTTAGTTAGGGCATTAACCTTTATGAATGCAAGTTCGTTATTTTGAAATCTAGAAAACCTTCTCGGATCGGATTCTTTTTTCTAGGATGAAAATTATGTTACTGACGTTACTAGTCACGTCAGTTTTTTAGACCGCGACCATGGTCTAAAAAACTGCCTACTATTTAATTATTGGAAGACAAACCTTATAATAACGTCGCCACTGACGGCTATATGGATAAAATAAATGAATTTAATTTTCATTGAGAAAAACTACGCGTTCGATATACCTACTATGATCTCTCTATCGCACTAGATTCGCCAAATCAATTGACTGTATTAATAAATTCAAACTCGAAAGGGTCAAAATGGGCGTGACCAATAACGTCATGCTCAACTAAACGCTTAATTAGTTCTACTTATTGAGCTTAAAAGGTTTTGTAATATTAGTCACTTACTTTCCGCCTAGCGATGGTGAATTCTTTGGCGCAAGCAGTACAAGACACAGCGTCCTTGTCATCCGTCCAAGTGGGCGTGTCGTCAGTAGACGCCGCCTTTGCCTCTCGCTCTAACAACTCGGCCAGCTGTAGTTTGTTCTCGCTCAACGTCGCTCCCACTTCTTCTAATGTCTTCTGGGCTTCGCTGTATTGTGTTTTTAAGACGTGCTGCTCTTCTTGTAGCGCTATGTATTTCTGGAAACGATTGATTTGTTGGTCTATTGACTATGTTTTTATCTTTAGTATTGACATTATATGAATTTTTAAGCAGCTACTCCATCCACTAAACATTTTTTGAATCTATGTATGTACTTTAAACAATCGCATAGAATGTTCGTAATAATATACATTTTTATATTTTTCCTCGTAGCGTAAATTTTGTCGGTGTCCGCACTGATAACAACTATGAAATGCTCCTTTATCTGCACGCCTACGCGTCTATTAATATAAATTTGCTCAAAAAGACAACTGTGTCTAGTTTAGTCATAACTATTTCTTCTGATTTTATGTGTGTACATTATTCGTACATAGGATAAAAGATAAGATTGGATTCATTCACTCACCTGTCCAATAGATTTCAATGATTCAACCTCTTGAGTCAGCATCGATATTTTATCGCGATCCCGCATCATCGATTCCTGTCGATCGTTTTTGATTAATAATGACACTTGAAATAACACTATAATCGTCGAAATACAGCAATACTATTTATAGCCGATAAGTTGTAAGTAGATTAATATCTTATTTGGCAATACATTATCGCCTTTAAGTACTGTGCAAATATAAATGGACTTAAGATTGTAAATATAGAGATAGTAATTCCTTTTTATCGGTTCCCTACTTATTTGCGAACAAATATACAGTTATCGAGATGTCAATAGGTACTCAGAGCTCAATGCAATCCAAATATGTAACGTGTGGACATAAGTTTATTATGAATACATATCAATTTATTCCCTTTCTGTAGTGTCATCATTTCTTACGTGTTTTATTACTCACTTGTTTCTATGAATGAAGACATTCTTCTGCTCAAATACAACTGTGTGGGCTCGTGAAAACCCACAGGAAAAAACTAATCAATAGAAATGGGGAAATGTTCTTTTGAGATTATGTTGTCCTAGTTAAAACTTGAATTTGAGCAGACGAATCATCCGTCACTTTCCATATAGAAGTATTTACGTGATGCAGTTTTATTTATTAGACACTAGCTTTCCGCCCGCGGCTTCGCCCGCGTGGAATTTTGTCTGTCACAGAAAAACTTTATCGCGCGCGTCCCTGTTTCAAAAACCGGGATAAAAACTATCCTATGTTCTTTCCCGGGACTCAAACTATCTCTATGCCAAATTTCATCAAAATCGGTTGCGAGGTTTAAGCGGGAAAGCGTAACAGACAGACAGACAGACAGACAGACAGAGTTACTTTCGCATTTATAATATTAGTTGGGATTGAACCATTTCTCATCGCCAAATCTTTCCCGTGACGTGAAATGTGCAACAGAAAGTGGACGCGGACCCCTCCAAGACAATAAGTTACTTCGCTCCATGAAGCGTTTTCGGTATTCAAACAGTCACGTTTTGTAACTTGTTTAGTAGGGCTGGTTGATACGGAGTTAGCACAACTTGATATACAGGGTGACTGGTAATTAGTGGCGGAGCCGTTAAGGGGAGGTAGTCTAGGGTTATTCTGACAGATATCACAATGAGACCTTCAGTTCTTATTTAACCCTTTCCAATATATTATAACTTAAAGAGTGTAACCGAAAATTTTCAAATAGTAATAAATCCTAAATAAGTATTAATATCTAAAGAATTCACCTGTAACGATATCCGCCACTCTCGTTCGATCCTGAGGTCTCCTTCAGCCGCCACTGCCCTAGTTTCAGCTGTCGCCGCCTTCTGGCCAAGCGAGCGGGAACTTTCTTCTAAACTCTGCCTAGCCATTTTATCGCTCTGTAACCTAGCCAGTTACATCCTGGTTTTAGACTCTTCAGTGACAAGTATTGCACCTGTTTCTATTGGGTAGTTGACACCAACCAACCAACAATCCCTTCATTTTAACAGTTACTGAGTTACAAAGTTAATTTTAATTATACAATTACATTTTATAACGTCTTTTCTTGTCAAGGGTGACCCCGATATTCAATAAAAAATAGTATTTTGACAGTTTATAAAATGACAATTGAATGGCGGTGTCGTCAACTATCCAAATTGTATCTTCTGATGATAATGAAAATTTAGAATTTAATAATTTGTTGTTCGTTGAGAAATCTTGTGAATCCATCTCAAGAATAAATACATAATATATTAAGCCTCGTCCACACCAACAGCCTCAATAAGGCGTATTTACAGAGACAGATTTTGCAAATAAATGGATCTGACAATTTCTCTAATGACTACGTCATCTCGGGTTGAATGAGAAGGATATGGCCGAAAAATATAAACAAGCTTTAAGACTTTAAAGTTAGTTGTTGTTGTTTTCTAGTGGGGATGAGGCTTTACTAATTGAATTATTGTAAGTGGATGACATCGAAGGTGATTTACTTTTAAAAAAATATCATGATAAAATAATTTAGCAGTGCGGTTTCACACAAAACAAAAGACAAAGGAATGTGTGTGGTGAATTGTAATTTTTTCTTTGGAATGTAATAGTGAAAACGTATGTTATGAATCATAGCTAACGCACATCTGTGCAGTGATCATTAGGAATGCTATGGGAGTGATAATGAATGGGATATTAATATATGAAAATATATGAATTATTTCCCAGTTAAAAAGTAACTTAACGAGTTCGATCAGATAACTATTTTAAAACATGCAAACACAATGTCAAAGATAATGGCAAACCTACACAATCAACATAAAACAAAAACAAGTGCTTGGTATCCTATTCAATGAAATACAGAATGCGACTGAATATGCTTTATTATAAATAAGGCTTTTACATTTCTACGTTCTCGAATAAATTACAAAACTATGACAAAAGGAAAGTTTCATTGTTCTCTAAACAGATGTCGCTAGATGTCAACAAGCTTATACAATACATACTTTTAAAATCCTGGTATATCAATAATATAAATTGCAGGTAATGCTGTATCTCTAATTACATAATGAGATCAAATTAATTTAAATGTACTTTTAATAATACTAATACAGATAGTTCACTGTCATTGTCACAGTTATTAATACTTAGAATATCACTAGAAAAGTATACAAAATAACTTCATTCTAATCTAAGCACATGAAATGTTGCTAGTTGATGCTACTTTGGATTAGAGATAATTGATAAATTACAGAATAAATATTATTAAATATAAGAACAATTGAAAACGATTTCATAATACAATCTTATCAGCTGCCAATTTAAAATATTTAAGAAAAACAAAGTAAACCTAATATAAACTTAACATGAATCAACAGATCACTATTACAACCATACTGCGTTATCATTCCACAGCAACGAGAAAGCCAAAGCAACAGTAGCATACTGTCATAACAGTGTACCCCTAACGATATTTTTAAACGTTTGTCATATAAAAATAACAATATACCGATCTCGAGTTGTCTCTAGTCAATTGTGAGGGTTTGCCAATATCGAGCGAATTGAAAGAGTTATCGTTATTTTAAATATTCAACGCAAGCTGTGCATTGCTCACACCTAGGTGCGAATCCGATAACTGATACGCGAGGCGTTACACTTAGCGTTAGCGTATCGAGCCACACTTTCGATCCTTGCGCCAAATGCGGTGTCATAAAAAATAAAAAGTATAAAACCTACTTCTCATCGAGTTGATGTATCGTGCTGCCCATTGATTCAGTCTTTGCTTCCAATTTGGCTATTAGCTCAGTTTTATGTTTCAAGGAACTTTCACATTCCTAAAACAAGGCCAATAAAATTTTACTTGATATAACAATGACAACTTACGTTAGTCAACATTTTGTTAGAATAAGCGGATACATACAACCCAGTATAAAGCATTACAATGGTACAGTTCATGAGGTTAATATTGTGGCGCGCTGAGTTTCATTGAACTATAGGAAGAAAAACTCAGAACGTATACTATTGCCAGCATATTAGCCTCACTAATATTAGGATAGTCACTTTAAGAATATAGTTGTTAGTAAGATTCATAAAATTTCACTAAGAGGAAGTACCACTTTGTGGAATAAACATTATTTACAACATTGACTAGAATGCGCATCGTTTTGAGTTATAATTTATTCAAGAATGGGTCCGACTGGTTTGTCTTTACTATTACATTTCCTAAACGGTGGTATTTCCTGCAAGTTCAATTTTTTGTTTGGCGGCCCCTCATCCTTTGACTTTGTACCCTTTTGCGCTTTGAGTTTTTCTAATTTCTCGCCTAAGTTATTTTCGTTAGTGGTGGGAGATCTTAGAGCTTTGACTAGATCATGGTCGGGTCCTAAGAAGTGGTTATATTTTTCGAGGTTGTGTAGTATTTTGCCAATTTGCTCGGCCTTTCCCTGGAGTCTGGAGACCATTTCACCCTTCTGTGTGAGTTCCATCTCGCATTCCTTCCGGGGTACGACAAACGCGGCATTGGTGAATACAGCATAGCGTTAGTATACATAAATATTATAAATCATTACGATATTATGGCATCTTGTTATGGTAGCGATAAAGGTATAAGATCGTAAATAAAAGAAAGCAATAAATACTAAATACATTGGCATAGAGAAAATTGGGTAGACGTGAGGTGTGATATAAGAAATGCAAAACAATCGATGTAACATCAACAGGCTGAGTGGTAAATGTGAGTTCATCGACTAATTAGATGTTAGACAATGAGGTAAAGAGATTGTATGGGCGGGAAGCGTCGATGGAGCACCCACGCTCGAATGGCCTTCGTGGGGCAACGGCTTGTTGGTTCACATTGACAATTGTGAGCAAAAACTTGTGTGAACTTGGCTTTATGGCTGCACAGAGGTCGAGCTGGTGAAGCGAATTTTGCCAGCTAATTTTATGTTATGATATTTTTGCGAGTTTAATTGTAGACTCTATGCATAATGGTCTATTAAGATAAGCTGTGTGGCTAATAGGGGTTTTATTTTCTAAAATGGTTACTGTTTTGTAAGTATATCCGATTTCAAAACTAAGCGCGCTTTTATTGAATTTTTACAGAATTAACGCTGAGAAAAACAACGGAAAAGTCTGTCAGTCTATCTTTTTTGGAAAAGTGGATTAACCTTGTTGTTTACATCCCATAGTCATTAAACCGAATCATCTATACACTACCAAATGAACTTGACCCACATTCATTCGTTGCGTTTATATCAATTTGCCGGTAAAAACTACTTATTATTGTTATGGTTTTTACTTGAATTAAAGGTAATGAATTTGTTAGTAAGACCATGACGGAGTGAGAAAATAATTTGGCAATGATGAGGTTTAATTAATCACTTCAAAAATGCAAGGGTACAAAATCCTACAAAACCATGCTTGAACAAATAATAGTGTGGAGACTCACCTGTAACTTTTTGTACATTTCTAGGTTGATTAGTTTTATATCGTCGAGCTGTCTTCGCAGCGATATAATTGTGTCCTGCTTATCGTGTATGTCTTTTTCTAACAGTTTCATAGCAACCTCCATTTCAGCTTTCAGCGAAATCTGAAAGGTGGTTGAAGCGAAAAAGAAGATAAGATATTTTTGTAAACAAATGAGTAATCATTATCAAGATAATAAATTATTTATTCACCTGTAAGTCCAGTTCTTTTTGAAGTTCGACATTTTTCTTTCGTTCTTCTTCTAAGGCTTTAGACGGCTCTGTGTCTTTGTCATGTTTAGATTTATCAGAGGTTGTGCTTTTAACGCTGCGTTTTTCCTGGAGCATATACAAAGAGTTTGTTATGAGTAAACAATGTATAAGTTAATGGCGGTCGCACTATAGCTTCAAGGACATAATGACTTCAGGGGTTTCTATTATCTTTTTATTAGTAATGCAGTGTGAAGTAATTAAGTAGATGGATTTTATTATAAACCTAACATACTTATAAAGACTTTGTATAGAATAGACAAGGAAAACAATTTTGTAACAGAAAGAAACTATCGAAAAATATTTTAAAAACTATTGAGATTTCATAATGATATGTAACAATAATTTTCTTACCTCCTCATCCGAATGTAACTCGGTCACTTTCATCCTAGTATCTTTGGTTATGTCCTGACCTGAAGAAAAATAACACGTGTTACACGGACGTAAATAAACACAGACGAGTTATATTTGCTACGTCGAAAATAACTCACAAGATCTGACCCAAAAGGAGTGTTTTGCTTGACTTTTTGTCGTTGAGTTGCCCATGAATGAGCGATAGTGCATAACGGTGCGTAAAATATGAGCCGGCGACGAAAGCCGTGCTTCGCTCTCGGCATACTAATGCAAACTAAACCAAACTCCAAAGTTAACTAAACGCCGACGGAGTAATGATTGTGACTCATCAAATCGCAAGGTGTCTTATCAAGTGCACTCGCTTTGTTTTCATTGAAAGCTGACACACGACTTTCTGCTTCAGCACATTTCTCTTCATTTTTGTATATTATTTAAATTAAAGATCAGTGTCTATTACATAATATGAATAATAATAAATAATTTGGAAGAGTAACGTAAAAGGAAATTCGTACTAATAATGCCTGTATTTAATTTATTCCGATAATTTACGTGTTTATCATTTGGCAGTTAAATAACTAATTAGGTCTTAATTTAATTCTTATCAAGACGTCATGTAATGCAAATTTTTGCAATTACTTTTTGCGTGTTATTAAATGTAAGTAAGTTTGAATGAATGTTGCATTTTGCATTAGCAAAGTACTCATTAACAAATAGCTCAAAATGTTTCGAAATATGCAATATCCTCCTTGTGTAGCTTTCGAATGCTATTAATGTATGTGTCAGTGTATTTATGTGTACTTACCCAAAGCATGTTTCAGTTGGTTGTTTTCCTCAACTAACGTGATCATGGTGTTTTTGGCGATGGCCAGGTCCTCCTTCATGAGGGCATTGGTTGTGGTCAGGCTTTCCACTTTGGCTTGGAGATTTGCGACCGTTGCGCTGAAATAAAATGTCTTTATAGATCTCATTCGATAAGTATTCTATGCATTTTCGAAATGTGTGGCATTTTATACTGGTATTGGATCTAATGAACTACGACTATGATAAAAAATATGTTTAACAGATGACTGGTTCGGTAGAACGCTGTAGTTTAGGACAATAGCCCAACAACGGTGTTGACATTGGACTACTCAAGGGCAATAGTGACTATCTTGGCATTGAACTGCCGATCATGCATGCCAAGGGTCAATGGAGTTTAGAACTATTGTGGTAAATCCATTGATAATGCAGTCTACACACCAAACCCGCCGACATATTATGTCGTCGAAATGATCCCTTTGAGATAAAGCCGCCGACACCATGCCTCCGGGCTGTCGGCGGGCTTGGTGTGTAGAGTCCTTAACACGAGCATGTATTTAGAGTAAGTGGGAGTATTTAAAAAAAACTTGTTTAAATATGACTATTTGTATCTCGTTGGCATAATATCAAGCTCTGCTGATTATTTGATATGTCTTTTATGATTTGAGTCGACTGTCTCTTTGATTAAATGCAAGTAGTTCTAGATCGAACGGTGTTCATGTAGCATCGTTTGGCCTTGTCGGCATTACTGTTACTAGCCGTGTCTAGATGACCTACTAAATAGTCTGAAATTGCTAAAAAAACTAACGGTTCAATTCAGTTTTTGATAAAGTGATGTCGCATTGATTTTAGTTTACTAAGCAGGAGAAGACATAGAACATAGGACGAGCTCAGTTTTGGTGTGACGTTGCTATGGTTGGATGTTTGCACTATTTTATTCTGGCAATGTCATCAGACGCTACAAATTTTTAATAGCTGAAATATTACACCTGTAATAAGCTGGTGCAGAGTTCCCAAGTGGCGACCACGGGCCGGAAGACGTAGTGTGGGTAGGCCCCCCACTAGGTGGACCGACGATCTGGTGAAGGTTGCGGGTAGTACCTGGAGGCAGGCAGCGCAGGACCGGTCTTTATGGAAATGTTTGACGTAGGCCTTTGTCCAGCAGTGGACGTCATTTGGCTGAAACGAACGAAAATATTACACACTTACTTGAGGTGCCTGTTCAGTTCTTCGATATAGTTCTTCTGATCAAGCATGGTGTTGATATGGCGTTGTTTTGGCTCGTTGTTAGAGTTGTTGCTGTTACTGGCCAGATCGTTGGAAGAGTTGCTGCCGCGTAGATAGAGGGAGAAGTCTATGACACCCTGTTGGCTGTCTAGATCCTCCTCCTATAACAATTCGTTTCAATGAAATAGTCTGGAATGTTCTTTATGTGATGGTATTTTTGGTGGAAGAATGCGTGACGTACAATGACGTCTTTCACTAGGTCTTTACGAGTAAGACTCTGACGTCATAATTATGGATATGTGGTGAGAAATTTTTACCGTGGGGACACTAGTGTACTTATCATAAAAATATTGTTAACAATTGGATATACTCTGAGTGAAAGGCATAGGACACACTTTACAATGACATCAGGTCCGTCAGTTAGCTATCGCGAATATGTAATGTGATATTCCTTAATGAAAACAAACGATAAACACCTTTCATAACAATAGGCATAACGAATATTTTCTTTGAAATTAATTCAATACCCACGTGTAAGCTCATTTGGTTGAATGTATGGTTTGATGCTAGATATTTGTGTATTATTCCTTCATTGTGGAATTATGCCAAGAAATCGTATTTTGTGTTACGATAAAATGTTGGCAGGTTCAATAACCCGAACAGCATAATTATTTACATTTTAAAAATAACAATGTCATAACTTATTAAGAACTACACGTTAGGTACTTGTTAATTTTTTTGTTATTAAATTTTTACTAAATTTTTATTGCAGACGAAATAATTTACAGTAAAAGTCGATAAGCGTCTTTAAATGAATTAATTACTTACAGCACTCCCTTGGCACTTATAACTACGTTTTCGCGCTAAAAATGTAATTTGCATCCATTAAAACAAGTGAAAGTTTACCTTGACACACAAGTTACAGTCGACGACGTTTAGGCCGACGAGTAGACCGGTGATAATGACAGCTTCTTCGTTCAGCATCAAGGCATGTGGCTCGAAGTATTCCTCCAAAGTTTCTTCGCGGTGTTCAAGGAGAATCCTGAGGTAGTCTGCGAGCCTTTTTTGCATGAGGGCCAGTCGTAGCCACGCCCGAGCTCGACCCATGGCGGTTCTACAAATAAGGTTCTTGTTATATGACTTAAAAGGAACAAATTCGACTGTAGCATCGCGAACTTAGGCGCATGTTTCCATATTCAGATGACGACACACCAAGCTAAATACTTTGGCATCTTATTTAGTTGCTATTAAGTGCTATATTCCAACAAAATATGTGGTTTAATGTGCTGTTGACTGTATGATTTCGGCAAGCAAAGTCACTATACTGTGACGGTCTACACTACGCAGTTATGACACACGATGAAAGAAAAATAAACGGTTGAATTATTAATTTTTTTTTGGTAGTAAGATGTAAGTAGTTAAACATTTTTTGATCGTAAGTAATTAATTATGTTTGGAAATCTTATTTGACGATCAAATTCCTGCGTTTGAATACTTAGTATGGACATTCATGCACGACGTTACATCACATAATAGTATGTAAGTATTACAAAATGGCATAAATAGCCCGAAGTTTGTTTTGTCCAAATATATCATGTAATTTAAGTCAACTATAAGTAGCGTTAAATTGGCATAAACACTATATTCAGTAATAGTATCTTTAAAGTTTCAGTTATTTTATTTGTACGCGCAGATCGCATAATAATATTTTTGTTTACAAGATAATTGCGCTTGTAAGTAATAATAATTTGCATGCCAAAAGCTGTTTTCACGTGGGCATAAGCGGCGTCGGCCGCTGAGTCACTCGTGTCATCCGAATACAATAAGTTAATCGATATGTTTACAACGTAGGTAAATCACTAGGTACTACTAATGTAAGTCCCATGATCTTACTTGACAGTGGGCAAGTCCCTTATGCTCGCGGTGATATCGGCCGCTTCGGGTGAATATTTCTCCACCATTTGCAATATGTCCCATAATTCCTTTTTAGGTCCGAGAAGGCCCTGAAAATTCGTGTATTGTAATTAATATCGTTCAAGTCAATGAACCGTAGCAGCCGTGCATTGGGACAGGTTGATAAAAGACAGCGGTATAAAACATGAAGCCTATTAAAAACGTTGCGCGAAAAAGTGCTCTAACAAAAGATTCGGTTCACGTCTTTAGTTTTACCTTTTTCGGCTTGAGTCCGTGACGCATAACATGCTCGAGAACAATAAAAAAGTGGTGCAGCGGTAGATGGTCGCTGTCCAACATCCGTCCATAGCGCAGCGATTGTTCAATTAGCTCTTTCACGATCAACTTGGAGATGTTCACTAGATTGCTGCGCTCAATCACCACAGGATCACGAGCTACAATGAAACAATAGTCTTTACTTTTGACCTAAATCTAGCAGTGGGAGGAACACACGGACTAGAATGTAGGAAGCCTCATTGTTAAATAACTAGCGAATTATATTACCCATCAAGGAATGCATAGGGTCGTCGGGCGATTGAATGGCACCGCTCTCAGATGGTCGGATATACGAGTCGGTCATCTCCATATCGTGCAGCTCTTTCAAGCACAGCCATTCCCCGTCCACGGAAACGCGGAAGTTGCAAAGGTAGATGGTATCTTGGGCCCCGGCCATGTCGGCGTCGGGGTTGCCCTCTTGTTGGATGCCCGATGGAAGGCCCAGCTCCGGCAAGGGATCTACCCCATGAATCGCGGCGAGAGAACGCATAATAAAGCGGCAAAGAAACTATCAAGCGAAAATACAGACACAATGCTGCGAATCTTGATCACTCTCGTATATGCATTTCACTTGACACGCGAATACAGCGAATTTGTTCGCGTTTTTTCTGCTTCTCACTGACTATGGTGTAGATTTTTTATATCACTGGTATCACGTAAACAAATAAATTAGAACTGTTATGACGGCAACTAGTAGTAATCTGGAAAATGGGTTTTCCAGCAAGTTCAGTACAAAATATTGATTGCGCGCTTCGCAGTGCGAGGGTGAGAAAATCAATACTCCGCGCATGTACCGCCCTCTGTCGGGAGGTTCGGCAAGCGAATGCTACGCGAAGCCTCTTTAACCAGTGTACCTACGCTTTTGAAAAACAAGGGGTGATATAATTCTTCTTGGAACAGAAAGATGTAGCTGATGCAAATATCTCTTAATAATTCATACAAATATGAAAATTGATGACTGTCTCTTTCAGACTTGAATAACTTGAAACAATAATTTCCAGAAATATGGCAATTCAGTTTTATTAGGTCATGGGGAATTTTAATTACAGGCTTTGGTCCCCTTTCTTGACCAGTGCAGTAGCAGTGGACTGGCTTTGGCTGATATTATTATTATGCATTCCAAGTAATGTAAAATTTGATGTTATGGTTTATTATAAATATGTACCTTAAAAATCGATGAATACTTTGGAAATTCCAACAGTTATGGATACACACTCTCTCTAATTGAAAGATTGTATGTAATAATAATTACTAGAGATGAAACGGATATCCGGCAACTATCCGGTAGGCCGGATATCCGGCCTAAATTTACTATTCGGCCGGATACCGGATAGTAGCTCACTATCCGGCCGGATACCGGATATTAAAAATGTACGAAAATTTCCTATAATAAAATGAAACACAATAATATTTGAGTTAAATATCAATAAAATGGCTTAAATAATAATGACGGTTTTTATCTAAAGTCCAAAAAGTTACAAAAAAGCCATATTAGGGCCTTTCAAAAAACTAATTTCCTTTCTGGGAATTATAGCCTGACCAGGAACATAAAAACCCTCGCCATGTTGCGGAAAATTAATGGTACTAATTTCTTTTAATGGCAACAGTAACTGAAAACTTCATTGACATGTCACCTTGCATGTCAGTCTATTGCTGTCAAAGTGTAAACAAACTTTATTTTAAATGTGCGCAATTGATTTTGTGAATTAAATTGCTAAAATCTTTTTATAGTCGTGAAAGAAAAGTGGTTCACAATGTGTTAAAGTATTTGTCGAAGAGAAATACTAAGGCCCGGTTTTTTGATTCGTAGTTAAAATAACCAATGGTCAAATTTGACAGATGTCAAATGACAAGTGGTTAAATATCAGAAAAAAATGTTTTTCGAACAATGGTTAGCATGACTTTTAGTACATTTTTCAACTATTAGTTAACATTTTGTTAATATTTAACCATTAGTAGCAAAATTTAACAATTTGTTATTTTAACTATGAATCAAAAAACTGGGCCTAAGGGTTCGGACAATATTTTCATTGAATAATGTTTCCGACAAAGGTTGTCAAATTGACTGACATGTTTATCGTATAGTACAGTCAACTATGAAAATTAGCTGTGGTTTGTTTCTACTACCTATTTTAAAGCTTTTTGTCACTTTGTAAGTATTGAATTTTATGGAATTGGGAAAGAAGTACCGAGTTTGAAGCGTTCATGAGCAGACATTGTAGTTGAATATTCAAGTTCAGAATTTGATTATTATTGATGAATAATAATAAAATCCTACTTGCTCGATTGATGGTTTCATTTAATTTATTTAAACCAGTTTACCTATAATATAATATTTTTTGTTAATTTATAAAAATATTAAATTAGCCTATAATCCTGAATTACATTGAAATAAGATGCCACAGTATGAAGATTGATGTGCTGTCGTCTGTACAAGATTTCAAATATTGAAATTTTAATTCATTTGATATGACTCATATTTGGGGAATCATGAGTAGAGTCTTATTTTAAAATGAATGCCAACGATTTCAAAGTCATTCTGTATAATGCAGTTCAGTCAGATTACACAGCAAGTAAACTAATTGAATTTTCGCTATTCAATCACATACTCATATACGATGGCAACCGAAATCGCCCGAATTGATCTGCCCCTTAGGCGAGTGTCAAAATCTGACATTCTATTCGAACGAATTCGATTTTCGAAAAGTGTGACTTGTCTAGTCTACTAGACTCACTGATCGCGTTCGAAGCACCTGTGCGGCGCTAAACTCGTTACGACATGCAACATGACAATGGGACAACTATCCGGCCGCCGGATATCCGGCTATCCGGCCTAGCAGCTCGCCGGATATCCGGTATCCGGTATCCGGCCAAACAACTATCCGTTTCATCTCTAATAATTACTACTTAGTGTACTTTATGTATAAAACTAATATCCATAACTGGTAGCATCCACTTGGAAATGTTTCTAAGTAGGTAGGTACATGGGAGATGTAAGTAGAATTAATAATAATGTTTGTAGATTCTTAATTTCTTATACAATTTACTTTAAAGCATAATTTTGTTTAGTGTATTTTATTAAGCTGTTGTTGTTATTACAGACAAAATGGAGAGATTGTAAAAAAACATTATCAAAAACAAACATCTGTAATACAAATAACTTTGAACACGGTTTCAGATGAGCATCAACATTAGTATTAGCAACTTATAATTGCCTCTTTAACAAATCAGAGTAGAGAAGCTATTGTAAAAATGTTTCACCATTTATGAAATGCCAGAAATTAAGAGAGTAATAATATTTTTTATTTTGTATGCTCTCTGCCAAGACATTAACAATGGTAACAAAACAGCAACAATAACAGGTAGTAAAAAAGCTGTTAAATGATTTATTAACATTTATTCAAATAACTTTGCTTTATATAGTGACTCACTCTTTCACTCGATTGACTGAGAGAAGATGCAATTAGGATTTTAGTCTGCATATTATATCTAATATTTTTAATATACCAAATAGGCAAATCTTCGATTTTAAACCACTACAACAGCTCACACAAATAATAGTATCACTGCGGACCTCTTGATGGAATCAATTTACATACATCTGGCCATGAATATACTTTGTCATAAAATTAAAATTATCATAAAAATACATTATCAAATTATGAATGATGAAAGAGTGAGTTGAGTGGGTTGATAGCATAATTGATTTTATTTGGCAATTTTGTTAAAACCGCTTTAAAGATTATACGTAATTAAAACAACTATTAAATAACAAATACTTACATTTGGAGCTGTAGAAATACGAGTTGTCTGGTCTTGAAATTAAAAGTTCCGGCCATTTGTCTTCCTTGGAGGAAGATACGGACGGAGATCTTTCGAAAAACTGAGACTTTATCGACGATGTAGACGTCGCCGGAGAGACTTGAACGTCTCTATCTTTGGAGGAAGCCATTCTTCTATAATTATTTCAATATTAAATACAACATTTTGAGCAAAATACAACACAAAACGAAAAAGTAAACGCGTCAATGTTATGTCACTTAATAATCTGTCAATGTCACCTTGACACAAAAACAAATGTCAGTAATGTCAAAAAAGCATTTACGAAGCTAGCTTTAAACGAGATACGATTGCAATGCCTTAAAAAACAAAAAAATTACAATTTGTACAAGTTTTGTAAATTATTAACTAATCAACAATTAAAAAAGAAGTTGACATAAAAATATCAGAAGAAGTCACTTTAATAAATAACGCACATTGCAAAATATATTCTTTCTTGCAAAGCAGCACAAAAGAAGGCAAGAAATAATCTTAGCAGTCTTGAATAAAACCGTTTCGCTAAGCTTCTGTGTAATGAATTTTCAAACAAGTGTTGTGTTTCCATCTCTGAAAGTATTGGTAGTGAATCCCCTGACTCCATCGGGCCAGATGGTTACTATTAAAATACTATCAGGTTTAATATTTGGAGAAAATCAGCTAATAGATTTGATACTTTTGGTTTATTCAAACGAAAAGCCTATAGCCGAGCGAATGAAAATAGAACTTATTACGTGTGCCTATTGTTGTTACAACACTATTACAGTATCTTCAGACTTGCCCAGGTATGGTAATTAAATTATTAATCACTTTAAAGTAAAAAAGCGTGAGCTGCCTAGCGTGATTCCTGGTTGGATCAAGCCAGTTTTTGTGAGCCATTTTTTTTTCTTCTTATAAGGATTTCATTTAGGGCAAATAAAATTACTTAGTGGGTGATATTTTTAGTATTTCAGATGCTGATGTCTTCTGCTTCATGTCAAATTTTTACAATCTCAACAAGATTGAGTTGGACAAAGTAGATAATGATGATCAATTTGATGCTTTATATTTAATCATCAAAATTGCAAACAATTTTTCGCGTCCCGAGTCAACTAAGGAAGAGCCAATTGACGATGGAGTTAAATTCGTTATGCGATCCAAAAAACCAAAACCCATACCTCGAAAGCCAATATTCATGGCGGATGGTTTAGCGGCAATGGACATATTAATGTCTCTCGCTAAAAATATGTCCCATGACATATTTTTCTGTCCTAGTCCACTACCGGATATTGCAAAGTCTGTTTTAGGAGAGTATTTGAAAGTAAGGAATGAAAAATATATTTTTGTTCATCCATACTTTTAATTTGACTATGATTTATCCATTGATCATGAATATCTTTATCATAAATCGATCTCGTAATTTAGGTTCAGTGTAACGAAATCAACGATGTCCTTGTATGGGCGGCAAATGACGAAGTGTTTCATGTTGAAGTAGAAAAACCCATGATCATTCATGATCAAATGAATGATGAATCTAAATGCGATTGGGATATGGTCGGCAAAGACTTGTTTCGGTCGTTTGACTTCGACCATACTCAATTTAGCCCGTCTTGGATGAAGAAAGAATTTATAGAGAAGGTTATTTAGATACTTGTTAAGTACGTTACTTTTGAACATAATTAGAAATTTAAGACTTAATTTATTATTGTCTTTCAAAAGGTATCAATTTCTTCATCAAAGAATCCTTATGGCTCTATCTTCAGAGCGGCTTTATTTGCCAAAGCACTGAAGTCAATTTGGCAATCTCGTACAATTGGAGCTGACAAGAAGTTTTACTGCTGTATGGGCGTCATAAGTGACGGATCCTTGGGAACTATGAAAGGTGCGTTTTGGAAATTACCTGATTTCCCTTACTTATCTGTATTAAAATGCGAGTGAAAATTCTGTTTCTGTAGGCTATCCTTACGTACTCCCATTGATTTTTAACGGCGATACGTGGACCGTGAACAAGCGGTTTGAGGAGACCGCGCACTTGAGAAACGAACTGAAAAGGATCAACAGAGCAGTTAGGGAGCATCATCAAATTGTAAGTTTTTAAACGGAAGATAATTTTACTCAAAACTCCTTCGGCATAATATGTATCTAGAAACGCTGTATCTGGGATAACTTGGAAAGGCTTGAGAATTTTACTGTTTTAACTTTCCTATTTGTTCATTTCAGTTGATACCATATTGCAAGAGATTTCTGCAAGATAATGTTATCAACCAAGCGTTCATCCCTGTTCCAGTTGAGAGTAGTTCTGAATATTCTTCTGTAGCTAATAGCAGCAAAACAAGCATCGTAATGCAATGAAGTGTTCCGGTTACTACTGTTTTAATTATTTATCTAATAAATTAATATTTTTTTATTCATTTTTGTTTGACTCTACAATTTCATCATCATGGGATTACACTTTAGTAAAAGTTAATGTATCCATTGAAGTACGGGAACCTGAGCCCCGATTACGGTAACTTTTAACGTCTACAATCCAGACGCGTTTCTGATTCTGCGATACGATTGGTCAAAACAGCTGACGTACGCTGTTGAACGACCAATCGTATCGCAAAATCGAGAAGCGTGTCTGGATTGTTGACGTTAAAAATTACCGTAATCGGGGCTCTGTTGAACCCTGGACAGAGTTGTACCTAAAACAATTGTATACAACGTGTCCCAAAATTCAAGGATAAGCCGGCGCCGCAGGGTGGACATAGTCATGACTGCTTTAGGAAAAATAAGAAAAAAAATCTATCTCAATTATTTTTTAAGTTACACAATAAATTATGAAATTCGTCGAAAATTGACACCCCTTATGATATTTTACATTACCACGACCACAATTTTTCAAATACTTCAGTTTTTTTGTTTGTATCGGCAACTTAAGTAGTGCTGCTGTCCACCCCAATTCTTAAAACCCTCAGAATCCTTGCAGTTTTTACACAAAAGTGAATCAAAATATGATATTTCCTTAAAATTTTGAACGATTTTTACTTACACTCCACTTTGACTCGTCGTTTTGTAAAAAAACAGTATGAACACTACTGCGGCAAGTTTTTTATAAAGTTGACGCAACTATCCAAGATTCCGAAATGGTATAATACTACAATGCCCCGAAGACCTCAAAATAGCAATTTAAAGTCTGTTTTTGATATATAATATTTTTTTAATTTCTAATGTTTTTTAAATTTACGTTTAATGTATCTTCATATGACTTTTTTAAGATTATTTTTGTTGATAAAGCGGTTTTAATGGATATTTTGCTAGAATTTATGTTAAATGATTAGAAATAAAAAAAACTAGATAGCAAGTTAAAGCCACTCCAGCGCGTATTTTGTCCTACACGACATAACATATCAACATTCAACAAAATTTTCTAGAAAAAATGTTGAATATTGTCATATTTTTGTTGATTGTGTAAGGCTAAACATGGACTGGAGAGCCGGCTTAAACTTAAGTGATTTGTTGCCAAAAAATTGTGAAAAATAATTAGTACAAAAAATATGGATGAGGATCTTTTTAAAAAAATACTTTTACTTAGATATTGTTGCTAATAACTGTAAAAATTGGTATTTCAAATAATAATTTAGCAGAAAATTAACAAATTGAAGCGAATATAAGCATTTATTTAAATTTAAATAGGTACAACGTACACGGTCCAAGGTACATCTGGTTTGTTGTACCTAGGACAGTTTTCCCTTTTTTTTTCTAGCAATTATTATGCCCAAATTTTTAAAATTATACACAATTTTATGAATGAATTATGTAGTTAATTAAATGATCTTTAAATATAACTGCACTAGACAAGTTTAACTATCACCATTATTTTTCAAAAAATCAAAATTCGAAAAACTGGCCTAAGTACCTACAACAGGTTCCCTACTTAAGCATTCAAATTATCCCAGCAAAAACACCATGATCTGTGTTTACAAAGTCTATTTACACCAATTAAAGTTTCACCGAGAATCATAGCTTGAATTGGCAGAGTGTTAACTTGATCCATCGTTAGGAGTGTTCCTACCAGCTCAGGGAACGAGGGAAAGGAAAAACAAATAAAAGCGCATTTACCAAGCGATTAATATTCGACGGACTACGGTCTCGGCTGCCTGACCGCATCGTTTGTTTAACCTCTTCTGTCAATTTGATTTCCGACCTCGAGGGTATGTAATTTCCATTACGGGGGCCAAACGTTTTGTTTGTCTACGCGTATCCAAATAAACCGATGGGAATCTCTGTACCTATTAACTTGTGGAACAAAATGTCTTACAATGTTCCAGTAACGTGAAACGTGGCAGTGACAGTAAGGCGTCTTTATTATACCATGTGATATTGGTTGGTCTCGTTTCAGCCAAATGATTGGTTGGTCTACCGCAATATTAACAAAGGCAAAGCCAGTTCAAAGGCAGTCCACAGCTGGACTTGAAGAGCGCTAAAGAACACAATCGCCGTGCTTGGCTATCGAGTAGGTAGAGGGGTGTCGAATATCGGGACGTAGTCATCGGAGCATTTCTTCTGAGTCATGATATGCAGATACTTATTTGCTTAAGAGTGATCCTACAGTTTGTTTACGTTAAATTACTGTAACAGAAAAGTTAATTTAAATATAATTTCCTCAACATTACTGAAACAATATTAAAACATTTCTAGGATCCGTTATCATACTCAACAACAGGAAGCACTTCCGAAACGTCTATTTATTTGCACTGAAATGGAACAATTCGAAACATCCCCACTTCTTACTGCAAATTAAATTCGCTGTAAGATCAGACTAATCAGTTTTCTTGTCCGTAATAAAACCCGTGTTTTCATTTACTCTGATAAATAGTAGTCGCACAGCTATTCAAAGCGGATAGCTGTTTCCCGGCGCGTCGGGAATTCGAATCAAACTCGTCTCATTAGCCAGTAAAGGAAAACTTGGATTAGTTGACCAACTTCTAGTGGTGGATTGCGCGGTGCGTTCGCGCTGCGGCTAGTGACGCCGTGGACAAACTGTCTGTGAGTTTTCTCGCCGCTAATGTGTAATTAAGCAGTTAAGAAATTGTGGGAAAATACGTAAGTTTAGTAAAGTTCAGAAAGTTTTCGCTTATATAGCACGTGACGCCGTCGAAGTTTAATTCTCAGATTCTGATGTACGTCCTAAATGATTCGTTATTAATTCAGGGTGTAAGGGTAAAATAATTTCCTGCTTAGCGTAGTTCAGGCTCCTAAAAGAGCGATTTAAAAGTATAGGCTGTGCCTTAGGCTCTGTATATTTATAAGAATTTTAAAATGTGGAATACATTGTTCTTATTCAAAGTCAACCTAAACTTCGACAGCTACAATAGATGACACCATGCGACACTGTAGAAGGAGCACTTAAATTAGAATTCAGCCCACGGGAGGCTACGTCGTTTTATCTTTTTGAACCATTAAAGCTACTACGGTGCTGACTTCGCTCAAATTCGCATTTGTGAAACATTGTAAAATCACCCACTAAACTAATCTCAGGTAATATTCTTAAAAAATCAATAAAAATTTCGTTATCTTTTCAACTTTAGTCAGTTGTTAACTTACCTATCTTTTTTAAGTCATCCTAAAAACTTTTAAGAAAATAATCTTGTTTGGCAAGCCTAGTCCAAAACTTCCACGGCAATTTAAAAAAGCCTTCGAACCCCCTATCCTAATCAGACCAACCTATCTCCGAAATCAGAAGCGGAAGTTTTAAGAAAATAAATAACCTGGAGCTCCCTCGTGTTTTGTTTACCCTTCCGCGCACAGTGGGACTTAGCGTCACATTAACGGGGACCTGCGATTTTTCTGCGAGTGTCGCATCCCTCCCCGGGACATCCGTTATCTGTTACAGCTTGCTTCTTGGATTTATTGACTTTTTTCCCTGCTTTAATTTCCAGAGATTCGGTCGAATGGCTCACGCCAGCACCGGAACATTAACGCTGCCCTAGGGAAATATCGCTTGTGTTTTGTAGCATTTTTAAATTGTCTTTAAGTTAAGCATCGTCCTTGGATCTTTATTACCCCAAATTCGTTTTAAGTACTTACCTAATCTTTATTTTTTACGGCCTTCTTTAAACTTACCTGTTGTCCTCAGGTATCTACGGGTAGGTATATTTCTTAAATTAAATTACAGCTCATTGCTTCTATTAATGACTAGCTTTCCGCCCGCGGCTTCGCCCGCGTGGAATTTCGTTTGTTATATTTTCCTTAATTTTCTTTGCTATAAACCTCACGGAGCCCGAGACCTTTCCAACGAATGCAAAACCGTGGAAATCGGTTCGTGCGTTCTGGAGTTAGTGTCAGGAAGGAAAACCCGACTTATTTTTATATAGTAGATTAGGTACCTACCACTAATAAGTGTCAAAAGCTTAGGTTTCAAGAGAAAAAGTGATGTAGGTTACAATATCTTTGTCACTACAGAATCCTAATACGAAGAATGTCATCAATCTTTAAACAGGCACAACTCATGAATCATACAATACACCCCCTAATACGGCCGGTATTGTGACACTTAGTGGACAAACAAAGGCTGCCTTCTCAATAAATAGGTATGTCTGTCGGCCCACTGTGTATTGCGTCGCTTCGGTGTTCGCTATTGTCGGTGCCCTTTGGGTTATGTCTTAGTTGTTGGTTTAGGATTCCAGCCTGAACTGTGAAGCGTATTAGCTACATACCATTTGTGGTAGCGCTTGATAGAGTTGAGGTTACGTAAGTTTAAATCTGCGGGCGGATTTCTGCCAACGCCGTAAAGTTAATAATTTAGTTAAAACAAAGAACCCTGAAGACAAAAATAATTTCAGGCTATTACTGGAAAATTATGATCTCGTAAATCTGTTTTCAGTAACTAAATTACCTTTCGTAAAAATTCAAAAACTAGATAAGTAAGAATTATTCATGGAAGCTTTAATGATGTAATAACGTTCTAATCCTATAACATAAAGTGGGTGCCCGGGACGGGCGCGGGTCGAAAAATTTGTTTAAAAATTCAATACCGTCTATAAGAAACTCGTTCTGAGAACGCAACGGCCTGCGAACACTCCCATTTACCCTTAATAACATGGGAGAAATTGCTCGATTAGTGCGAAAGAGGATACCTACCCCAGCTTTCGATTGCGATACGCAGACCGAGACGAAACTTTTTCAGATATTAATGCCTATGGAAATATAAGAGAGGTGTATCGCTCCCTTCCGAGTTAGATTCGAACGATACGGTCGAACTAGTGTGCGAAGTGTGGTAGGTAATACGGATACCGTCATTTTGAGGCTTGTCGAATTCTTTCCTTTCATTTGTCGATTTCGGTTCTTTACCGTAACTTCTTCGTGATAAGCT